CTCAGCATGAAGCCGAGAGGACAGCAGCCAGCAGCAGCAGGTGGTAATCAGCTGCCTTCTTTGAGATGCACAGAAGAACCCCCTCAGGCTACTTCGGCAGCCGAGGCTGCAACACTAGTGCCTACGACAGAAGCAATAGCGGCAGCCGCACAGCCGCCACCAGCTGCCAATGCTGCTGCTGTTGGTGCTGTAGTTGGGGAAGAAGCTGCAGGGAATACAGAAATTATAGCTGCGGAGCAGCGCCGAAGCCTTTTGATGGGAGCTTCCGTTGCCGCAACGTCACAATGGATGCAACTTGGCGGCGGGCAACAGGAAGAGGTTACTGGCGTTGCTGGTGTTCCTCCCGTTGCTGCACTTGATCCTGCCGCTGTTCTTGTGCGTGCTGCTGCTTCTGGTTTCACTACTTCAGCTTCTCCGGGGACTAATGTTGCTTCTGAAGGCTCTTCTCTAGGCTCTGCTCCTGGAGTTTATGTTGCCTCTCCTTTCGCCGCTGCCAGTGTACATACTGCTGCTGCGCTGCCACAGCAGGGCTCGCCTAAAGGTGCGGCTTCACAAGCCCCTGTAAAACGAAAAGAGGAAAGCCGTGAAGTTCTTTTCGCAGCAGGTACCCCGTCATCAATTCCAGCTGAGGCATCAGCCAGCGCGCGAGGAGCAGCAGCAGTAACAATAGGTACACAAGAAGCAGCAGCAAGAGCAGCACCAGCAGCTACACCCACGACATCTTCATCCGCACCGCAACAGGACCCAACCACAGCTTCACTGCTATCTCGTAGGCAGCAGTTGAGGGCCTCAATCGAAGCTATGTGGCAGCGGGAGGCTGCCCAAAGCAGCCGCAGCAGCATCGCCTACCGCCGCATTAGAAGTGAAGACATTGATGCTGTGGCTGCTGCTGTTGACCTGGCTCTCGAGTTGGAGGGCCCCTTTTCTGATAATCGGGCGCCAACAGCAGCAGGCACAGCCTCCAGCAGCAGTCACGTGAGCATGCAAGCAGAAGCTTTGGCTGCTGCGGCTGGTACAGCAGCAGCAGCAGACCTGGTGGCTCAGGCCTACAGACACCAGGCACCGGGGGATACCTCAAGAGCTGGCGCCAGCAGCACAGCAACCGCAGAAGCAACTACTGCTGCAGCTATTGCTGCTGCAGAAGCCTTCCATCAAGGCATCAGCAGCAGTTCCACCTGCCTGCCAGAGCAGGCAATGCACCGAGAACAGCAGCAGCAGCAGCGACAGCACGAGGAGACTAGGGACGTGGTTATGGAAAAGCAGCTGAAGTGCTTGCGCCTGCTGCTGCTGACGGGCTGTCTGAACCAGTGGTGGAAAGACCATACAAATCCAGAGGCATTTCAGTAGGTACCTGCCAACGCAGTTATGGTTGCTGCTGCTGCTCCTGCTGGTGCTGGAGCGTCAGCTCATGCAGGCGCTATTCCGGCTACTGCTGCTGCTGCAGTTGCTCCCCCTGCTTTCGTCCAACTCTTTGCTGGTCTATTTGACGGCTTACCAGGCGTGGCTTGCGCTGACTTCCACTCTGTTTGATGCTGCTGTAGCTGGTGCTGCTGCTGATGCTGCTGCTGCTGCCAGGTTCCATTTTGCCTTGCTTTTGTCTGCGTCTGTCGAGCCTCTATTTGACGTTTACCTAAAAATTATATTTGCACCGCTTCTACAAGGCAGACTCTCCTCAGCTGCGAGCAGCCAGCAGCAGCAGCCGCTGCTGCAGCAACAGCAGCTAGGTGCGGAGAATCATGGGACAACTTTCACCCCAAGGAGCAGCAGCAGCAGCAGCGGCAGCCACAGCCGCTGCGGGGATGAGCATAGAGATCAAACTGCAGCAGAGAGGAGTCTTGAAATGGACGAAATCGTGATGCTGCTTTCCAGAGACCCCGCGCGCAGCGGGAGCCTTGTTGTGAGTGCTGCTGCTGCTACTTCTTGAGCTGCTATCGATTTGCCGCAGCAAGAGCAACAAGAGGAACAAAACGTCGCTACTGCGGCTTACCTAAGCTGTGACCGACAACTGCTGCAATTCGTGCTGTTGCAGCTGGTGCTGTTTCTTGTGTTGCTGCTGCTGCTATTTCTTGTGCTGCTGTCCATTTGTCGCAGCAAAAGCAGCAGGTAGAGCCAAGAGTCACTGCTGCGGCTTCCCTATGCTTTGGCTCTTAATTGCTGCTACTCGTGCTTCTACTAACACTGTTGTTGCTACTGCTGCTGCCGTCGTAACTTGTGTGGCTGCTACTGCTAGCTTGTCTCTTCGTGATGTTGGCCCTGTCCTTGTCTGCTGCTGATGCTGTTTGTGCTGCTGCTGCACTGGCTTTAGGCGGCGGCTGCTGAAGTGTGCAGGGCCCTTGAGTGGGTGTATACAGCGTGCAGAGGTGCTGAGACAGCCCAGGACCCGTCGACCTATCCAGAGCCCATATTTCCCACTCCTGCAGTGGCAGCAGCAGCGGCTACTGCTGCAAGCAGCTGCCAAAGTTCTTCCCAAGGGGCTTGCGCGGCTTCAGTTCTACCTGCTGCACCAGCTGCTCCTCCTTCTACTGGCTCTGCTGCTACTGCCCGCAGCATTCCTGTTGCTGCTGCAGCTGGTTTTGGGCTGAGCTGCGGCGCTCACGCAGCACAGCAGCAGCGTGCAGTGCGATTCGAGGGTCGTTCCTCTGATAAAGGGAAAGATGCAGGAAGGGAGACAGAGCAAACACAGCAGATGCAGATGGATACTTTGGGGCCCCCGCGGGACCCCACAGAGCAGCCTGCGGATCCCCTAATGCTTTTTGAGGATCCCCTTAACTCGATGAGGCGAGAGTTCGACGACACCATCAAGCAGCTCAGCAGTGGCATCAGCGGCAGAAGCCGTGGCAGCACGTATAGCGGTAGCAGTAGCAGTAGCAGCAGCAGCAGTACCAGCAGTAGCAGCAGCAGCAGTAGCAGCAGCAGCAGTAGCAGCAGCAGCAGCAGCAGCAGCAGCAGCAGCAGTAGTAGCAGTAGCAGCAGCAGCAGCAGCAGTAGCAGCAGCAGCAGCAGAAGCGGAAGCAGCAGCGGCAGCAGCAGCAGCAGCAGTGGCGTGTCATCTACAGAGCATCTGCTGCGAACCCTTGAGTCTTTCCTGAGCAGTCGACGGCTGAAGAAGAGGCATGTGAGAGGAGCCCTTATATCTAAATTCTAAACCCTAAAGCCTAGTAAAGCACTTGACAAGCTTCACTCGGAGCCGGTTTTGCTGCTGCAGATGGGTCCCTCTGGCCAACAAGAAAGCCTCGAGAGACACGGGGTGGGGGCTGGCGGTGCTGCTGGTGCTGCTGCTGGTAGTGGCCGCCGAGGCACTCGAGGGCACCGTGGGAAACGCAGGCCAATAAGCGAACCAGCAGCAGCAGCGGCAGCTTCTGCATCAGCACCAGCAGCAGGAGCTCGGCAGCACCAGCAACTAGTCCCACCAGCAGCAGAAGAAAGCAGCAGCGCGAGTGCCTTTTCTCCCCGAGCCTTCACGAGCTTGCAGCCGCTGTAAGGGGACCCCACGTCACACATTATTGCTGCTCATATTTATCTTGTTGCTGCGTTTGCTGCTGCTGCTGCTGCTGCTCCAAACCAGTGTTTGTGCATGCCAATGCTCATATGGCTGTTCGTGTGGCTCTTAGTCGCTACTACTACTGCCGCTGCTGCTGTTACTGACCCGGCACCGCAGCAGCTATGCAGCAACAGATGCTGCAGCCTAGTTGCTGATTTTTACCTGCAGCTGCCTAGCTGTAGCTTGCCTAGCTGTAGCACAGGAATTACACCCTGCACGCTACTTCGTCTGAAGTGTTGCATGCAGGCCTGATATTGGCAATGAGCTTTTGTGGGGTGCCTCCGACCCCGGTGTCTCTGGTAGCTCTGCATCAGCGACTGCAGCAGATGCAGCAACTCCAGCAGCAGCAGAAGAAGGATGGCATTTTACCGCGGGTGGCAGCCCAGGCAGCTCGTCCTCCGCTTCACATTTTCCAGCGTCACCTGGCCTAGCAGCATTGTTGTTGGGAGAGGAGCACAGGGGTCCCTCGACTGCAGCCGTAGGATTAGAGATATCACAAAGTGCTGTAGAAAGACTGTATGAGCAACAACAGCAACTTTTGCTACAGCTGCAGCGTCACCCACTACATCTTGAAACGCAGGAGCAGCTGCTGCTTCAAAGACAAGCAGAGCAAAGCCACGAATCCTTCGCCACCCGTCGGCAACAGCAACAGGAAGCACTTGCGGCTGCTACCAGCAGAGAAAGCCCCTTGTATGCCCCCTCAAGAACAGACGCAGAAGAAGCTTTGACTGAGCGACGGCAGCTGGGACTTAGCACTCAGCAACGGCACGAGAGAGAATTGCGCCAGCAGCAGCAACAGCAGCAGGTAGAAGGCTCAGTCCAGATAACGCGTAGCGGCAGAAGAGTTACATTTGCTTTTAATGTATCTGATGTCGCAAGAGACGAGGAAATATCCGCTTCAGCGGCAGCAGCTTCCATGGCTGCAGCAGCAGACAGCCGACGCAGCAGGAAGTCTAGTGGCTCCGTGGCTCAGCAGCAGCAGCAGCAGCAGCAGCAATAAGACCACTATCTATCACAGCAACCACGGCAGAAGCAGGGGCATTATCTGCACAAATATCCATCAACGACTTGCTTGCTCGGGTTTTGCTGCTTCTGCGTTCGGTTGTGGCTCTGCTGTTTTTGCTGCTGCCGCCAGTGCTGCTGCCACAGCGGCCGCAATTATGTGCGGATAGTTACATTGAGGTGCTGCTGAGGAAAATATTAGATTCACGGACTGGGCTGCCCGTCTATTGCCTCTTAGTAGAAGACGCAACACGGGGCCAACGCCACCCTAGCTACACCACGACAGCAGCAATAGCAGCAGGCAGAGTCGCTTAAGGCCAAAAATGAAATAAACAGCGGTTGCGAATTGCGGTCAAAAACAAAATGAAGTGTCTGCAGTTTAGAGTGCTGCTGTAATCTCCGCAGCAAACGGTTCGAACCACTGCAGCAGCAGCAGTAGCAATTGTTGCTGCAGGTTTTATCGAACAATTTTTCGAACGTTTTCTTTTTTGGGTTTTTCAGTTTCTCTCTCCACCAGTTGCGTGCTGATTGGACTCGGCAACTTAAAGAAATTCCGCAGCTCGCTCTCCTGCAGCAGTAACAGCAAGAAGAACAGCGAGTGCAACTGCAGGAGCAGCAGCAATGGCAGCAGCAGTAACAGCAAGTGAATTCAGCGAACTGGGTGAACGGAAGAAGCATCATACCCTGTCCTCACACTCCGGCACTCTAAGCATTGTGCACAACAAGAGATAAGCAAACGAACAACAACCACAGCAACAGCAAGCCGTTGGGTGACGGTATTTGGGCTGACTCTGAGCAGCTGTTGTTGCTGCTGCTGCTGCAGCAGCTCATGGTACCTGCCCCTGCACCTCCAGCCAAAGAGGGGAGGGGGGAGGGGAATAAGGCCGGCGCTGCCGAGCAGCCGAGAAATAGACAAAGACATTGAGGCATTTGCTGCCAACCAAAACTTGACCCGCGAGAAGCGAAGGCGCAGCTCGGCGACTGAAGAGGTGGAGGAGCCGGGAATGGGCACGTAGCTGCCTAGGACCTGAGAATATGCAATCACTAGTAATTGAGTTGATTGGCCGAGTGTACTCGTTTGAACAGAAAAGTCAGCAAAACATACGAAGGCGGGAAGAGCCGGCACCTGCACAGTTGGAACGAAGAGCTGCAAATGAATCAGATGGTCGAGATGGGATGCGCAGCAAAGACAGCCGAGGAAAGGAAATAAGCGAAGAACACGAGAAGCAAATAAAGTGGAAAAGAACAGAAGGCTCTGGACAAAAGACAAGACGAGAAAGCAAACACAAACGCAGGGAGACGCAGCGGCCAAAGTAGCCATTTCGGATGCGTACGGCAAGTAGCATCAACAGCCGGTCAACTGAGCCAAAGTCGAACTAGCAACAAATAAAACAAATGAGAATTCGAAAGCAGATGCAGCAGCAGCTACTGTTGCTTTTGAATTTTTCATTGTAGCAGCAGCTGCTGCTGCCGCTGGCGACTCTACGTGTGTCAATGCGTCCCGTGATCGGAAGATACGTGGGCACTAACGCATGCTAGGACGTAATGAGGCAGCAGCAGCAGCAACAGGCTGTCGAAAAGGAGCAGGAGCAGCAGCAACAGGCTGTGGAAAAGGAGCAGCAGCAACGGCAGCTATAGACGTAGCAACTGCACCTCCATATGCTTCCCATCTCGCGGATCCCTCTGATTGGCAGCCACGATCTTGTAGAAGCGCCTTCCTTTAGTGCCCATTACCTGCAGTAGCAGCCGCAAACAAGCTACGGCAGCACCATCGACACTACTCACAACAGCAGCGGCAAATATGCTGCAACGAATCACCTGTACTGGCAGCAGCAGCAACAGCACAAGCCACACAAACGAAGAATGAAAGTCATGAAGACGAAGCTGCACAAGCAGCTCTAGATCGGCAACTGCAGAAACAGCAAGTGCCCAGCAGCAGAAAGAATAGCAATAAAAGCAACAGCAACAGTTTCGAGACAGCACCTGCATGCGGATTCGTGGGGGTCCTCGGTCCTTTGAGTAAAAGGGTAGAAACATTCTGCGCACCATATTCTTTGCTTTTGCTTGTCTGGCTGCTGCGTGAGAGCGTCTTGCTATTGCTGCTGCCTGTGTTGCTGCTGTGTGTCCTGTCGTTGCTACCAGTGCATACAGCTCCGGCGCCTGCTGCTCTCGCTACCGTTGTTGCTGCTGCTGCAGCTGCCTAGCTTGCTGATACTTGGGGATGCTTTGCTCAACATAACCGCAGCAGCAACTGGAGCTACTGCTCGGAGTGCTGCTGCTCGTTCAGCTCCCGCTGCAAATGCTGCCAACAATGCTGCTGCGTGCGTTACGCGGAGCGTTTCTCGCAACGCAAGTTACACAACTAGCAGTTGCTGCAGCAGCTGTAACAGCAGCTACAGCTGCTGCGTAAGTTGTAATGCTACTGCTGCTGCTGGAGTTGCTGCTGGGAGCGTTGCTGTAGCAGTCCCGGTTTGCGGTCGACCCTTCACTCACAAAAAATGAATGTGTAAACAACGAAACACGTGTAAATGCTTAGAACAACAGCTGTTACAATAGCAGCAGCAGTAGCTGCAGCAGGAGCATGCCTCGAGGTATGGGGCCTCAGTCTAGGTTGATGCAGAGAAGAGGCACGATGGCAGCTAGAACACAAAATTAGAAAAACAACATGGAAGCATACAGACTTAATAGGGTCACCGTAACCCGTTTTAGCCAGCTGGAGCTGCCGCTGCTGCTATTTGCTCTGTAGCTGCAGTAGCAGCAGCAACAGCGGCAGTACCAGAGCCGAAGCGCCACTCCACACCCTTTCCCCCTGACGTTTTTAAAGCTAAACTGCTTTGACATCATTGGACAGCCATGGCTGTACGGCAGTAGCAACGACAACAGGAGCAGCAACAGCGGCGACGGGAGGAGCAGCACTAGAGGCAGGCGTGCTAACCCCTACACCAGCATCTCTAAGAATTGCTTTTTGTCGCTTGCACAACTAGCTGCGAAAGCTGGAGCACTTGTGTGGTCTTCTCCATGTTCCGGCCATCAGACAGCTACCGAGACAGGGCCGCAGGGACAGCAGCGAAGCAGCAGCGGCGACAAGAACGCCAGCAGCAGCAGGAAGCGGAGTAGCTCGCCGTAGCTGTGCATAGAGCAGTGGCTTAGCAGAAGCAGCATCAAGAACGTAACAGATCAGGTCCTAATGAAGCGGACAGCAACCAGCAGCAGTAGCAGCAGCCTCGCCAGCTGCGGCGACAATGTGGGCCCTCCCCAGAAGATTCAGTGCGTCAGCAGCAACAGCAGCAGTAGCACGAGCAGTAGCGCGAGCCTGCAACCGTCTTATGTGGAGGGGAGCTGCCCCCCTGCTGCTACTGCGAATGTGCCTCTTCACGGAGCTGCGAGCGCCGCAGCAGCTCCAGCAGTAGCAGGTGCAGCAGGTGCAGCAGGCGCTGCAGCAGGGCCAGTGGCTTCTCCGCTGGGAGCAGGTGGCGCAGTTCCTCCGCCTCGAGGTGGCAGCAGCAACAGCAAAGTCAAGGGCGTCGGGCCCAAGGGAGGCAAACAACTCAACCCAGCCCGTTTCACTGACAGCTATGCTCTTCAGGTGAACAAGAAACTCTGAATATTTGTTGCTTTGCTGCTGCTGAGGCATGAGCGGCCCATTCCTGGGCCGAAGTCCGCAGATGTGACTCTAGGGGAAAGGGTTTCAGCCTCGAAGTCTGTGGCTGAGGCCCCAGACTTGAGACTCAGTGTGTGCGAGTGCAGTTTCCCAACGCGCTGTCGGCGAAGGCCATTGTGTGGGCTCGAGATCCCGTTTCCCAGCACTGGAGGCCCTGCAAGATAGTACATGCCAGGTGTGGCTGCTGCTGCTGCAGCTGTTGCCGTTATAGCTTGCGTCGTGCTGCTGTCGTTTTCGCCGTGCTGCTTCCACTTCTGCTGCTATGATTGCGTCAGTCTGATTTTTATGGTTCATGTGCTACCTTGCTGCTGGTGGTGCTGCCGCGGTTGCTGCCGTACTTTTCTGTACTGCTGTCGTTACTGCCGTTGCCTCTGTCGCACTGCGGTCCACTGCACCAAGAGCTACTGCTGCTTTTGCTGCTGATCCTCGTGGCAGTTCTACTTTGGTTACTGCAGTTATTTTGTGTGCTAAGTTGGTGAAACCTGCAGGCCCAACGCAGAACGCCGTGCAGCGGCAGCAGCAGCAGGGATACCCTCAACGCTGGGTGCAGCAGCAAGAAGGAAAGGCCCATTCGGGCCTCGGGGTACACCGGCAGCAGTGTTTGCCGCTGCTGCATCTGAGCAGCAGCTTTCCACAGGTGACAGCAGCACAGCAGCCGATGCAGCAGCAGTAAGCAGCAGCAGCAGCTGGTTCGAGGGCAGCGCCTTTGTTGAAGCAGCAGCTACCCTCAAGCCTAGTGACTATGACTACTACGTGCACTTTTTAGGCCTCGACAGAAGGCAAGCCCTGAACCCTAGGCCCTAGACCCTTGAAGAGGGCCGCTGCTGACTTCTAAACCGTATCTATATCCTACGCCCTTTCTAGTCTTCTGCGCGGCATCGTTCTCCCTTTTTACAGGACTGAAAAGCTTAGATGTCGGAGCTCAGTGCCCAGGGTTTAGAGATTAAAATGTAGGGTTTGTGCCTAGGCTGGACTGCTGGCGATGCTGGTCTGAGTTGAGAGAGACTCGCGAAGAGCTGCCACCCGAGGGCCCCGTGGCAGAAAAGGGAGAAACAGATGATGAAGATGAGCATGCAGGCAAGTTTTAAGCTCCAAACCCTGAGCCCTGAAACGCAAACAGATAGTGGCTACAACTGTGTAGGTGAGGCCTTGACATTTAGCAGATACAGGGAGCGGCATTGCCAGCCCCTGCTGCACGCGCAAGCCACACGAGCAGCAGCAGCCTCAGTAGCAGCAGCAGCAGCACCTGTTGCCTGAGTTGTCCCCAGGTCTCGACGAGGAGTATCTGCGTGAGCACGAAGAAGCAACCAAGCTGAAAACTGTGGAGAGGATTTCTATTGGGTCTCATTTGGTGGACTGCTGGTACTTTTCCCCGTACCCGGCGGAAGTACAAGACGTGCCTGTGCTGTTCATATGCGAATTCTGCCTATCTTTCTTTGTGTAAGTTTACCTTCTCTTGCGGCGTGTGCTGCTGCTGCGGGCTCTGCTGTTGCTGCCGCCGCTCCTTCTAATGTTGTTGACCATCCTACGAGGCTTTGATTCGTAACAGCATTGGTGCTGTGGTGTGAAGGGAGCCCTCATGGCGACGCTGCCGCTCCTGGTTTTTTATGCTGGCGCTGCTGTTGGCTCTGCGGCTACGTGGGATAGTCACCGTTGTGGTATTGTGACTCTCCGGGATGCTGCTGATCTGTCGGTGCTGGCGCAGCGGCCTTTGCCGCTGTTGTTACTGCCATTGATGCGTTTGTTGTGCTGGGGACCAAGCGTTTGTCTTGTCCGCCGCGTTGATTCGTGCTGTTGTTGTCATTTGGGGTGTGCAGGCACGAGAGCGAGATGCAGCGCCACGCGTTGTGCTGCGAATGCAGACATCCACCGGGGAATGAAATTTACAGGTTCGTGATTAAAGCGAAATGGGGCTGTATGACACTAAGCAAGAAATATGAGAGAATTTATGAAATTCATGGGCAGAACAGGGACCTAGACAGAGAGCGGAAATAGAGCCAGAGATTTGCAGATGAGAAGCAGAGATGGAAACAGATTTAAGAGAGTCAGGCAGGGAGAACCAGCTAAAGCAAGGCATGCAAAGGCAGGCAGCAATTAGAACAAAAAAGAGACGAAGGCAGGACGGAAAGGCGGAGAGTTGCAGAGGCTCACGACGGCACAGCTGCTTAGACTCACTGTGGGAAAGAAAACAATTGACCGACTAAAGCAATATGCCGAATGTAGCGGGTAAACACAAATTTACTCTGGAAGGTGCCTGCTTGCCTGTGGCCATTGGCTTGGTTAGAATCCCTCGCTCACAGCTAAGTTCAAGAGTTTGGAGCTTAGGGCTTCAGTGCCAAGGACTCAGGCTTTGCGCTGTTGTTGCAGAGACGACAGAGTGTCTATGTTTGAGGTGGACGGGACTCATTGTCGGGTTTACTGCGAGAACTTATGTTTTTTGTCGAAGTTGTTTTTAGACCACAAAACGCTAAGGTCTGTTAGCTGCGCGCGTCTGCCTGCATTTTCCGCTGCTGTGTTTTTATCTCTACTTGTATATGCATCACTGTTTTCTATGTATCCACGGTTCCCTCTTTTCACTGTCATGATCCGGGCTCTTCTCAATTGTGCATTGTTGTCACCGTTCTTGTTTGTTCTTGTTTCTTTCTCTCGTTGGCTTCGTCCGGGGGAGGCGCTTGATAGACAAACGCCTGCTTTTTTCTTCGGCGTTTCTTTTCTGTGCTTTTACTGCACAAATCCAAGACTGTTGGCCCGGATCGTTTTTTGTTCAAGCATTCTTGCTGTAATATTCGTGTGTCTATGCCTGCGGTATTTTCATGCGTGCTCGTCCTGTATGTCTGCCTCCGTCGTTGTTTATCTCGTCGTATAAGGCCATGTGACTGCGTTGTCGCGGCTGTGCTTGTTGATTCCTCTTCATCCCTTATACTCGCACTGTTGCTGTTTGTTCTACATACTGCCATCTGCTGCTGCTGCTGATGTTTTCGCTGCTTCTGTCGCTGCCGCTGCCGCTGCTGCTGCTGCGGTGCACAGGCACCCTGTGAACTTGTTCGTATTTTACGTTATGACGGAGTACGACAGCAAAGGACACCACATCACAGGATACTTTTCCAAAGAAAAGCACTCAAAGAATAACCTCTCGTGCCTTCTCACGCTGCCGCAGGTATGCCGCTGCTTACACTGCTGTTGATGACAACCCTGATCTCTTGCCCACCCGTTTTATATAATGCGAATTTTGCAAATTTTGTACAGGTATTGGCGCCTGAACGGGTTTCTGCTTTCGTCTTTCGCTGCTGCTGCTCCTGAATTGCGCGACTAGAGTTGCTACGTTCATCTTTGCTGCTGCGATTTGCAAGTTGTTTCTGTTGTAATTGCTGCTGGTGCGGCTGCGTTTGCTGCTGCTGCAGTGCATTGTACGTGTCTGTTTCGATGAGGCTTGTTGCTGCAGCACCAGCGCAAGGGCTATGGCAAATTTTTGATTAGTTTTAGTTACTCTTTGTCTAAGCGAGAAAGAAGGGCGGGGGGTCCCGAGAGGCCTCTCTCGGATTTAGGGCGGGCTACGTATTTTGCTTATTGGACGGAGCAGCTGCTGGCACTGCTGAAGCCACCTCGAAATAGAGTGTCACTGCAGGTTAGCTGCTGAAGCTGTAATTGGGATGGGGTGGGTAGAGATAGTGATGGCGCGGTTGCTGGTTATGTTGCTGCTTTCACTAGTACTACTTGAGGAGTGCTATGGTAAAGCTCTTTTTGCTGCGGTTTCTAAGCTCGGATTAGCAAACCGACACAGGCGTTGAAGCCTGCAGTTATATCTGTGTTGCTGCTTCGCCGGCGGTGATGTGGTTTCCGCTGCTGTCGCATCTGATGCTTTCTGTTGCAGGGCAGTCAGCACCCATAGACATAAATGCATACCTTCCCTCTTTCAGCCGACGTGAATGCAAGCGCTTGTGCATGTTTAGGTAACATATGAGGAGTGCTTATATAAAGTAAACTTACCATATATTGTGTATGCCCTGCTTGCCGTGCTACAGGAGCTATCCGAGGCTACTTCGATAGAGTTTCAAGACGTGCTGGCTTGTCTGGAGAAGCAGGGGGTGCTGCAAATAAAAGGGGACTGCTGCTTTTTGCTGCTGCCTCCAGAAAAGGCGGAGGCGCTAAGACGCTCCATTGGGAGGCCGTCGAGACAGGTCGTGCAGGAGGCCCTGCACTGGGTGCCCTACGACTACTATTTGGCGCCCTTGGAAGCCACGCCGCAGCCCTAATGTGACACAGAGGCTGCACGCATGCATGCATTTGTGGTACACGCAACACGGCGTGGCGTCATGCTGCTACTGGCAAAGTGGACTGCTCCAGCGCGTGCTTCTGGGACTTCATAGCACAGGTTTGACTGGACCTCGACCGCCCAAACGCTTTGCGTGCGGCGTGATACTGCAAATGCAGATCCGTCACTGCCGGTTCCAGATCTAACCCGAATAGCTTGGTAGGCTGGCGTGAGCAGCAGCAATGGTAGCAGCATCAAAAGTAACGGCAGAAACACCTGCTTCTTCTGCGGTTGCTGCTGCCGTAGCTGCTCCACTGGTTTGCGGTTGCCGCCGCTGTTACGTTTTCTGGAGATAATTTTTAAAGAGTAACAGATACATGTGGAGGTGAACTGTACTTTTCCGCCTAAGATAGCGCAACACTTTCTGCGAAGGCGTTCGCAATGCGATTGCTATTGCATTTCTGCGTATACAGTGGAGAAATAGGAGTGTAGGAATTCATGATTCTAAAGTCCAGTGTTACGCATATATTTAGCAGCTGCAATTTGGTATCTAGAACTGCAGTAGAGAGTGCAGTAAAGAGCGTTTTTAGAGCGTCGTACGCACGGAGCGGGTGCAGCGAGGTGCCGCAAGCAAAAAATTTGCAAAAAGGGCTCCTGAAAGCCTGCGTCTGAGGGACTACCAGAGCAGGCGAGTTAATTTTTGCTTAGCAGAGCTAAGATGTACACCCTTAAGGATCTCTGCAAAGATTCCCTGTAGTTTTCCCAATGGACATCTCCTTGTCAGAACAGGGGATCAAGGGCTAGGCGATGATGGGTGGCCAACCGGGTTCGAAGGGAATGTTCCACCGCGTGTCTAGGCTGCTCTTAGACTGAATGACGCACGAGCAACGAGCGGAGCTCTTGAAAGCTTCCCAGGTTTCTGCGCTTCATTGAGGGCCACTGAAAGAAACAGACTCCTCCCGTAGGATTGGTCAAGAGCAGCATTAGAGGACCTGCGCTATAAATAACGTAGCCCGCCTCCGGCATCGCTAGTTATTGGGTTGGGTTCTGGCGATCAACGATGCCTAATCTTGTTGGATTCAGGCAGTTCCAACTGCAAATTGACTGGTCGTCATTCCCCACCGAGAACTCCTAATGGCCACCAACGAATGGGTGTGCAGTCCCCCAAAACTCAGAAGGCTTCAATGCTCCTGTATCGGGGAAGGCAAGGCGCTGCACGAAGCAGCTTTACTGCATATTTCAGAGCAAAAATACCACTGAATCCTTTCAAAGGAAATGACGCGCAGGGCGTCCTTAGAGCTACAGTGTGTTTTAAAAGCGTTACCATAGTTATCACGGTTTGTGTGACTAAAGCTACGCCAACGAAAAATTTCCGACAGGCAGCACCATCGCTAGAGGCTAAAGCCCTTTCATACCAAGGAAAACGGGTGGATGAGGCGACGATGACTCAAGATGTCTACTCTACAGTCCGATGGCATAAAGAAGATGTATGAACTATTCTTTGGTGAATATGCACACATTGAACTTTTGGGAGGAACATTTCTTGAGGTAGTTACTGAAGAATCGTCACAGAAGGTCAGCATGCATTCCCAATATATATGTACATAAATACATAGGGCCCAGGTAGTCAAATAGCAGGAGCTGTTACTGCCGGGATGTTCTCCTCGTGGCCTCCCTTCAACTTGATCCTGGAGAGCCCATCATAGCCCATAGTGTTGCATTCGTGAAGTCATTGCAGCAGGGAAGTGCCTATGAGGTACATAGAGGGCTTACCGTTCGACCATTAGGGTTTAACCCCGTATCGCAGCCACCGATTTCCAGAAGGCATGGGCAGGTTCCCACAGTGTTAACATCCCCATGCTTCAGGGAGTTCTGGTGCTATAAATATGCTATTTCTAGAAGCGAATGATGTGGCATTCACCACAGTTTCGCGAACTCAGCTGCCAGAGAACTATGCGCACATGGTTGACACCAATGGTGCCGCCCCGTTCATAGGATTTGCAATAGCGCAGTTCCTTCCAGTACTGCATTTTCTGTGGCTGCATTATTCTGGTAGTAGACTTATATTTTGTGGGCGCTGGGATTTCCACTGGTTGCTCGGTGTTTTGGCGTTGCTGGTGCGCCTGCTGTCTTAACGGCTGCGAAGGTTGAGTCTTTCGCTTCAAGCCCTTCCCAAACTCCCTGTGTGTGCTTGTTTAGGGTTTGTATAGCCACGAGATATGCGCAGAAAAGTACGCCGGAGCATGTCCTGGCTGTGGTGAGCCAATACCGGCTCGCGTCTCCATAATTAATTGTTCCGGCATCGGCGCACCATAATGTTAGAACATCAAGCCCCTCACAAGCTAAATAGAAAGGTAAACTGCACTTTTTTGGAAGTCAGAAACCCTTCAAACCAATAGAAGGGAGCCCTACGGTGTCTTTAGCAGCCAAGCACGTTCCTTGCACAAATACCTTTATGTGACCCCAAAGCCGGGCCTTGAGCCACAGTCTTTCAGTCTAGGTAGCCTCAAAAATCTTTTTTATTCTACTAAGGAGAGCGTTCATCTGCTTGTATGCATTTTGAGTTTTTCTGCCTTGCCTTTTACAGAGCCAATCAAGCTTAATTTTTGTGAAACCTGGGACAACGGGACAGCAGAAATTGCGCGAAGGAAAAGTAAGTACAGTAATACAGTGCAGGTCAAGGGCAACAAGGGAGAAATAAAATAAAAGGCGAGCCTTGTGTTATAGCGTAAGTGTTATAGCGTAACATAATTAGCGTTTTTTGTGGCTGCAACATTTGGAGTGTCACTCCGAGTTAAAGCTCGATCCACAGTGACCAAGTGCACAAACGAGTTGTGCCAGTTGGGACCGTCAAATTTGCAGGCCTAACAGCTAACTTGTAGGTCTCTAGTATAGTTATTTATTCACTGAATCTGAGGGGCTCTAAAGGTGATGATGTGCATTCCCCTCACTAAGAACACGCCTTCAGGTCATGACGGCACCCCACGGTCCCACCAGCCCCGCCTTGTTCACGCTCTGCGTGTCCTGCACTTGCCATGGAGCAAGGTGTTCCACAGAAAAAAGGAAACTGGAAATGTGTTACCTGAGCCATAAATGCAGATATTAGCCGGCTCGTTCGGCACTGACGAGTGTGAAACGTTCGCCCCTCGTCTTTCTGTCGCCCTGGGCTTCCGTGGATTGTTCATGAGAAATTAACAGAAATAGCGGGTTTTACAGTAGCCTTGAATCTGAAGCTTAGCGCTGATCACCGGATCTAACTCAGGTCTGGAGTTAGTGGCCCTCGATTTCAGCCCTTTCGGCTGCCGGTGACACGTAGCTCGTGGTACTGCTCAACGATTGGATTCACCGTCACCAATTCAGACGGAATTTCAGGGGACTTTAACTCAGATTTATTCCGTGTGATCCTGCAGTGTAGTTCATTTCTGTGTGATATGTTGTTTGCATGATCCGCCGGGGAATCGACCAAGCAGCCTCGCCTCCCACTTGTCTCAACGCCAGCTCAGAAGGGTCTGACATATGTGAACGGCTGCTCAGTAGTCTCAAGTTGCTTACTAGATGAAGCTGCATGCCAAAGCAGGCACATGGTTTGTTGAATGAACACGAGGGCGAATTTGGCTGATCCACTCCGCTCCCAGAGTGCCCGTTTTCCAATCATTGAATTAAAATGCTATCCTTGAGGGCCCTACAAAGTATCGTTGCCTCTATTCTATCCTGAATTCTTTTTTTGCCACAATGAGTGTTAACACCACTGGGATGGTGCCCAGCCTATCTTACAAGCCGCCATTTGTAACTGTGGAGCCCCTACAGCCGGCAGCAGCCCATGATGTATACAGCGTTCACGGATACTCCCCTGAATTCGACACAATCCTCTCCGGTGAGAAACGCAGAGGCTACCCCGGCCGCTTGCTGGCGCTAGCTGTCGTCGGTGTGTGCTACATGGTCGCCGTTCAAATAGGCAGTATGGCGCTACTGAATGGCCTTCCACGCTTTGCACCGCAGCTCTCTTATATTGAGACGCAAGAGCTCAGTGTACAGGGTGGCCACGATTGGCCGTTTGAAGACTCTCAGCTGGGTTTCCACGCATCTGACCACGCCGGGACGAGTGAGGAAACGGAAACGGCAACAGCTACTGTAGCAACTGACGATGAGAGCAGCGGAGATCCAGATTTAGTGGGTTCTCGTCCTGGCTTAGACAGCACGTCTTCTTTAACGCTTTTCGGCCATGGGGAAGACACAATGCCGGAGGGACCGCACTCATCTAACACTCCATTGAACTGCCTACAGTCAGAGCTGCTGAAGCTACCCACGGCTGAAGAGGCAGAGGCAGCAATGCCAGCTTCTGCGATCGTGGGCAAGAAATTCCTTGCTGCATCTCTGCCTCAGGAGGAAGAGGACGAGCTTGAGTTCGAGGAAACCGACGAGATTGCAGCTGCTGCAGCAGCAGTTGCGATAACAGTGACAGAAGGAAACAGTGAGCGGCTCATTGGGGCGTCGGTGGAAATTGAGGACACGAGGCCGTGTGCAGCTGCGTCGGTTGAACCAGCAGTTTCACGCAAAGCCCTGAAAGTCACCAGGCTTTTGGGGAGGGGCGTGTCCAGCTTGGTGGTGGAGGCTGTGGACGAGAAAGCTGAGCAGACGTTCGCACTTCGGTTTCAGCTACTGCAGCAACTGCAGCTTTCTCGAGATCAAGCGATAAGATTCACCCAAGAGGCTTTTGAGCTTGAGGAGAAAAGCATAACAGCGGCCATCGGGGGCGACCCAGCTGATCTTGTGGCCCAGAAGAAGGGTCTAGCGGTGCCTTTGTATACGGGGAGGATCCTGGGGGCTCCCTCGCTAACTCAATGGGGCGCCTTTCATGTGTTTTCGCACGTACAGTTGTTTGAGCGGCTCCACGGAAGTGTTCAGGACATCATTAGGCGCCGCTGGTGGCTTCCACCACAGTCAAAGCTGTACATTGCACACCGGTTGCTGCTACAGGTGTTGCACCTGCAAGCTGCGAAAGTGACCCACAATGACCTACGGCTGGACAACTGTTTTATGAGAGCTGACGGCTCGTTTCTGCTGGGTGACTTTGGGGTCAGTGTCCCCTTAGGGGATGCGATGCACGAGCTATCGCGAGTGACGATTAGGTATGCGGAGCCTCAGCTGCTGCTGGAATTGATCAAGCGTCTAGAATCCGATACGACTGTGATGCCGGCTCTCGAGGGAGATTTGTGGTCCCTAGGTGTTATTTTATTCGAATTGTTTACGAACGGCAAACTTCCTTACGGCTTTTCAGATATCCGATATGATATGGATTTAATGCGGGCCAGAGTCGAGGAGCTCTTGAGCCAAGCCGAAGAAGACAGAAGGAGCCTTAAACCTTTGCTGCTGCGCGCTGAAGTGCCACTGAGATGGCAAGAGTTAATTGAGAAGCTGCTGGAGCCTAGGAGAGAGCTGAGAATCTCTTGGACGGAAATCCTGGCGAGCTTTCCGGATCTGTTCGATACCATGGCGGGGTGACTCGACTAAATGGTTGGATTTCAAACATGGATTTTATTTTGTACACAGAGCGTCGGATGAACGTTTATCGGAGGCGCTCAGGGCTCAGTCTTTTATTTTGCTACTGCTGCCGCGTCGCAGGATTACGGCTGTTGGCCATACAGGAGGTGCGCTAGCTGGCGCTTCTTTTTGCTTGCAAATCGTCAAATTCGAGTGAAGTGCTACAAGTGGATAGATTTATTTTCATTTTTGCGCGGTTTCTGCCAAAATTTTTCGAGGAGCAGATGTTTGTCCTAATTTAGAGTCTTTACATTGCTGTGATTCGACGTCAGGGCCGCTATTCCTGAGCAGTGCGTTGTTGTTTACCCAGAGTGCAGTTCTTATCCTCCTAGTATCTCGTTGTATTCCCAATTGTGGATACAAGAATGCTTGCAAATTGTCAAATTCGAATAAAGCGCTAGAAGTGGATAGATGTATTCTTATCCTTGCTTGGTATCTGCCAAAATTTCTCGAGGTGCAGATGTTTGTCGTAATTAAGGGTCTTTGCAGTGGTCTGATCCAGCAATTTCTGAGCACTGCGTTGCTGTTTGTCCAAATTGCAGTTCTTGTCCTCCTAGTGTTTCGTTGTATTCCCAATGGTGAAACGGGCAGTTGCGCTTTGAACAAGAACGATTTATGTTTTTCCACTGACGTTACCACACTTTCGCACAGCTCGCTCGCGATGCGTTTGCAACAAGGCATATCAATTTGTTCTGACGTAGTCCAGATAAGCAGGCATTCATTCTTTGAATATGGATGTTCGCACTGAAACACGCTCTCTGTGCGATGAGGAACCCTCCTTGACGCACCGTCGCAAACCTTTTGAACCTTTGCTGTTAGGTAGCACACACACGTTTCTTAGGAGAACCAGAGGGCGTATCCCCTGCCACTTTAGCCGGTTTTCAGGTGCTCATTTTTGCTCGGCCGAACGTCAGTGTTTGTACTCACTAAGTCTCCGTCTAGTTACAGCACATGTGCTCCCTAGCGCATCCTTCCTGTGCCTGTCCTCCATCGATAGTGGCTATGGCGCTGCCTCACATATGGTTGCAATCCCTGGTGCGCACTAAAGTAAGGGCGCGAACATGTGTGGTTGAGGACATTTGTTGTTCGGCCCAAAGAGGACTTCTGCAGATACATTTCCTGCGCGACTTGCTGCCAGTGCACGGTACACTAATGAACTACTTTCAGGGCCACTCTCAAGGCAAAGTAATCATGCGTAGTGCACACCGAGGACTATGAGACTATGAGTGAGATGTTCACCAAGTGAATTAGGCTTGGAGACACCTAACCGAGAGTCCACAGAACCACAATCTCCAGTCAGCAGACCAGGGAGCGAATTCTGTCCCTTGACCCCTACTGAGCCCACTTAGTACGAGGCTAATGGATTTACTACGATTAACTGCATCAACTGAAGGCATAGAAACTCGCGAACTACCAAAATAGCAGCAAAACCGCCGGCGAAGAAGCGTCGGCAGTGATGCGGGCAGCAACAGCAGCAAGAAGGCCGGCGACAGCAACAGCAGCTCTCGGCAAGACGAAAGGAAAATTAGTGCATTTGTCTCGACCAAGCCGAACCCCCTATTGCAGTCATGCACGTTGCGTGAATTACATCGTGACTTGGGTTGATTGGCAGCTGCAGGCCACCTGTGCCCATCTGCAGCCTTCTCCTCCTAAAAATGGTGAAAGCGTGGGTCCATTTGACACTGCAAAAGGTGTTATGAGACTATGGGGTGGGCAAGAGGTGTGCATTATGCAAAAGTGTAGACAATGGAGAACCAGTTGTCCTTCCGAAGACACACTTTGCTACGGTGGATGCTGCTTCCTCTTGCGAATCTTCCAGCTGCTCCTTCTCGAACTTGCTGCTCAAACATTGACACAAGCAACAATTTTGCCTAAAGCGATGGTACATATTGCCCGGATTTATCTAAAAGGGGTGTACTTGGCCGTCGTGCACTTGGCCAAGAGGGTCTGACCGTCGAAGTGATGCTAGTGAGGGAGAAATAAGCACCTGACCAGTATGGCCCATTTTCGAATTGGTTTTAATCCGCTTTATTTTGCGGTCTTGAATAAAGAAGATCAAGTTAAATAGCGACGCACCTTTTAAGTGAACAGAACACATACTCACAGGTTGCTGGGTCTCGGCCGCATCTAATTACGGTCTCGGCAGCTGCACAGGGCTCTCTCTCCCCCTAGCGTTGGCCAAGTTCGGGGCGGGCTATTTAGGAGCGTTTCCTGCTCGTTCTCTGGTTCACAATACAGCGAACAAATCTCAATTCTGCTCTCTCTATACGCTAGACGGGATGTATGCTGGCACCACAGCGGTCAGGCGGGTCAGCTCTTTCCGTCTGTGTTCCTCAGGCTGCCGCGATTTCTTCATTTCCCCTGCGCTTCGGTCTATACTTACTGATGCGCCCTGGAGCATACACCCTTAGATTGAAATGAATCCCCATAGGGCCCCTGCCTTCTCGCGAGACCCGCCACGTGAATTGCAGGCTTGGAGGGGCCCCCAAAACTCGGGAAAACACGGCGGTTTTAGAGACATTGCGCAGCCTCCGGCACCTCCCGTCTCTCAGCCATCGTCAAACGTAGCAGGATACTCAGATCCAGTTTCATCTATGGCTAGGTGGAACGGCGCAAACAGGCGGGGGCCACCACCGGCACCTCCAGGGCCCCCACCCTGCGGCCCTCCGCCGGCATGGGGGCCCTTAGAAAACTGCCAGAACACTCGTCCTGGCCCGCTGCCTTGGGGCATGCGTTCAGACTTTAACTATGAAGCAGCTGGGAATAGAAGGGGAAGAAGAGGAGGGCCAGGCGTCCCAGGCCCCCCGTCTGATCAGTGCTCAATCCCCTGCCCTCCTCAGCGATTTTGGGAGGGTCCCGAGGACCCACCATGTGACAGGCATAGCATACGTCCTGGAGGTCCGAGGGTCTGCGGCGGCCGAGATGGTCCGCTGGGAACCCAACCCCCACCGCCGATTAGTGGAGGGGGGAACTCGTGGGGGGGTCCTAGGGACGACAGGCGATTCAGAGACGCAGAGTATACTATGGGGGCTGGGGAGCCCCCGCCTTGGGGCCCTCCTCTGGCGTACGACAGTGCACAGCAAGTGATGGGGAAGGGCCCTGCAGAAAGAGGTCCTGGGCCTATAGATGTGCCACGGCCGTCTCATGGAGGTCATCTCCCCCCGCTTCATAGTGAGGAGCCCCGGTTCGGTAGATTACTGCACGAGGGGGGTCCCCCTGATACGTATCGCGGCAGTTCTGCTGGTCCCCTCGTGCCAAGGGGTGGCCCGGTTTCCGGGCTTCGGAAGTCTGAATATCCCCCGAGCGCAGAAGAGTGCCACAATAGCAGCAGAAATATCAGAAACAGCAGGGACGACTGCAGCATCCCTGTAGGTCCACATTCTTTTCCCCCTGGGTCTGATATGGAGAAGGGTAACTACTTCGTGAGGCCCAATCAGCTGCCAGTGGGAGGCCCTGATAACACAACGGGCAGGAGGGCTCCAGGGCCCCTTCCGGGCGCGGCTTCGTCGCTGTGGAACAGCAGAGCAGCGGCAGAAGCAGCGGCAGCAGAAGCAGCAGCAGCAGCAGTGAGCCGCTGCATTGCAAACGGCACACTACCCAGACAGCCCCTGCCTTTCCCCGTATGTGTGCCTTCAGTGGATAGAGCACGGGAAGGAGCTCCAGATGCTCAAGAGGGGCTCCCATCATTGGTTCCAGGGGGCTCTCCTGGATCCCTTCAAGGTTTGACGGCGCAGTTAAGAGAGGCTCCGCCCTCCGGGGCGCCGCCATCCGGTCCTCAGCGGGGCCCCCCAGGGCCGCCCGCTACTGCTGGTGGCGGTGCAGGTTTCGTAGGTCCTCAAGGCAGGGGACCCTTGGGCCCGTTTCAGGGCTTACCTTTCCCAGACTTCGTGTTTGACCCGTCAAGACAGCACAATAGTGCTCCTTTCAGCGCACTGCCGCAGCAGCAGCAGCAGCAACAGAAGGAGCAGCAGCAGCATCAGCAAATGCAACCGCTGCCTCCACAAGCAGACGGGCTTCTTAGTTCTCTTCTCTCGCATGAGGGGGCCATGCAGCTATTATTGTTAGCAGCGCAACAGCAGCAGCAGCCGCAGCAGCCGCAGCAGCCGCAGAACCAAGCAGTGGGCATGCATTTGCCAGGCGCCGGCCTCCCTGCTGTTGCAACAGGCCAGCAGCAGGACCAACAGCAGCGTGCAGTGTCAGAAGCGTTGCTACAAGGCCTGGCAATGGGAGCTCAGCTACAACTGCACCAGCAGCAGGCGGGAGGCAGTGGACTGGCAAATTCCTTGTTCACGCAGGGTTGTCCTCAACAGCAGCTCATTCTGCTGGAGTCACTGCGCTCTGCAGCGGCAGCTGCCGCTGCCGCCATACGAAGTAATCCTGACGTTGGAAGCGCGTCACAGCCAGCGCAGGATGCTTTGCTACAGCTGCAGCAGCTTCTGCAGCAGCAACTGCAACAAAATACTGGGGCTTCGCCAGCTCATTTGACCTTGCAGCATACAATTCAGTCGTCTGCTGCGATGGCACTGCAGCAACAGCAACAGCCACGGCAGGAGCAGCAGCAGCTGCAGCAGCCACGGAAGGAATCGTCTCCGCAGAAACAACGCCAGGTTTCTCAGAGCGTCCCTAGTTCACATCATCAGGCTCATGAAGGCCCCGCCACTCTGCAGCAGCAGCGCTTAGTAGCAGCGGTGAGGGTGCAGCCACCGCATCTGACAACTTCTGATGACGTGCAAACCTCTTCTGGACGCCCTTCGCATGTTGGGAACCCGCAGCACCAGCAGCAAGAACAGCAGCAGCAGCCGCAGCAGCAAGGCTACGGCAGGACCAAAATGTCGGTGAGTGCTGTTTTCATTTTTGGCTTCAGTGGATATTTTGGCCCGCTTGAGTCACTACAGCTTTATCAAACGTGATGACGACTGAGCAGGTGATATTATCGATTCTTGTTCGTTTTCCTACAGCTTTTGGACGAACTCTCAGCGGTGCCTGAAAGGCTGCTAGACCCCCAGGAGAACGAGGCGGCACACACTTGGTGTTACCTCGATGCATTTAACAAGGCATGTCTTGCACCGCTCACCCTGTGTCTTGTGTCTGTGTTTTTCAAGAACTGTGGTTCGCACGTTACAGATAGCCCGTTTAGCACTGTCAGGTATGCTCATGTATATGCCTACATACTTAGGCTTAGAAATGTGCATACATGGCTACGTGTAACGTGAGTTGCTTCTCAGTTCGTTTGTCTACTGGCACCTGAGTTCAAACCATCTATTCTTTTGTGGGGCTTACTTTTTGCCCAGTATTTTATCGCTTTTTCACCTACTTTTTGGGGCGTTTTTGCCTTTTTTGCAGTGTCAGGGTCCTTTTTCTACATTGACCATGTTGCGGTGGTTGGAGTTGGGCTACTTCGACCCCACACGGCCTTTGCGTAGAGATGACGAGAAAGGATTCACACCCCTTCACGATGGGTCAAGAATAAAACGGGCAGCAAAAGATATTGTGCTCTCAGCACGGAGTCACCGCAGTGTAAGCGAATTTGTCATGCCATCTGTTTGAGTTTACGCGTAGATGCTCGGGTGCCTGCTTGCCGATGGGTTTTTTGCGTGGCGTGTGCCCATTGCGAACTGTTATGTTAAAACAAATGGCAGTTGCCAGCTATCATGGCATGGACATAGCTGGGAATACGAAAAATGCCAAGTTGCTGCCAATGCGTTAGCTTGCCCGGTGCAGACATCAGCGAGAAGCTTGACCCATATACAGACGCGCATAGAGATATATGCGTATGTATATTTTCTAGTGAATAGTGTACTGACAGGCACATGCGATACAGTCAACGAGGAATCGCTCTTAGTGAAATAAGGGGGCAGGAGGGCGGGTTTGGTATGTTGCAGCGTGCAGCGGCGGATACCGTGGAGTACGAAAGGCCCGCGTGAGTTCTTATACGCAGTGTGCGATTAGATTACGTTGTGTTTCATGGAGTTGGATGCCAGCACTTCAGGCATGCCGTGAACACGTTGTTCAATTCAGACCGTATGGCGACACAGGACGGTTAAGGGGGACTCTGTTCTCGTTTGTTCCCAGGCTCTCGCTACAGGCCAAGGTGCAATCAGCACAGGCGGCTCTGGCACCCCTCTACGTGTTGGCGAAAAAGGTAACATTCAGAGTGAAGCACGCTGCTGTATTAGTGGTAGCTGTTCGTCTCTACTTGTTTGTGCGCCTCACCATTCGGCAATGTGCGTACAGGACAGAGCGCGGCCTGGAACGCCGGCGAGCCGTAGCGAGAAGAAACGGAAAATGTGAAGGAGTAGATCTGTTTACGTTTTCAAAGGCTGCAGTAGTGACATGGTACCGACAGCAGCGAAGGGCATCTCTGTTAAGAAAATCCCTTGATTTCTACGGACATCCTATTTGCTTCTTTGATGTCATTCACCGCTACGCGACAGTTGCGGTACTCAGTCCAGTGGCTAGCTATCCACTTTCGGTGTATGCATGCATCCTCAGTTGAGTTTATGGTAACTATAGATGACGTTGGGGCGATGCATGCATAAGAAAAGGAGAAAGGCGCGCGGAGAGCTGGAATGGCGAGACACCCGGGGGGGCATGAGTGGGCTTTTCCCCATCTGTATCGCGAATATTGTGTAGTTGCGCATGAGCCACTGCAGCTCAGTCGGTGCGCATGAGCTGCGGCAGCTCGACGGCGTGGCCCATTGTCTGCGGAGCCGCCGCGCCATTTGCAAATAGAACTTGCAAGGAAAATTGGCGAAGGACAGAAGCGTGGGGATCTGGTTGCACTGTGGACTGTTTTTTCACGCGTTCTTCCTCTTCTTCGCGTATTTCTGCCCCAGTTCCTCTAGAAAGCGATTTGATGCAGCTTCGCGCTTGCGCATATTTTCCTTCAGAAGAAAAGCATATGTTTAGTGGGGAGCACGGATGATTCGTTAATACTGGCTGGTATGTTAGTGCCGCTGTCGGTTGGGGAGAGTGTTTCTAACTTGAGAGCCTGTGTGGCTGCTAAGGGTGCGAAGCTTACAAGTATGGTCAAAGCGAGAGAAGACGTATCTGCCTTCTTGGTCTTCCCTTTTACCCCAGCAGACCTACGCGCAAACGAACTAGCTCTATCCCGAGTTAATTCGCGCAAGTATATTTGTCCATTTGTTTACATTGTATATCAATTATCATTCCCAGAATATACTTCAGACGAGTGTAACAGAAGCACCCGCTACTTCGAGACTTTGCTGGCAAAGAGAGAGGGACTTCAACTGGCTGGCCGTATCTGCTGTCAAAAGCCTTTTTGGTTGTTGGGCGTGGCTGTAGTCGAGTTTGTATCTTACTTTTTCTCCTTCTCGTACTTCTTCTTGTACTTGTTGGCTATGGAATCGAATTCTCGGATCGATTTCTTATAGGCGGCAGTCTGTTTTATTCTCTGGAAGACAAAAAAAACGACACGGGGGAATGGTTTTTGCGTGGCTACCACTAGGAACGAATATGAGATTCATTTACTGGTCACGTAGCAATCGTCATTTATCTCAAGTAGTGGTCGCTATTGCAATGCTTGCCGCATTCGTGTAATTGTTGCAACAGTATTGTGATCATCATTGCGTGCGTACTGTTTACCTTATCTTTCGTGAGACTTGACAAGATCCCCTTATACCGTTCGGCCTCCGATGGGTCGCTAAGCGGAATATATTCAAAAAAGTTGGACAAATCTCCGTCAAATCTGCAAACGCATAGAAGAGGCTCACAAATATATCGCGTGAGTGAACTACGTATTGGGGCATTTGTATTGACTTCCTCAGAAATCACTTTATACCAGCTGTGCACGGCTGCACGGGATTGCAGCGTTGTGCATTGTGGATGCGTAAATATAAGCCAAATGGGGGGGAAATGGCATCCTGCTAAGCATGCGCTATGTGTGCCTTGAACAGAGGCTTCGTTGAAAGATGCACAGTATGAAGTGTCACAAGCGCAATGCGTGCTGGCTCGAATTGACGGGCATTCGCGCGTTGAGTGAGAAGATTTTGGTGTGCGAAGTCAAGAATCTTAGTGCCTTAATTTGATTAATTTGAAGCAAGATACGATCCCTCGAAAAAGACTCGCGCATACGACACTGAATGTAGCAGCCAGTGCCCACTTTTTGACAAAGTCGATTATGTCTTCCTTCTCCTCCTCGCTGCCAATGTAGCGAGTTCGGAATTGATCAATAGCCTCTTCAGTTACCTCCGGGAACTTTTCTTTGTAGAAAGCATATGCCTCCTCGTAGGACTGGCCAGTTAAACCCTCTTCCTCCGTTTCACCTAGAGAAGAGCAAAAAGAGTAACGCCGCATTCTAACTCCTTGTTACGGGCGCCAACTGAGCACTTCCTCTGCGGCATAAGGTGTTCATCCCAGCTGCGCCTGCTCCTTTTGGAGTAGTAAAGAGCTCAAGACAATCAGCGTGGGGCTGTTTTTCCACTCACCTGTTCTGTCGTACCGCTCTCTCTTCTTAGGATCGCTTAGAACGGCGTAAGCTGCTTGCAATTGCTGGAAGTGCTTGGTGGCCTCCTCCACTGAGACTTTGCCCGGTGTGCTCTCTTCGTCTTTTTGGCCGTCATTATGGCAGCTGTTTTTCTGCCGGTGTCGCACTTTATCGGGATGGCATATGAGGGCCCTGCGTCTGTAGGCTGAAGTTATTTCCTTTTGCGTAGCATTTCGTGACACGCCTAGCAGGTCGTACAGAGTGTGGGCAGTGGCTGCGTCGACATTCGTTGTTGCTTCATCAGCAGACGAGTGCTTGTCAGCTTCCCGTGATTCCCGCCTTCTTGCGCCTCTCACGGATGCCTTCTTACTTTTCGCGGCATCACGATTGTCGGCACCGGGGGCGCGGGGTTGCTGCGCCGGAGGCCTTGTCATGTTCTGCGTACGCTTTGCAGTAGAGAGGGGCTTAGCTCACTGCAATTGCCGAAAAGGCTCGGGAGCGCAAGCAGAGCAGCCCAGTCGTTAGCAACCAGCGTACCACGGGCACGGGACGGAGTGAAAGGTGGCCGGGGGTTAAGGATGGCGCCGAGACTTTCTTCTCCGGCATAACACATACTTTGAGCTTCTTACGCAAAATTTGAAAAAGAATGCCACTGATTATGAAGTCTTCGGCTGCGCAGCCTTGCGACTGTGCGACCCCACCACTCAACACGCTTAGCCCCAAAAGCCCGCACGAGTGTGAGTTAGCTCAAGCAATAACTCAGATGCCATTTTAAAGTAGAAAGTATTTGTAATTCAGGCGTAGTTGAGCTGGTGTGGCGACGTATGCGATTGCTATTTCCTTACCTGTTCATCACTCCTTGCCATTTGTTGGAGGCCCACCAAGACACAGCTCGGCGATCCTCCTGTTGCTCAGCGTGCTTTCTGGCGGACGAATGCAAAGGAAACAAACAGTGCATAGACTTTTTTGGGCCCTCCTGTCAATCAGCTGCCGAAGACTTGGAAACACCCAACAGCGGCAGCACCTGCAGGCGGAAACGAAGCACGAAAGAGTCTCAAGATCGGGCTAATACATGGGTCACACAGCAGCCATAACGATTACCGTGCAAATTCGCTGCGTCAGCAGCCGCCTGCAGATGCCTAGGGCTCCACGGCACAGCCTTGGCTGCAGTGCCGTAGTCACCGTTTAATTTCCGCATTTTCCGTGCTCTCCCCCACCTGCATCCCTCAACTAATGGAATTCGGACTATCAAATGAATGGCTTCTTACAGCCATTCGCCTCAGCAACGAGGCGGCTGCTAGGGACTCCGCTGGTCATCTTCCAGAGGCCTTCGAGCTCTACAAGCGTGCCCTAGAAAATTGGCGAATTGTTTGCAAGTGTACGTTGCGAGACACAAGTGCAGAAATGCCTACGCATAACACTTCATGAGGCGATCCAGATATGACGGCGACCACACTACGGCCTACGTGCTTCTTCAACCCAGTTCAAATGCTATATTTTCACTTGTATATGCATATCAAGCTGCTGGATTGTGGCGTGTGGTCTCCATTCTTTTATGTCCTTCTCAGTAGTTCGGAAGGCTCGTGTTCCCCATTCTTTTTCGATTGTGTGCGACTGCTGTTTTTTCAGTTCAACAAAATCCAACACTGAGAGAACGTCTGTACAAGCGAATGGATGGGTACATAACCAGAGCTGAGCAGCTGAAACAAATACTCCGTGGGGGACCGAAGCTGCGTATGCAACAGCGTTTGCTTCTGTGTACGGCCTCTCCCGCCCGTTCGACTTCTCCTGTCAAGCCCGTTCGGCGCCCTTTAACGCAAATGACAACCACTCCCGCCTCGTGCTCTCCCGCTTCCCCTTCTCCACACGGCACGCCACCCACTGCCACTGGAGACTGTCCCCTAAGTGCGGCCAAGTCGGACGCAGATGCGGCTGAGGGGGAACGCATAAAACAGAAGCTGGCCCGTGAGTTTTCAAACCACGCGAGGCCTGCAACTGCAGTGGCAGGAACTGTAGGAACGATGCACTTTAGAACACATGCATTAATCGAAAACTTTGTCCTGTTCTGCTGCGTGTTTCGGAATAATGCAGACGCCATTCTAACGGAAAAACCAAATTTCAAATGGTCAGACGTGGCAGGTGAGCTGCACGGACTTCAGGTTCTTTTAGCAGGCAGTAAATGAAGCTCAGAGATTCGCAGTGTGGCCTCTTTCATATTTTTTTTGCGTCGATCAGGGCTTGAGTCTGCAAAGGAGGCGCTTCAAGAGGCCATTATCCTTCCTTCTCGCTTCCCCAGTTTGTTTACCGGTGAGTTGCGTTACCATTTTCTTCAGGAGGCAGAAAGCAAGTCAGGAACACACCAAGCTGAATCGCGCGTCCATTTCAAAGGTCTCCCGGTGCTCTCAGGCGAACGGCGACCTTGGCGTGGCATTCTGCTTTACGGAGTTAGCATCCCTGCCCACTTTCTGCAGCATGAACTTCGACAGTAAAGACATTGTTTTGTAATGTATTGTGTGCTTTGCTTAGTCTGCCGATGCCTAGTGGCTACGCATCAGTCATTTAATTTCGATTCAAGACACCAAATTTATGCAACTGCTTTCTGCGCTTGAGATATATTTGGTGCGCCGCATTTCGTTCAGCCTCCTGGAACGGGTAAAACGTTTCTTGCGAAGGCTCTTGCGGCTGAGGCGGACGCAACGATTCTTTCGGGTATAGCAGTCGCCTTTAGTTGACCCTATTTGGATTAAGTAATACTCAAAATTTAACAGTCTTACTAGTTCTTCATGTTTATTTTAAAGCTCGTTGCGTGCTCGTTTTCGACTTTTCGCAGTGTCAGCGGCTGACCTCGTGAGCAAGTGGCAAGGCGAAAGTGAGAAGTGAGATGGTTTTACCCATTAGTAATCGTATGGATCAATAGCTGTGGTTTTAGCTACGTTAGACCATACGAGCGGGCACTGGTCTTCTATGCTTTGCATTTGCATTCTTGATTACGCCTGGTCGATTTATTTTGCAATTTTGTAGGCCATGTTGCAGAAATTGAATCCTTTTGGCTTCAATTCGGTTTTATCTGCCGGGTTTTTTCTATGGTGGCTTCGAGAATATTTCCGGCTTACTCTTCTTATTTATTCGCATGCTTGAAGCGGAGTATTTTTAAGTATACTGTCCTGTATGCGGTGCTGAACGGGCTTCCTTATAGTACATCGAGAGAACTTGATTGCCTTCTGTCAACACATTCACTTGGTCTTTGCAGGTTGGTCCGCTCGCTTTTTCAGCTGGCTAGAGAGCGCAGGCCATCTATAATATTTATTGATGAAATCGATTCAATGTGTGGAGGTAAGGACAGGGCTGATAAGCACTTGCTTTTGCAAGTTAAGCAACAGCACGGAATAATTGGTACATAGACATATATTAAACTTACTTTCCTGGCTTCCTGTTGCCCAGCTCGCTCTGAAAGCGATAGCGAGTCATCGCGACGCATGAAGACGGAGTTCCTTATCCAGATGCAAGGGATCAACTTCGACATGAGTGAAGTGCTTGTTCTTGGGGCAACAGTAAGCCTGCCTAGCGCGCCCGCGAAATGCAAAAGTTTGACGCCCTTAGCCCAAAACGTTTGATTCTCGGTGCGACTGGCTTATCTTCGCAGAATACACCGTGGGCTCTGGATGCAGCAATTCGCAGGCGGTAAGGAGGGCTTTACGTACTCTTGCTGCTCCTCCCTACATATTTTCGACAAGGTTTTCGTCGCCTCGCGACCGCCATATCATGCATATGGAGCGGCCATTTATTTCATGTGTTCTACATTTGAAATGCAGATTTGAGAGGCGCATCTTCATACCGCTACCCAAAGTGCAGGCCAGAGAACAACTGCTTAGAGCTGGCCTGGGCGGCACACCGCACCACCTCTCGGAAGCCGACTTCCGCTATCTTGCCAGAGAGCTAGAAGGGTCTGCTGCAATTGCCGCATCACGCCCACACTTCGTTGGCCGTGCCTGCCTACATATATTCGCCCATTTGTACCATTTTTCTGCATCTCTTTTCCCCGTGGTGACGCGTGAAGCTAGTTGTAGAAAAATACGGCTGCGAATCCTGGCCGAAAATGCACATAAGGGTGAGATTCCCAATTAAAGAACTGCAATTGTTTGTTGAAACCTTTTCAGGTTTAGCGGTTCCGACATTTCCGTATTGGTTCGGGATGCCTTATTTGAGCCCATCCGGCGATGCCGCACTGCGACGGCATTCAAGCAAGTGATGATTAACGGTTGTGCCTTTTTTGTACCATGCCATCCTGGTGAGGACGAGGTTGTGTTAGCGGTGGCGGCGAATTGACATTTGCATTTTTTTCAGCTCGTCCTCACCTCTTGCATATTCTTTTCTTTTACGTTCCATTGCTTGTGCTTCCAGGTGATTCTGATCCAACAACTCGCAAAATGGCGTTGATGTCCGTTCCAGCGGATAGATTGTTGCCCCCGGAAGTGACAATGGTGCGCGTACTTCTGTTTCCTTTTGTGCTATGAAGTAGGACTTTGTGCTTTTCTGACAATATTTGTGATCAATACAACTAAAACAAGTGTAGATTCCACAGAAAATGCTGAATGAATGTACAGGAAGACTTCCATTCTGCTCTACGCCACACGCGCCCTTCTGTTAGTCCGGAGGTGAGCATCCTCCCTGGTCTCTCCGCATCCTTCCTGAGTCAGTATCAGAATGTCCACAATGTCGTCTTGCACGCTTTTTGGATCCGTTGCTTCGCGTGCAGGACCTGCGAATGCACATTAGCTGGACCGAGCAGTTTGGATTGGAGGGTAGCTAAAAGCTATCGCTTGATTTCGATCCGTTCACTGAGATGTACTCGTTACGTCTCTCTAAATGCAGCGACGCAACTAAATTTTTTTCAAGGCTATGCACTTGCGCAGCTCCTATACACACCTCCGAATTTCCTTACAGCTTGAACTTCAGTATCCCTACATCTGGTAGCACCGTGCTATGCACATGCGCCCTGTCTGGACAGCAGCTCAAAGCTCAGTGGACTAGGATGTGCTCGAGGCTAATTTATCCTGTAATTTGTATGGAAAATCTATAGGCTAATGAGGCATCAAGACTTCAAAACTCTTCAGTTCTCCCTATTAGGAGGGCAGACGGACCCTGTATTATAGGTTATAGGAACTGCTGCAGTTTTTATATTCGCTAGGCTCAACATGAACCGTGTTCCTTGGTTCTTTAAACGTCCTCTAACCCCGCAGTAAGGGCTTGAATAGTGCATATAGTATTCCCCTGGGGCATGTTACTGCAGAGGGATATGTATTGCACAGGGATATGTAAATGCAAGGTCAGCAGGAACGTTCCGCTAATCAAAGGCGGGAAGACTATGTAATACAATCAGCTGAGTCGTCATTTTGGGAGTTTTCATGTTGCTCACGGGAAAATAAAGTAACGGGTCACTTCTACAGTCAACCCGGCCTGCATAAGCAGCGGTGCTCTACCAGCCCCAGTCCTCCCTTATGGGCCCTTGGGCGTCTTTATGTGAATTACCTAAGGTAAAATCAGAGCATGTTGGTGCATATACAGCGGAGCATTAAAGTTTCTAAATATCGCCTTCAAAACTTTAGGAAAATCAAATTTTTTTAAAAGTTGAACGAACGGAACAAGGAAACTCATTTGTGCTGGCACTGTGGGGCAACGTCTTGGGGACCCCAGGGGGCCCTCCATCTGTCGATGATGGTCACGGCCATTGATCGATTTGCATTCTGAAATTCGTTGTCCCCAAAGTAGTTGAAATGTTTGCATATAGAGGGCATGTAATGTGACGGCAGTTGATAAGACTCAGCATTACCTCCCGCGAGAACTCTACAAAGTCCCGAGCCATTCTTCTCCGACTTACACTAGTGTTATGTAGTTATATGCAGCCGGCGACGCTGCTTATTGTCTCTCACTTATTTGTACGCCCGCTGATGGATTTTGAAAGCTTTGAGCCGAAGCATTGTTACACGTATGGAGAGTCCTTTCTTGCGTGACCGCTCCGTTGACCGAGAACACGCCCACAATGGGGGCCCTGAAGGCAGTGGGGCTTCTGAGTGGAGGAAAAGATAGCATATTCGCAATGCACTATGCGCGTGAGCTCGGTCACAGTATCTGCGCAGTGGCGACATTGCTGCCGCGGGGAGACGCCATAGAAACTGACAGCTACATGTACCAGTCTGTTGGCACCCACATGACTGCGGCGATCGCCGAGTGTTTGGGTGTTCCGCACTTCAGTGCGCAAGTCAATGGCCAGCCAATCCTGACGGAAACCCTTAACTATAAACATACTGCTGGAGATGAAGTGGAGGACCTTTGTGCTTTGCTTTTGCGGGTGAAAGTAAGCGCAGATTGGCTACGTCAACAGAGACAATACAGTCCTTCCTGATTTTTGCGTTCTTTCTTTTTCCCGCACTGGGTACTTGTATTTCGAGTTCTGGATGAGCACACATCTGTGGATGCCTCCAGGAAGCCGTACCCGATCTACAGGCGGTGACCTGCGGCGCCATTTTGTCAGAGTTCCAGCGTCGGCGGCTGGAGCACGTGTGAGTTCCTGCACCAGATTAGTGAAGGGCAATTCTTTGTGCTTCTACGAATATAGACTCGGACCACAGTGGAGGCGGTGAAGGCGGAGGGCGGGGCAGGTGGCCCCGGGGAAAGGAAGCAGTCGAGTTCTTCTGTGGCAAGATAAGACTGCCGGGCTGAATTTTATATGTGTGCGGTGGGATCTGCGCTACAGGTGCCAGCGTCTTGGGTTAGTACCCATATGCTTGATGTGGAGCTGCCGGCAGGAGACCCTGCTGCGTGAAATGGTCAACTGGGGACTCCATGCAGTGCTTGTCAAAACTGCTTCTATGGGACTTACGCGGAAGCACTTGGGACATACCATTAGTGACCTTCTGCCGTACTTTGTCTCTCTAAACCGCCAGTACGATTTCCACATATGCGGCGAAGGTACGAATATGGTATATTTCTGAATGCAGTTTACAAGCCTTTGTGTCTAAATGTTACGCCTGCTTGAGTTGTAGGTTCTGTGGTTGCTGTCTGCTCTGCGTAAATGAAATTGCAGGAGGGGAGTATGAAACCTTGACGCTCGATTGCCCTCTGTTCGAGAAGGGCTCAATCGAGGTTTCAAATTGGCAGCCAATTTGCCACAGTGACGACCCTGTGGCGCCGGTTTGGCTTTTATCCCCCACAGAGTGGCGCGTGGTGCCGAAAAGCTGCGCACGAATTGCACATCCACTAGCAGCAAATACAGCCTCAGCTCCCATGAGGCTGCACGCACTTGAACGTGGGCGTTTTGAACCTTATCAGGACAACATTCGCCATGCTGTAAGCATTTGGGGTTCAGAGGAAGACGCCGACAGTGCTCAAACTGCGTCATTGAGTGAGCCACTTGATGTCCTCCTTGGGTGGCGCAAGAACAGCAAGTGGAACTTACAAGTTCAAAGTTCTTCTTCAGGGTGCATCGTTAGTGCAGATGTATGCGAGGAAAGCGCGGACGCAGATGTCTCTCTTGATGGTTCTACGGCAACTGAACCCAGAGATTTTGTTGCTGAATTGCTGAAGTCGCTTTCCTCCAGCTTGCAAGAATGGCTTGACGACCAACTGAGGACAATGCGGAGAAACTCCAGGAGTGCTCACCCTGTGCAAACAATCTGTCAAGTGTGCAGCTTAGAACTCAGTCGCACTGTCGAGAATGTGTTCATCTCAAGACGTGCAGTGCCTCACCCTATGACCTTCTTCGTCACGTCCTTGCCTCGCCGCGTTGCACTGCGACTCGCGATTGTTTGGAGTCTTTCCGAAGGCTCAGGTCCCAGCCTTGATGCCTTTTTCAACTATCCTGGTGATAACGGGATGCTTCATGTGCACAGTCAGAACCTGTGGGTACCGCCATGCGATGAAGGCGAGGCCAACGGCTCGCAGGACCATTCATTGGAACGCAGCTGTTGCACATGTCAGGGCCTGCGCTGTGAGCTGGCTTCGAATTGGCACCCTGGTGTATCTCACGTGTTCATTCGCGGCATTGATGGCAGTTTCCCTTTTTCTGGAAGGTTGCCTGACATGATTAGCAACCCCTCGCTTCGTGCCCTTGCTGGAGAGCTTGGTGAGTTAAGGAAGTCCGACCAAGGGCTACACGTGGCTTTGCAAGCTGCCAGCTCATTTGTAAACGTACAGCACGCGCTGCATCTTTGCAAAGTTGGCGGCGCAAACCGTGGCTTGCCGCATATGTTTGGGGCTCCTGCAACTTCAGAAGCCTTGAAGGACACGCAGCGGTTGCCCATAGACGTTCCTTCTTGCATTTTAGCATTTGTCAAGCTGGAAAAACCAGTTACAGAGTCGGCATCAACGGCTGAAATGCCAGGACGCTCTGACAGAAAGCTAGAAGCTGTGAAACATCTTCTTCACGGCCTTCTGGACAGCTCGAAAACGCGCAGCGCACATCTCCGTGTCAATACACAATCGGCTACCCAGACCATTGTTGTCGTTGTCGAGGTTTCGGATCTTCCGCGAGGCGCAAAGGTTATGGTGCTTCCGCTGTGGGAGGTGGCATTCCAGAGCAGTGAGACTCCCTTCTCCCGTTCGTGCTCAATTCAAGAATTGCACCACCGGGGTGATACATACAGCGCTACAGTCACAACACTGAAAATTTGCCCAGGGATCTCCCATGATAGAGAGGTTACTTCAAAAACTGCTGACTCTGGCGTTTCTTCTTGCTTGATGTGCATTTCGTTTCAACAAAGCAACTGCACTGGCTCCAGTACTCTGGAGAGCTTTTGGGGGCAGCTCGACAAGACGCTGACTCTGAGCTTGGGGAAAGAAATGGGCACCGCCCAGTTTCTTGGCTTGACAGACTTCAATAATAGCAAGAGGCCAACCACGGGGCATGGGAACAAACGGATTCATGACATATATGTGTTTTACTCCCGTCCTTTTGCATGCTCGTTTGGTGTCGATCTGAAATTCTTCGAAGAAAATTGCCGTCGTCGCATCGTGGCAGCTTTGAGTGGGACGGCATCCGCCACTTCAGAGTTACCCCTCGTTATATTTATCCCCGTTGTTAATATCGAAGGGGGGTTCTTGAAGATTGTTGCGTGCTCCATATAGTGAGGTCTAACAACAACTAGAGATAATTAGGCATGTAATTTGTGGAATTGCTATCGGGCTGCACGGGCAGGCAGGCCTCGGAAAACCACGTGGCACTGCTCAGCAGCGGCGAATACAAAGTAAGGCGGGTTTCGACTGTTTAAAAGAGCAATAAAGTTTTCTTGTTTGTGCCATTGGCCGTGGACCAGTAGTTAGCTGGCACCGATGTGCTTGCAACCCTTAGACCTCCTGAAAGTATTTTTACATTTGCTGCCAAGGCTGGGGTGAACCGAGGGGCATTGCTGGCCATAGTCTCAACATGTCGTCTGCAATTTTGAATAGCAGATCACGTAGAACTTCTTCAAATTCTCCGTCCACGTCGTGGTCAGCAATGTTGTTAAGTAGCCGTCTCATGTCGAGTGTCCCGTCATCTGAAGACCAGAACACATGGGAACACTGCCGATCACGTTTCTGAGGGAAGTCCCTTGGCTACTACTAACCAGCCGTTGGGAGTATTTGCGGCTGACTCACCGCTTGCAAGGTGGCGTGCTACCTTCTGCAGAAGCAGTTGAATTCCAGTGTCAAATAACTCACGAACCATTGGGACGTACACCTGCAGAACGCGACATGGTAGACAACGTCACTAAAGCTTCGAGCTTCTAACTCGTTGTACAGGCAGGAAACGAGAGCTTGAGTAAGGGGAAAGTTGCAATGGGTTTGGGCGCATGCAGCATTTACCTTTAACAATACATCAAACAAGCGGTGCAAAAACTTGATTAAGTCTTTAGGATTTGCCAACACTATATCCAAATCTGGCCTTTCCTCCACCTTTCCGCGGAACTCCCGCGGTAGAAGAAAATCGCCTTTGCAAACCGCACAGACACTCGCAGGCCTTGCATCACTGTATTAAGTCGATAAGCACTGCTACAAAAAAAAGATTAATAGATATCAGCTCGAGCAGAAGAGACATCGACCCAATCAATGCAACTGACCGTTTTCAGCTGGTAGAATCCCGTTCAGGATCTTAATCAGGAGGAGGTACACGTAAGCGCCAAGACCCTTAACAGGTGCCGTCAGTACCTTGTAAAGACCAGATGAGGCGCTGGGAAAATATAAGCAAACAACAACAGTATGGAGGGGTTCCCCACGGTTCAGTCGACCAAGTTGCCGCCACTTCACGCAGTTGACCTACTAACCTCCAACACTCTACTGTGCTTTCACTGTGACGAAAAAGTACTTCTCACCTGGTAGCAATCTTTATTTGATACCAGAATTTGTATAAGTTGCTGGGGTCAAGGAGGGCGGAGCGAACGTTATACAGCATGGGCCTTATAAAAGCCAGAAGAGGCACCTCCTTCCACCAATCACGAGTCAGCCCCTTACCTGTGTCGAGTTCACCAAGCAGTCGCGTAAATATATCTATATGAACCTTCATGCTGTCAACAACGGGCTGAATTGCTGAGTTCCACAATCCATTTGACACCTGAGAAACACGAACGTATGGTTAATAGAAGGTTCCATTATGAATGCGCATTTGACAACGGGCGGCTGGGGCATCACTTCACCATCAATGCAAAGAAGTCTGGTGTAAACGCCATTGAGTGCGTATATCATCTTGCGAGTCTAATTGCTGAATGCGCAGCTGAAATCTAGGCATATGCGTTGACATATGACAGGAGGGCTCCAGGAGGGCGCTACTACCGCATCTCACAGAAAGGGCAGATGCTGCTGCATTCGGGCCTTCGAATGCACTGAATGCAGCTTTGAGAATAGCATTTAGCGCTCGAGCTCTTATGGGAGTCCAGAAGATTAGCAAGAGGTTTGTCAGATGGTCTGGAATAGGTGTGCCCGTTATTTTACTCAGGAGGTGGGCACCTGCCGTACTGACGGCGCCAGCACCCTTGGCAAGAAAACGAGTATAGATGCGCTTGAGAGACCCCATATCTTTCATTGGGCTCATAGCTGTAGTGCCACTGATGGCCCCAGAAACCTCGACAGGCTCGCTTTTTTCCTCTGAAGAGCGCAAGACAGAGAGCGAGTTTACCAAAATAAAACATACACTGCAGTTCAAAAGATTATCCTTGCATATGCTAGAGAGGCTCCTTTAAAAGTTTCGCACACCCAGTTAATTTGTAGACGAACTGTTTCGACGTGCCTGTTGGAGTCACTGCCGTATCTATTTTCTCGAGAGAGGCAGCAAGTGCATTAAACGCAATGACGTAATGCTCTTGCTTTTCTCGGGGCTTTGAAATAATCTGTGCAGCCTTCTTAACAAGTCCGATAGCCTGATCTATGATTGGGGTCAACAAATTCGATAGTGCCTTTTCCAGTTGGCCAATGACGTCAAGAACACCGTCAATATCAATGACCTCACTGGAAACAAGCTGATCGACATACTTTTGGGAAAGCTGGTAATACTGGTGGCGGAGCCTATCCTCTGTAACAACGAAGGAGCATCTTGCGCAAACCAAAAACGATTGGCCTGAAGTTAACTTGGTAGATGTCATTGCTGAAACCGCTGCTATTGCTATTCAACAGCAGTTGCTCCAGAATATCGCATATGTTATTGACTGTGGGGCTTACCAAGCATTTTAATGTCACTTCCATTTATTTCTAGGAATGAAATCAAATCCAAGAGCACTTCTCCCCTCGGAGCTCTTCCCGGGTTTTGAATTTGGTGCAAGCGAGAAATTTGTACGGCGAAAAATTCCGAGATTTTCCCAAAGACCCTTTCTTTATCTGAATTTGCAAACAGAGTTGATGGGCACGTTTGCTTGTTGAGAAGAGAGCGTCTGAAGAGAATTGGGCCACAAAGGCAACGTGTTTCTTACCGCCGTCACTGTTTAATGGCAATTCACTGACAGTCACGAGTTCTTGAAGGAGCAGTGGCTGCAGTTTGCTTTTGATATTCGCTGGATGAAGCTTGTTTCCCAGCTCTTGTTTCATCAACGATCCGATGACCTCGCTCAGTCTAAAAACGATCTTGTCCGTCCAGGAAGCATTCAAACTACTTTGTGGAATGGCTGCGTCCTTGGATTGAAGGGATTTGCGGTACTTGTCCACTGCAAATACAATGACGCGACACACATATTTGCACTGTAATGGCAGCGACAATGCCCTGGTAGTCTGAAATTTTCTAAGACGGCTTACGCGCATCTTGCTGTGTCGCAAACTCCTCCAGTCGGCGAGCAACTGTCGTGACATAGTCCTCCCACATCTTCAATGCTTTTTCTGAGAAGAGTGCAGTTCATAGGGCCGGCAAACAGATATTCGTAAATTCTTAACAATCCACATGCTTCAAAAATAACAGAAAGAAGGCAGCGCACCCCTGGGACTGGACGAAAGTAAATTTGTGAGATCGCCTAAGAGCACAATGCACAGTTGTCAATACCCAAAAGCGAATTAGACTAAGTCTTTCGGAGTGTATAGCCACAATTTCGGCCTCCAAAGAGCGTTCCGACCACAAAACTGTTAGTTTTCAAGGGCGCGGCGTTTTTGCAGCTCACTCGTTGGCATTACACCGTCTCCGACGAAGTTGAAGAATTGCAGCGTTGTTGAGCGAGCTTCAGAAGGAATCATGCTCTCAAAAGACACTTTATCCACAGCATCAGAAATGGAAGGCAACAACAACGGTTTGCCGGATGAAACAACGTATGCAGTTATAGCCTTTTGTCCTTGCTCTCTCAAAGCGTCCACATTAAGAACCTTTACTGAATAGCAGAGAAAAGCACGGACAAAGGAAGGACTAACAATTTCACTAATTGATGTAGTGCCGGCATTTGCGTAACTTTCTGTACGCTGAATAGGCATGGAGACGGTCATTAGTATCTGGTGAGGAGGTGAATGGCTCAGCCTACATGCTGATAAAATATCTGGGCGTTGCGCTAAGGTATTGACTTCGCCAAAAAATTTCAATAGACCCATCTCGAAGATCCTATGAAGCGTTCTCCAGAGGCTTCTGGCTCTCCACATTGCCTCCAGCGCTGCAATGGTCGCACTTCCCCAGGCAAATAGTAGCTCCTCGTTGGCACCTGCAGCAAGACCAGACGCAGGCAGTTCAGTTGCTCTCTCCTTGATTTGCTAGTAGGTTGATCCTGGTGACAATGGAGAGGATGGCCACAATCGGGACAGCTCACCTGGTGGACTACTGGAACTAATTCTCGTTCGAAGGTCTGTCAGCAAATCATATGTACGCTTCTTCACATTATCCACTGCATCGTAAAACGCTTCCCTATTCAAACGGCGATCAAATGTGGTCTGTAGGGACTCCTTCTCAGTAGCTGAAACTCGGCCATGGCTTTCGAGTATAACCAGAACCTTCTTGAACTGGGTGCGACTGACACGAGCACCTTCTGTCTTATGAAACTCTTGTAAGAAAAGTATCAGGTCCACGTACAGTTCATTTTTTGGGTAGGCGCCGGCGATGTGATCTGCAGTGAGCACATAGACTGCTCAACCCCTTATTCCATTTTATCTACCAACAGGCAAATCTCTGAATGCATTGGTTTAAGCTCCACGAGAACCTTGATTCTGCTTCTCGATGACATGTAGCCCGACGCTTTTAGACCATAACATAACGGCCCTACCTAGAGTCGTTCCAAGAACTTCGTCGTGTTGAGAAGCTGCAAGGCACAGCGAGAGCACAAGGAATCACGCTGCATCTTTGCTGCAACAAGTAGCCAGCATTTTCCGTGAGTTATTAAGCAACAAAAAGCCCTCTGCCATGCTCTGAAACATGTCCATTTACCCCAAAGTGGTAAAAGATCCTCAGTCGTCCACTCTACTGTCCCTGTGAGGAAGTGTCGGAGTTGGTAGGATGTCCCGCAGGTCCCCATGTATTCGTATACTTCGATGCTGGATGATTTTCGAACAAGCTCGCCCTGCTGGAAACCTAGGGAATTATCAATGCAGCTCGCTCACAAAATCATAAAGTCAATCAACGGCATAACTTCCGTTCCTGCGCTTTCGGAACTGTCCCACGGCTTGCAGGCCATAAAAGCAAGCAAATCTCTTTTCATACTGATGTTCCTATCAAGTAGGCTTTGAAAGCTGGGAGAAGCCGCTTACCGCTTAGCCTGAAAAGAGGTTCGCGTGAAAGAATTATTTCCTCAGACTTCTTCCGGCGAAGCTTTGATACGCAGGTCGTTGAGGTAAGCGGCGTAATGTGCAGGAGTTCGTACTTCACTTTACTGCCAGAAACGTTGACTAGATCTCCTACGCTGACTTTTTCAGCTGATAAAACAACAAGAATAATTAGCAAGTGGACAGCGTATACGTACTTGTATACTCAAGTACACAGTGCTGCATCTAAAACAATGAGCCACTAGTTATTTGACCGCTGAGTCCGAGCACCTTTACATTTGGAGATGTGCCTGTTGGCCCGAGAAGGGCTAGATTTCTCACCAGAGAAAAGAGGCTCTGTGATAGCTACTGAAGTGCTGTCTTCTTCGTCCGTCGTAGTCGGCCTCACAAACTTGACACCACCTTCGATTTTCTCGAGTGTCACAAGCGTAGTGCCATGCCAAGCCTTGTCGCCAATTCTTACGATCGTGTCTGTGCAGTTTCAATGAAATAGGCAAGTCTCCTGAATAACGATCTCCATTAACTCAGAGACGTTTTTGAAACTTTAGATGTCGCAGGTCGCTTCGGTTGCTTACTGTGCGAGACTGCCTTCAAAACTTCTCGGATGAGGAAATTTCGTTGACTCTGGCACACAGTGCTGGTTGTGGTGCGGCTGAGGACAATATCAACATGCCGTGTTGTAGCATTAAGCCATGAGCCATATTTACTACTGGAAACCTCCTCAGAATGTAGAACAGGGAGTATGCTGGTCCACATTTCTCGAAGCAGTGCAAGACTTGAACGAGACCCCGGGTCGCATTCTGAACACACGGGCAGGCCTTGACAGTAAAGCTATGCATACATCAAAACTCGATATACACCTATAGTCTTTAGTCCTTTGTGACTTCGAATCATGCTTTGTGAAGCTCGCCTTTTGGTTCTTCAAATCTGAACAATTGGCTTGAAATCGAGTCCTCCACGTAGAGCATTTCTTCAAAATTTTTTAGTGTGACAATAGTGCGGTTGCTGTTTTTGAGCATTGCAGTTGTCTCTGAGCCCTCTGATATGTTCCCAAATAGAACATTTCCACTTAGCATCACAAGAATGGAACACGGGTTTTCGATAGATTGAACACGGAGGAAGCCTACAGGAGCTGAACACAATGCCACCAAAAAAGCACCAGCTGATTCATACTTCCACGGCAATGCAGCACTAGTGCACGCAGCAGTTTCACCTTCTGTACGTACGACAAAACATCCTACCGTTTGAAAGTGATGCAACACTCACCTGCCTTTGCATCGAGTCCCTCAACAGGCGGAGGTAGAAAGGATGCAACTTCAGTGAAGTTTACGTCCTTTTTAAAAGCTTCGAGTGCCTAAGCGAGGCATCACATTTATTCTACGTGAACAATTCGAAAACGTGTAGCCTTTAGAAAAGTCCAAAGCAGCCAAGCGCTGGTAGCAATTTATACCTGCAATTTATACCTGTTGAACAGTTGATTCGCCGCTCCCCAGTCCCAGCTTTTTAAGCCCCCAGCGAAGATTTTTGACAGCATCGCATTGTAGCTCGTAACCAGCTGAAGGCTCGCCGCGTAGTGTAATGCTCTGGCGTACTAAGAACCTAGCGAGGGGCCATGCTGTCTCCTGAGAACAAAAAAGCGCGATTTTGCAGGCGATGCAAATAAGTGTAACCCGAAATCAGACTAGGAAAGTGTCCAAGCATGCCTTTAGCATAATATGGCCCAGTACTGCCAACACACCTTAAAAAATTCATCGGGCGCTGCTTCCTCTAAAACGAATCTGATAACGGAGTTGGCGAAGGTGCTGCCCCTAGCGGAGATTTGCAAAAGAAATAGCCCCGTGAAAAGCAAAACGGTCTTTTCATGCCTATAGAGGCCTTGCTCTTGTAGAGTGCTGTTTAGGGGATCTGGCATTGCAAAACAAAGCAAAATACATTAAAAAATGCTAAATGCCTTGAATGCGCTCCAGCTAAAGTCTAAACGTTTGATATTTGAGGTTAGCAAGCCTGCTGGTAAGTTTACCATCGTAGCCAAAGGGAAGAAAACCCTGAATCAGCTGGATGTGAGCACCAGGAACTGCTTCCTTTGCATGTCGAGTTGGCTGTGGTGGCCTAAATGGACATTGTTGCTGCATCCTCATATTAAGCAGTTCTTCATTTTGCAGTTGCTTCAATGTCCCTTGCCAAACGTCGAAAGGGCGGTGCAAGACAGCGAACAAGTCACTGATATCTGAGTCTAGTTCTCTAAAGTCAGTTTCTTGAAGGCGATAATCTGCCTCGTTGCTTGAAACGAAGAGCCTGGATACCCTACCATAGATTGTCCCAGTAAATCTTACTCTGACTTGCTGTATCACGTCTTCTACCTGAGGAAATAAAGACCATTGGAACCCCAAAGCAGAATCGTAACGCCTTATTTGTAGAAAGGTGTTGCTTCGAGCTCTCTTGAAGCATTCTGCTTGTCTGACGGTTGTCGTACACCTGCAGCCCCACCTCGACGTTTGCAGCATCAATGCGAGACTTCATATGCATGAACAAGTTCGTGGCCGCGTCCCGCTGTCGGCACTCTTCAGAGTCGGAAGGTATGTCAATTTGCAGTAGATCAGCAGCTTCGGGGAGCTCATAGGTGCACGGTGCAGGCACGTCGTTCTCCTCAAGAAAGCTGAGCACGTCAGCTATTCTTTGTAGGCGCGCTTTCCTAGTGGCTACGGCCCGCCGTCGAATAGCAAGAGTAACATCACTCATTGCTACTGCTAAAATAATGATCGCAGACACTTTTGAACAAGGAATTGAACCATCCTGTTCTTCCGGAAGACGTAGACGTGCAAACAGTTTTCGAAAAGTCTGCTCGAACATGCAGATGCGGTGCATCCAGTAGTCCACTAGCGTTGTTGTGGACAATGCCTTCGCTAGGGCGCTTTGCTCAAGTTGAGGGGTCATGGCAGGCTGCCCGGTTTCAGAAAACTGCTTCACCATGGACTTCAGTTCATTCGCCTTAAGCCACCAGGCAGCGCAATGCTTGCCGCAAATTTTGCTTTTGAAATGCTGTTTAAGTCCAAGAACCGCTGACTCTTCCCTTTCCCTGCGAAGCAAGTACGCTGCATGTGCTGTTTTGGAAACTATTTGTTCTGTTTGCTGGAGAACTACCATGTGCGCCGGGTCCACTGTCGTAGTTCCACGGGCTTTGGGAGCACCCTGAGAAAAATTCCAAGCAGAACTGAAATTCTGATAGAATGCGCTTTTGGAAAAGACAGTTAGCGGTACCCTAAGTCTGAAGCCCCTGACAGAGTAATTGTCTTTTGAGATATTTTCTCGATTAAGCAGGGAGAACCAACAAAAGTACAGCGTGCATGACGTACAGGAAAAAAGGTTTTTAGCTCCTTTAATGATTCAGAACATCTGTTTGGGACGGCGACGGATTTTTTTCGGTTTCGCCTGAAGATTGAAAAAGCTCTGGAGAGTTGGCTTGGGGAGCTCGGCGCTAAGAACGCACGACTGAGTTTTAGGCCCGTTTCAACTGGAAGCCTCCAACAGGACTGTGCGAGCTCATTTGCTGTGCGTTGTGTCCAAAACTGTTCTTCCCGGGAGTTCACAAATTGCGTGTTTGAGATGATGCTGAGGTATTCGGCATGCAAGCCATTAAGGAATAGCCACAACCAAGGGCCTGTTAAGGCGTATGTCGCCAGTTCTGAACGGCAGCGCAACAGAGTCATTGGAAAAAGAATGTTGAGCACTTGTGGTAGGAAGATTGCAAAATGCGGGTATATAGCAGGTTATGTGAGCCCAGGGGAGCACTGGTACCGAGCTTCCTGCCGCTGCCCTACGTACCCGGCATGGCATACTCAACCATTACAGGAAAGTCACGATCGTCCCTGATAATGCAGGCGCGGCCTGTGTAGCAGTCTTGTACAATGCTTTGTCCCACTTCGAACTCCGCCATGAAGTTATTATCCAACTCAAGAAGGGTATTATACGCCGAGCGCGCATCGGACAGCATCCAGTTGCCATTTCTGAGTTTGCTGGTTTGTTCTGAGAACTTGCCCACCCTTATTGACGTAGTTTCTTCCTGTCGCACTTTAAACTGGTACGATTGTTTGTCTTTGATTGTGCATACGCCTGTTGTTGCATCCTTTCCCACATATTTAAAGTGTCGGCGCTGCGTATGCTGGTGCGAAATTCGATCTCCGTCCTCAAATCCTGCAGCAGAGGCGCTCCTCTTTATTTGTAGTAATAGTTACTTCGCATTGTTTGGAGTACACCGCAGAAGTGCTTGAAACGCTAATATGGGTGCAGAGGGAAGGCCAACTTTGAACACTTACTTCGAACCACATGGAGACTGGCATCAGTGGCAACCTGTAGCCGGTCGGCATTTTCAAGCAAGAACGTGCAGCGGTCTAGACGCTCAACCACTCTGTATATCCCGCCATGTGTGGGATCCTCTTCATGAGGTATGCGCACTAAGTGGCCTCTGGGTAAGCCTGTAATGAGAGTGTTGAGCAGTAAGAAACCCGTGCTTTTCCACCTGACGCTCTTTAAACGTGGCACATCTAGGTCATCATACGTATGTAATCTGCGACAGTTGAGACTTTCAAAAGGCAACTGCACTTTGTTCCTACTTGCTGTAAGCAGGAAGCGCTTGACTTCGTCTAGATCAGGAACCTGAGCCATGAGGTCCAACTTCTCATAGTAGTCTACGAGGGCAGTGTATTGTGCATACGCCTTCCCGTAAAATGAACCACGTCTACATCTTTTGTTCCTTGTGCTGCCCTGAAGCCTCTCCAGTAACCAGTTCTCGAACTCGCGAGCGAGCTTACGTGAATCCGATTCGATCAAAAACTGAAGAAAGGCACCTGGGCTCTCAATGTATAAGGTTCTTTTGTCTGTAACCGAAGTGACAGCAGGAGGAAGTTTCTCAGTGTAACGTTCTTCCAGTTTGCAAAGTTCTCTGTACTGCAACCGATCTGACGAATTCCGTAGTTTCAGAAAAGAAGCTAAGAGGATCACAACGGGAAGGGCGCCTGTGAAAGTAGCTCACGTGCATAATCAAAAAACGTCTCCTGCATCCTCTTTAAAACATGGTCTATGCTAGCAGCCAAGTTGAGTTCCGCTTCAACCGCTGACGCCATCGTTGCCATATCACCGAAGTCGGGTGCATACTGTTTAACTACCATCTGCGCTTGATCAGCAACATCAAGATCTAGCACCTCCCACCTTATATTTTCCACAGACTCGCTGCAATTCAGAATGACTGTCCACGATTCCTCTGAGACGACACACACATAGCAATCTTTCAATGCTAGGATGTATCGTAACAATTACTGTTGGAGCTCTGTTAAAGATTTTGCCAGTATCCCAGGATCTTACTGAAGGGCTTTCCATCAACGCCACCTGCGAGCATTCGAAAGGTACGGAAGAAGCTGATGAAAATTAGGTCTCTGCATCATCCTAATGGCTACTTCTAAAAAAGTATCAACTGATCGTGAAGCGGCTTCCTTTGAAAATCAGATGTAAGGTCTCAATCAAAATATTTTGGTCTAAGGTGGCTGCAACTGCTCCAAGTAATCAAAAGCGTGTAATTTCCCTAGTTTCGCATGCCTGGCTCTACAAAGACTTCCAGGAAGTCACATACATATGGAAAATGTTACACGAAAAGAGAAGAAAGGCCGATTCGTGCAACAGAGGAAGCTGTGCAAGTGGTTTGATACCCACTTTGTCTCAGCATGTTTTGTAGATGCCTCCGATCAAGGTTGTGCCATTCTGAAGTATCTTGCTCTATTCGCAACTTTCTTGCCTCTGGGTACGCAGAGTGCAGCAGTTTCTTAGTGAGGTGCCATTCTCGGAGATAGTTAATTGTTCCTTGCATGCCTCCTGCGGTAGTTAGTTGGAAGCTTAGGCCTTGACTAAAACGCTCGATGATCTGCTCCACAATGTCCTTTGAAAATAAAAATTGTAGTATATGAGATAGCGCTGTAAGATTCTGAGAGCTTACTTCGTCACTTGAATATGAGATTTGCACTCTATTTGCTGGCAATCCTTCCCACGGAGTCCGTTCACGATACGTAACGCTTCCCTGCTCCTGGAAGTAGTTCAAATACGACTTCATTTGCCTCGTAGCCTCGCACTGTATTGGGTCAATGCGGTGCAACATGTGCAGTGGCCTTCCTACCACATGCACCATCCTGCCTTTGGCCTTGAAAATTATGGTCAAAAAATTCGGGTCTTCCCCAACTGGCTTAACCGTCATAGATATCTTCGGACCATGGGATTTCTGGCAGCATCATCAATAGAAGAAAGCAGCTATAGCATTATGCCATCATGCAGAACTAATGTCAATTTGCGTGTAAGCACTTGTGAAGCGAGCTCCTTGTTGCGCCAACTCTGCCAGGAAGTACCTTAAGCCACCGAAGCAGACGACCCCAGGCTTGCCGAGCGAGTGTAGCAAGAGTCAAAAAGGGAGACAGAAATTGCTGAGGTGCCGCACGCATAGAAATATATAAACAAAGTTATTAACATAATCTGCTGACGGATAGCACATATTCAATGTAAGCAGCTCTACAGCCAATGTATGCACTAAACAAATAGATTTTGAGACGCCGTGCGCTTTGAAATTCTTGTTATATTTGTATCTGCACTGTCGGAACCGGCCAGCACATGCGTGTGACAGAACATGAAAGCTTGGCGTACCTTTGCCCTTCTTACTGCGCCTTTCCGGAGTCTTGCAAAAAGGCCTGTCTCTTCCGAAGATAGAAAATGCTGCTGCCCTGCATATCCGAAGGCTGAACGCGCCGGCCGTAGGGTCTTCGGAAACGTTTGTAGAATCGCCGTAGTCTTCTTATCGGCAGGGTGACGAAGCTCTATTTCCAGGGGAACAGCCTCATCAGAGACGGACAAGACCAGCTTATTGCCTGCAGAGGCAGCCAAAATAGAGTATTGACCAACGAACAATCTGCATCTATCTCAGAGTAGTCAAAGTCATAAATGTAGTGGTGGGATCCCCGCAAAAAGAACTGCACTCTGCCCTCTACGGCCAAAAGGCTTTACCGGATATTGAAGTGAAATACACTGGTAGACGGACACAGACGCTGTTTTCTAACTGAGCGAAGCACTGATTGATCAATTCCCATGTCATGAAAGATTTTGGTAGGTTCACGCGGTCCAGTATTGCCTTCAGGCGAGGGCTCCCTATGGACTGCATAACAAACGAAACAGGGCCCACAGGCCAGAAAAGTCAGCAGCAAAGCCAGGCTTGCAGACTTTAAAGTTTCCCGCTTAGGGACTCCCTGTACTGGCCGAGCGCAGATATATTCAAATGTTGATAAGGGTACCATGGCTGCCCAGAGAGAAGCCAACCTGCAAACGGCCAACGAACTGGCTCATGCATGTGCCCGTTCCCGGTCTGATTATTGGATTTTCCAACCCTCTTTGAAGAAATGATACATATGCTGCTTGTCGCAGGAAAAGTAAATACATCTGTTTCATACGAGAAGCGTTCCTCCAGCTCAGTTCGTATGAAGAATACATTTCGTCTGAAGGCAGCGGACCACCGGGCGTGCGTTCTGGAAGTTTGCCTGCCTACGCAAGTAAATGATGAGCTACAGGGCATATGGGCATATGAAGAGCTAGAATGATACGTCTTCCTAGTTTTGCTCTCTAGATACCTTTAGCCTCCCAGTTGCTTAGCGCGCCGATGAGTGGTCTCCAGTCAGTGGCGACCAAGGCTCTGTAATCGACGTCCCTGTTTGACCACTCTAGTAGGTTCGGCAGCTTGTGAGCGTAGCTGTCCATCAGCGAAATAACCAGGTCCTAAGGCGGTTCACCGCATCTTGCCGACCCTATCGATGGTTCATCTGTCGCTGCACTATGCAAGGAGTGACTAATGCACAGCGCTGGTAGGTAGATCCTAAGGCAGCAGATGGCCTGGTCAAGAGAAATTGTGCAATTACGAACTAGAGTCCAAAGGCAACAGTTAATTTACCTGAGCTTTGACACTAAGGGCGCTCGCAAGCGGCCTCACGCGGTAGCTGATGAGAGGATTCCAGAGGGCGGTAATTTGGTTCATTAGAATGGGAAGAGCCATAGATTGTAAGGATAGCACCAGCTTGTGGTATGTCGTACCTGACGTGCGAAGCTCTGCAGTCACAAGACAGCTGCGCTTCGCCATTGCCTGATTATGTATGGAAGGGCAAGATGAAGACTAGAAAAGGGCCCGTGTCGCAGCCCAGGGCGCTTACCCGATGTAAATGCATGGACAGGAGTCTCTACATGACGCAGGAGGAACACGAACGGGTATTTCGACTTGAACTCATCCATGCTGATGCTCTCCGTAGAAAAGTTCATTAGCTGTGGGCCGGAAGGCCCCAAAGGCACCAGTGCACGATCTATGGTGTCACCCAAACTTTGGGGATTAAGCGCACTCCTTACAGATGTCATCATCTGGAATATGCCAAAAAGCACAGCCATCTATCCTCTGAGTTTTATGAATGCATGAAAATGCATTAGACGGGAAAAGCCCTCCAATTGTCTACAGCAGCCCTACCGCTTCTTTGATGGAAGCAATCATGCTTGAATGCGTGAAGCTATCAATGCGTTTCCTGTCATTCCGAATGAACGTAGACAAACTGTTCTCCACTTTATCTGGAAGCTTCGCCCCAGATATAATTTCGGCGTAGACATTATGCATCCAACGGTTCAAGAAAAGGCTTGTCAATGTTCCAACAACAATATTTGCGAGACCTGATCATAACAATCGCAAGTGACGAAGCGCTGCAGCTCCCTCCATTAAGCCAACAACTGCTTCGGGAACTCCCGTACCGCAGCTCCCCTTGGAAGTGTTCTATGTTTTAAAAAGGTGGTAGTAAATGTAGGCTTGAGTGCGCACCTGCAATTTGGTTCACGTTGCTAAAGAGGAAGCCAAGGCCATAGGCAACGGCGCATGCTCGAAACAGGGAATACAACTTGTAATACGACGATATGACCAAAAACCGATTTTTAAGCGTAGTTTTGCTTATAAATGTCCTCACTGTTCGCAGGAGGATGCCTAAGGCACGAATTTCCTTGCTCTTTAAAGCAGTGTTTCGAACCTCAAGCGGGATCTCAGCTAATTACGGAGCAAAAACAGCACATATGCGGCACATTTCTACAATAAGCACACAAATGCGCAGGCAAAAGTGAGAAATTCCCGCAGCAATCACCATATTGCAAGAGTTCACCTGCGTAAATGCTCTAAAATAGCCGGAGGAATATAACTCACCGTTATGTAAAATGTCATCTATTTGGTTTTGGGCTTCCGGCTGAACGCTCCGGGCTGAAGATACAGCGAGTGCACACGCTCATATGCAAGTCTTCACTATAAGTGGGACCAGCAGAGTTATAATAATTGTGTCGCATCTATTTGGAGACAGTTGGAACAGAGGGCAGCTTGAGGGAGCCTCACAGCTTGCCAGTTGAACTCCGGAAAACTCTTCATTGCTATGCTTCCCACGTTCAAGCTTGTGCCCTGAAATTCCATATGAGCACATATTCATTTGTTCTACTTACTAGTTTTCTAAATCTAGGCATCTGTTGTACATTTGCTGGGAGCTGCGGTCAATGTGATTTGCCTCTGTTGCATTCTAGCCTCCACTCTGCCGAATCGTGTGCGAAAGCAGCGAGAGCAAGAAACCGCATGATGGAGCAAAAGCAGGTGACTCCACGCCGATTGCATTGACGCGCTTCTAATGTTGAAACTCTCTTGTGGACTCACCGCTAGTGATTGGTTCCTCTGAAGGGGCATAGGAGAGTGCGAACGATCCAATGGTACTCAGAGACGTATCGCCACCCCCCTGTAATTTAGTGTATCTCTGTAATCCATTGCTGTCCTTGCCAAGATGCGGGGAATGAAGTTGTGTGTTTTGCGTAGACATCCCCTCCGTTGGCATGACCCACAGAGCCAGCACAACCAGATGGCCGAACCGGCCCTGGCTCGCTGACAACGGCCACATGCTTCACTATCCGATTAAGAAACAAATATACGAGGAGGCGTTTGCCGCTGAATTTCTAGACATGGGACCGCAGTGACCGTTAGAGAAAGTACAGGGCCTTGTTGCTACCCTACTACGGGGCTCAGAAAACAGATTTCAAGCTCCAAAGTCGTTCATTGTGAATCCTAAAGAGGTCATTTTAAAACCATTTAGCATTTATGCGATGTAAATTATGTGTTGGGGGATCCGCTGCCCCAAGCCAAACAGGAAACCGCTGCCGACACTCACGTGCTGAACTGAGCGCCCTTGGATGGTACGGGTGGTCAGGCACACTTCTGCAGAGGGTCTAGTGCAGGATGTCCGGTTCAAAATCTCTGAGGCCAAGAAGTATATACTTCATATAATTCATTATCTCTTATTTCGACTGATTTTATGGGGGCAGCAGGCCCCAGACGCGTGCTGTTCAATTTGGCACTGAAGGCTGCCCGTGAGCAGTAATGGGTGGTTTTGTGTAGGCGTATGAGCCACTGAAACCTTTGAGAAAGCGCCAAGTATTTTTTATAGCTTAACACGCACAAATATAATGTAAAATTTGCCAACAGAATCTTGAGCTACGAGACTTCGACAGTGCTTGAATGTCTGGAAACAATTATGGACGCCTGCAGCGGTCTTCCCTTCCCCACGAAAAATGCAGTTACAAAACGGAATACTCAAAGCTGCAAGTTTCTAGCGAAAGCCCCCTAACATTGCACTCTAGAGGAATGTGAGGCTTGTTCCACCTCAGCAACCGCAGCAGAGTGGGGTTGAGGTGCGATTTGGGCAACCACTCACACTCAGCAAACTCCCTGAAGTAAAGTTATTGAAGTTCTTCGTCTGAGCAACAAAAATGTGGCAGGGTTCGATTCCCTCGCTGTTCCGGTATAGGAAGAGCTGTTACGTAAAGTTCAACTGCTGCAAAATGTGCACCATACAGATAAAGATGAGCCAGCTGGCTCTCCAGTTACACGCAAGCACGAAGACTGAAGAAGTCCCATTTTCGCTTCTTATTCCTGTTCAGTAGAGCTCGCCGTTCTTGGTAAGGTGCTCCTAGCGACGTGGCCACAAAAATGGTTCCTCCATTCGCCATGAAGTATTCAGACTGCTCATCCGTGTAAGTCAAAGACTAGTGAATGTACAGGAAACGCTTCAAACGGTAGCATTTGGGAGGCAAAATCCAGAATAACGTCATTTGAGGTGAAATTCCCTTCATCAATTAATAGAAGGGGCTTTCTCTGATGTTTTTAGCATTTTGGCAGCTCACCTTCTGATCAAAAGCTGTCGGTGCAGCACCCAAATTTCCCTCTGTAAGCTTCACTGTACACAATGGTTTCCGGAAGAATAGAGGAAGGCAGCTTATTCTACAGTCTTCATTGTCTTCAAAAGAATCAGTGCATGCAAAGGGGAGCAGCGAAAGTTTGTACAGTGAGGCAGGTAAACGACTTTAACCAGTAAAAATCCACGTATCAAATAAGCATGCAAAGGAATTCTTGAACAAACGTCTGGAATGCTTAAGACTTTCAGCTTGATAGTTGGGATTCTCATGCCTGCTTGCGCGGAGGCTCCATAGTTCTCGTCGCAAAACTAGCTGATGCCTCAGTACCCCCGAAACTCAATGATAGAACAGCGTCCCTTTCACAATTTACACCTTAAAAACTATAAAGAAGAATGTCTCAAGAATTGTATGACGTACCAATGTTTCTCCAAGTAATTTACATCGCTATACAGCAACAACGGACACCTGAGGCACCGTGGCGTATGTACACTCCTGCTGAAACGTACAATTGCAATTGTAAAATTGTTTAGTCCCAAATTTGCTCTTTGCCCTGAACGACAACAACAATGCATGCACGAACATTATTCGCCATTGTTTTCGCATGTTTATCCCATCAGAAGCCATGCGTCCTCTATGCACAGGGGGTACGCGTTCAGGCTTCTGCAAAAAGTGGGACAGCAGAACGCTCGCTCATAGCCGCTTTTTCACCGAGATCGAATCTTTTTGGGCGCTCACATCCTCAGTTTGTTGCTAACGTAGTTCTCTTCGACCGAATTCAGAGAGGTGCGCCTGAATGCAGTTGTGTTGCGACGAAGCTCGGCTGTGCAGCTGATGACGAGCGCCGTAGGCCCTGTGACAGCATATCGGGACGGCTCAGCGCTGATACTGTCGGGTGTCAAGGCACATCTGATTTCCATTAATGATGCAACGCGCCTTGTTCAGTTAGGACCTGCCAACGTCGAGGGATTTTTGTCATCAGATGCTCCGCTTTCATCAGCTGGTGTCAACGAGTGGTGAGTGGTGATTCATCTTCCGCCTCTTCCACAATCCTTTTAGAAGTATTGACCAAACTTGCTTTAAGGCATTTGTCTCGGCTGAGCACGTTCCAGGACGGCAGACCATTGGACGGCATCTGGTCTTACACAGTAAGGCGAAGTCCCATGCTATTCTCATTCACGATGAGAGGCATTTCTCGTTACCGTAGTCTACCAGCTTTTGTGAAGGGTCGTCGGACACCTTTCTTGGAGGCCACTGGTGGGAATGATTGTGTCAATAGTTTCTTAGCTGCATGGAACAAAAGCCAAAGCAAACTGGCAGGGAAGACTGTCCATGCGGCCTACTTGGATTTACCAACACACAACAAACTGAAGGTCAAGGCCCGGGTCCACTTTTTCGACAAATGGGAAGGTAGGGATGCATATTGTTTCGTCTGCTGTTTCCACTGTAGTTCACAGATAAGTAGGCGAAAGCATCTATGTGAAAATTAACGGCAAGATAGTGTGGACAAGTAAGAGCCGAGCTGACGCCTACACAACCCACGGCATTGCCTAAGGTACAACCTCGTTAAGGGTCATGGAATTGGTGCCCTCAAGTGAGTAATATGCAAAGTCTGCGACGCATGCGTCTACCTACAATGCATGAAAATGGTATTTCAATTTCCTTCAGAGGTCCAGTCAAGTGAGTGCGAATGTCTCACTCTAAGAACCCCCTGAGGTGCACAGCAGCCACTAATTACCAAATGTGAAGATATGCGCGAGACGTGGAGTGGACAGCTGCGGCCACTCGTATCCTGACAGACTCTCAGTCAGTCATAATTCAATACACTGATGAGGCAGCAAAATGCATAGCCTTTTAACTTCTGTTGTAGGTACCTGTTGAAATAGAGCAGCATCACACGGGATCGGCGCTCTTGATGGCTTTTGGGAGGTCTGTTAGCTTTCGCTCCCCTCATTGTCACCTTTTCCACTTCGGTATCACAATTTCAGCACAATGCCAAAGAATGCAGACCCGTGCTCAGCTTCTTGGGGTGTAGACGACGTAGCGATATATCTCCATTAAGCAAATACAAATGGCTCATGTCTGTGCTGAAACACTACGACGCTGCGGTTTTTCAGTCACAGCGCAGAGTTTGCGCATGCGTGCTATGCTTTTTAAGCCTTTTGTGCAGCTGCCTCCAGCTTCAGTCGCTTACCTTTGCAAGGCCAGCATTGCTCCACTTCCTATGCCTTACATGCCGGTACCGGGCTCCTGCTACGAATCATTTTGGGTCATGGCAGCTTCGGCGCTGCCCTCCCTTACAGATTTTGTCTAAGCAGACCAAGGCCTCTGTTGGCACTTCCTAACGGGGGTATCGGCACATGCTTATTCAGCTTCAGTACGAACTATGCCCGGTCTGCCACGACAGAAATGTGCGAAGCACATCCCCCACCGCTATCTTGACTCATAAACGAATCGTCTGAAGGGACTAGCCCAAGGCAAGACTAAACAGAAGAAGTAATCACGTCCTATAATATATGTGAAAGCAGGTAGTACGGAAACTTCAGGCACAAACGCCACTCTTTTTCAACACTTGCGTGATGAGACCATCAAGATGCACTAACTCGGATACAAACACGCCGAGTCTGCAGTTAGGCTCCACTGAGACTGAGAATAGCGTTTCATACACTGCTCTCTGCTGTACTTCATCCCGATCGCACACAAGAAATATTTCGGCCACATCATACATTAAAAATCCTATGTGGCGCAAGTACCTCTAGGCACTTCAGATGGCAATAGCTAAGTGAATACACCTCAACAGCACTCCAGACTCTGCGGAACCTTGAGTACGAGAACACGTTTTTGCAGTTTGAGTACCTAGTAGCTATGTGCTTCAATGCTGCAGATCGAAACATCCAAAATGGGGGTGTTACAAGGCACTGAGTGATGCTGTGGAATAAAGACAATGATTGGCCGCTCCCATCTTACTCTTAAGCCATCTTTCGACCAGCGAGCCACTCAAAACGCAATTACAAGCAAGCGAATTTTGTCTAAGCTGAATCGCAAGATAGCGTTCAAGGTCACCTGAACTTTGCCGCTGCAGTTGAGGCGCTTGGAACAGTCTGTGGCAGTGATTCTTCTTATTCATGGAGGGAAGAGCAGTAAGGCTGGCAGTTTCATGATATGGACTGTGACGAATAAGCTGAACGCAACAGATATATCTTGGTGTTTGTTCGCACCTTCGCACTGGCATGGGACAGAAAAGCACAAAGTGGCGATTCGCAAGATGAAACTCTTTTCTGGTGGTTTCTTTTGCTGCCGCTGTTTCCTTGGATTGCAGAGATGGTAGTTGCTCTTGAGGCAACGCGTACACACCATTTCAATAATTTGAGCCTCTACATGGCTTGGTCATCAACTGATTGGCTCTGCCAAAAAACGAGTGTTACTACCAGTGTTAAGACTGGAAAAAAGAACCAGAAACGCAATATAGTGGGATTTCGTAACTCAGAAAATGCGCAACAGCGATGCCAACACCGCCTCTAACCTGTGCAGAAAGCGTCTGTGCACGAGCAAATAAAGTCGCAATAAAGGATTTGAAAGTAAATGATAACACGAGCAGATGCCAAGCAATGCGCGCTAAGCGTAACCTATTGTTCACGCACACGCGGAAAAACGCAGTGTTCCGTTTCTCACATTAGGTCCCATGTCTTTTTCCTGTGTCTAATTAGTTTTGAAAACATACTTTAGCAGAGTCCTGTGCCTTTTGTCTCCCTGGGCTTGGCAAAAACACTCTTCGTACGCACTGCTCGAGCCCAATGCTAGCTGATTGTAAGAGTGAGTTTGCCTCTTTCTTCACGTTATCTGTTTCGCCAGACTTGCCATTGACTGCTCTAGAATTACGACCTCGGTTGCGTTCATTATTGAATCGCACATTCATGGGTACAACACCGGAGCAGCACGCTGCCATAGTTTCAGTCGAGATAGATGCTTCCACTTACATCAACAATACGTTTTTCGGGAAGTGACGAATGACGGAAAAGCTTAAAGTGCTGCTCTCATATTGGTTGTTCGCTTTACCAGCGGTATTCCTCCCTAAAGCGAATAGGTAATCCACTGAAAATTATTGGAAGATGAGGCAATTTAGCTTACGCAATTGCGCTTCGCAGGCATTCACGGTTGAGCGAGATGATCGGGGCACTGGGGCTTTCAACAACAGCAAGCATGCCGCTTAATCGTGCAACAACATAATCATCGACAGAACTCAGTGTCGATACTGTGATTTCCAGAATCATCTGATCAGTATATTTTGTTTTTTTCCAAGCATCATCAAGATTATATGGTTGCAAAATACACACGTAAGTTATGGCGACGGACCAGAGTAAGCATCACGTGGAGCAGCTCAGCGTTCAGTTCAAGTGCACGATCATTTGCCACTGCGATTCCAGTGAGGGGCCAGGCGTGTTCGTTGACCATTTTCCCGATTTTTGTCAAGCTGACCGTAAGGCATAACTTAACAGTTTTCTTCTGAAGCTTATCATCGAACACCGAAGCAACTGCTTCTGGGATCGCTTTTATTTCATAGCAACTACTCAACACTTGTCCTGTGCGGTGCTTCGCGCGGTGAGATCCAATTCAAAAAGCTGCAAATCGATGGATATGCGCTTCAAAGATGCCTTTCTAGTAAAGTGTGAGTCTGTAATCAGCGTGCTGTCCCCACTCGACACAAGACGCAGGTGAAACCAGTGGCATGGGCAGCTTTCACTTGAAGGCCTTCTCCTGAGGCGCCGCAGCAAAAAAAGGCTGTACGCCTTGATAGGCCTCCAAAAATATCGAGAACCAGCACCAAATAATTCTGTATTGCTCTTGCTCCTTGATGACAAGAGGGGTCGGACGAAGCTGAGTGTACCTGGGGGAAACTGAGCCGGATAAAATCTCGGGCATTAAGTAGGATTGCGGCCTGCAAATTTGAAGCCCCTGCATGCCACGCTGCTTATGAGAAGGACAGAAAATCTGTATGAAAGCAGAACTGTTGCCAAATCTTGAGCTGCACGCCTTTAGTTTGTCGAGCCTTTCGATCCTTCTTTCGATCCTTTTTCTTCCGTGAAGATGCTGACCGGCAGGTACTCACCTTCAGACGCTGCTGTCCCCTCTTCTGCGCCCTTCCCGCTTTTTAGAAACGGAAGAGAAGGTGGGACCGCTGATGTTGAGCGCCCAACAGGCCGGTCGGTGTTGCTTGAGTCGCCGTTATTTCGGCATGCGCCTTCGGAGTCTAGGACGCTGCATAGTGGTGCACACACTTTCCTGTCGACGAAGGCGTTAATTTTGCTTGAAGCTTTGCTCCTTACATTCGTTGTTTTTCAGTGCTTCCGCTGGTTAACAGAAGGCGCAGGACGCGTAGTGAGACGCGTAGCTGATGGAAGAGAATTTTTGCAGCCATGCGGTCCCCATCACAGCTCAAGCAGGGGCATTTCGGCAACGAACAGTGAGGGAAGAGGCACGAACGTTGCAGCTGGGAACAGTCAAGTTGCGGGGGCCCCTTCCGCGAGATCCGCGACCTCTAACCCTACAGACACAGCTCAATTCCCTGGAAGGCAGAGTGGCGGGGTTTACATGCGTCCGCGTGAGGGTGACGAAGTGGATGCTTCCCAACAGCAGGAAGGGGCTGCTGCGGGTGTGCAGCAAGCCGACGCCCCCGCTTCGATGCCGGGTCCTAGACTGCGCACGGGGTTGACACCTTGGTATAGAAGGGACCAATACCACAACCTCCACACAGTTCAGCCATCTGCGTTCAACCTTTCTGAAGATGACGAGGCTCTCACGGAAGCCTTAAAGAATTTAGTGGACCTGGCACGTATGATGGAAACTATTATTGAAGTCTTAGATACTGAAGACGCTATTCGTGTTTGCGCAGCAGTGCTAGAGCTTGCGTCTGTTGAATTGTCATGCATGAGTGTGCTTATTCACACAAGTCAAGCACACATGACTAACGCAGCTATTCAGGCATTCTTACAAAGCAGTGACCTTGAGGAATGGCTGCAGGGTGAATGCATTCGTGGATGTCTCAGTGCGGCTGCACACCACCATTTTTCATTGGCGCGGACGCTCCTCTCAGCACAGCTCCTGCCGCCCCCCCGTCTTGGTTCCACTGAGGAGGAGGCAGAAGTGCAATTGTTGGTTCTCGTTAGTGGAACGAAAGCCTCAGCAACTTTGGCCTATCTCTTGGCTAGCTCCTTGGTTCAAAGCACTGGCGGCGGACGCCGCAGACCGCCTCGTCCTCTTGTGGATACCTGTGTAGCTACTCTAGAAAGATTAGTGTCAGCCCGGGTGGAGCACGTAATGACGTGTCCCGTGACCTCATATCGGCTCCTTATGTACCATTCGTCAATAACGAATAATTCTGATCCGTTCACGACCGAGTACCCTGTTGGCCAACCGCTGGTATTGCTGAGTTCCGCAGAAGCACATCGAAGCATTGACATAATATTTTCGAGTGCCGCCGGATATTTCATGCAAGCTCAACTCCAGGGTGATTCCATTCCCCAGTAACCTTCAGAAATTGCTGCGACGTTGGAAATTATCTACCCTCGAAGTGCGCAGGAAAAACTCAGTGCAGCCGGTTGGGGATAAACGAAAACGCAACGTAAAAACTAAAGCAGGCAGGCTGGTCACGCGTTGCCCGGGTTGGCCACACATTGCGCAGGCTGGCCAGATATTAACCTGCACTGACAGTTACGGTGTTGCGTGGAATGGGAATGCGCTAGGTGCGCCAACGACAACTGCGTCAGTAGCTGCAGTGCCTTCGTAGGGACGCAGAGCGGCATTTTCCTGATTCCAGCACCCTGGCCTTTGTAGTCTTTCTGTCGGCCGATCCAGTTCCACGTATGCGCAAACTTGTTTTCTTCCGTGTTCGGTGTTTGCGCAGCTCGCGTTTTCTCTACTTTTAGGACCCGCAACAGATCCACAGCAGTATTGTCAAGCTGGCGTGTGGTTCTGTCGGTAACCGCCTGCTGCTTGTTTCATTTTAATGCGTAACCGCTCTTCGTACGGCGAATTTCGAGAGTGCGTCAGTGCAACTCTATCACTTCTATGCAAAATTCTGTTGTGGGCGTAGATTTTGACCTACTCATTCGTATCTGTGGCGATGCAAATTCCTGGAGATATCTTGAGAAGAAACTCATGCATGTGAGTTGGTGTGTTTTTGTCTGCATGTGTACATCTATCTGAAAACACAACGAAATACCCATTCCAATTTACGCAAAATAAAACAACTCCCGTCAGCAGTGGCATCGTACGCGGACTCCGTTAGTCACCCACAGCGCTGTCCGTCTACGATACCAACGCTGCCACGATGTGCGCTGTGCGCTGCTTCCACGGCGCCAGCTACTCCCAGCCTCCACTGCATCAGCTACCTCCAACTGTTGGCTTGCATTGTTGCCACCGCAGCTCCAGACAACAAAGTGTCTAGTAGCTGCGTCAGCAGCAACAAGCACTAACCCAAGTGTTTCTGGCTGTCGCTACAGTGACAGCGCCGAACACGATTTCAGTTATTTGTGTACGTCGCCGCACAGCAGCACCGAACACCACTCCAATCCAAATCAGGCGCACCAACACACCTTCCGTTATTTCATGCGCGGCAAACTCCTGAGCCACAAAAGAAATGTACATTTTAAAGTTCAGGGTAAAAGCTAGAACAGCAATGTTCGGCATCGACGGGAACTCAAAACAAGCAAGTACCCGAAAATCCAAGGAGAGTACAGGCAGCAGCAGCAAGGTCCAGGGTTTCACAGGCGTCCAGGGTTTCACAGGCTGACCTTCCCCTTGAGTCTGTGAGAGTTGGGTATTTCTCATCGAAATACTTTTGAAAGGCTCCATATTCCCAGGCCCGCTCGACCCGCCTCGCCATCAGTTTCATGTTCCTGCCTGTCCAATGGATATACTTCTGCAGGTGAAGGCTTAAACGCTTCTTCGAGCTGTCAGCTGGCTGCCGCGTTTCATAGAACATCCTAAGACGCAGGAGTAGGTGCAAGGCAGAAATTAAATGAAAGGGATCATCTCTTGTGGGCCTCACAAAGTAGAACTCACAATATATACAAAATATAAGCACACCCACTCTCGTGAGGCTGCACATACAGCAAAGCAGCCAAGGTGAGATTTCAGTCCAACGGGTGTGGAAGCTTGCGTGTTCACGAACTCTCCAAATTACGAGCGTATTTTAACTCTCTTTTAAGCATCCGTCAAGTGCGCAGAGGCCCACTCACACATGCTTTCCAGCCCTAGGATCATGCTTTCTCAGCGCGATTCTTGTATTTTTTTTGCTGGGAGATTTGTGGGTCATATAGAAGAAGTTGGACAGCGCGGCGCTCTTCAGCTGTACAAGCAAACGTTTACTTCGACTACGGAGAAGGCAGGGGGAGAGGAAAAACATTGTATAATGGGATCAAGGTGACGTTGAACAAAGGACTGTATGGTGGTATTGGGTCCGTAAGCCAAACCCCAAAATTAGTACAAACAGCAGACAGAGCCGAGTCGAGGTTTGCAAACAAGCTGTTAGAGACAGTCAGGGCAGGTCATGTAGCCTGCATAGCCAAGACAACAATATATATGTTAACTGAACAAATCAACGGCTAAAGATGAAGGAATTGAATAGAAATGACAGACCGCCCAGCGCACCACCGTTGGCAAGGAACAACGGCGCAAGCCCTCCCCATGTTACAACTTCGCCTGTCCTTCCACTACTGCAGATTGCTAAATATTGCTTAAAAGCATCAATTTTGAAACAAGTGCTTTTCGGTTTATTGTATGAGCAGAAAGAGGGATATCCAGTCCCAGCAGCGCATGCGCAGTGGTTACACTTGATCTATTCATTTCAGCTCCGGCGTCTGAAATTGGTTATGTAATGCTTCTCAAATTAAATTGGTTGGATTTTGTTCCTCAGTATCTCTGCCTAAAGAACCTTCGCGCCTCCCGTACAGAGAAAGGGCTCCTGAGTGCCTCGCGAGCACTGAACTTCCGTGGCTCCTAGCTATCGAGATGGTTTTCTAAGTTAGCCTGGTTGGTCTGTAGCGACATTAGAAGTTGGGCCAATTCGTACTAGGCGAAGCATTTTCAAAGCCCACCTGGTGCGCTCACAGCACCTGTTGAGCGATATAGTGGATACTGCGCACGTCCTCTCAGAAGTTAGGTTGGCCTTTTGGGAAGTGGTGCTTCCGTATCTATGTGCCATCTGAGGAAGTTTCAAGCACCGAAGGTTCTTTGCAGACTTCCTTGTGACGAGGTGCCTAATAGGACTCAGGTCCTGGCTGAACACACATGGCGATCCCTGCAGTATGGCGACTGCGTTGATACCTGCAGAGTCGTAGTGGACCTAAACATGAGTGCACCATGTCTATCAGAATGATGACATTAAGGGCACCGCATCGATGCTGGCGTTAGCTCCAGCCCCAAGATTAGGGTATTTACAGACACTTGTAATTTACACATGCTATCCAAATAAATGCCCTGATTCGCTATTAGTAGGAAATTTCTGCGCTCGTTCCGCGTGCTGACATCTTATAGGCCACCAGCTAGTTACCCTGGCTGGAGAGCTGCGAGCCCGATTGTAGTGCCTGCGCACTACAGACAGAGTTTGCGGGCTCGAGAATACCTGTGAACGGTGTAGAGATGCTGGCAATGATACCAAGAATTGTGCTACTTCTCCGAAGCAACAAGAAAAGCACAATAAAGTGCTCACGAGTAGCCTTCGGATATTTAGGAGGACTGGACAGCGGTAGCATCAAAGGCGCCAAAAAATAGTCATAAGGGGCGAACATCCTAAGCTCAAGGGGCATCAGAAGATGCCACTGTTTGAACGCTGTCGGCTGAGGGACACGTAAGTCCTTTCTAGCGGGAAACAGAAGATCCTGCTACAAGATACAGGGAACGCCCGCTGGGTTGAAGCCAACAAATGAATCTAAATTGTGTTGTGTGTAGAGGCACCGAGGTAGCGTCTAGAAACGGGCTAGGTAGCTGCTCCAAGTGCTAACAGCGTGAACAGCCAGGATTCTGATAACAAGGGTGGACTTGTGTGTAGAGGCAGCGAGATAGCTACTGCAAGTACTGAACGTAAAAAGCCATGATTCTGATGACAAGGGCTGAACTCATGACGCCTTAAGCGCTTGAGGAGCAAGCGCCACCCTGAACTGGTGGTCTGAGCAGCTGAATACGGAAGCGGCGGCTCTATGTCAGGCCTCATTCGGCAGTCCAAATATGATAGCAAAATTTGCATTTAAAATACTGGAGCATAGATGTAAAGGGCTTCTCGCCATGAGGGCTTCGTGCAGTTTCATTAGTTTAACTGAGGTTGAGCGGGTGAGCCAGTAGCTGCGCCGTTCGCACAAGGCGAATCCATTCACTGCATACAATGGACAGCGACTCTATACTGACGGCGAAGTGACAGGGATCAGTATGTGGTGAGTAGGAGAATGCTTACTGCGGTGTCTTCTCTAGAACCTATTTCGTGTGGCTGCGTCATGGGGCTAGATTGACCTAATGTGTAGTGCACAGGCACTGCAATAGGGCTTGCTGGTGAGCTATAAAAGATTGCTAGCCGGTGACATACAACAGGTCATAACACGGAACGAGGACAGGACCCTCTTACTAGGATCGAGGTAAGCCAATTTGTCGGCGAATTAGCTTGTACACACTTGACGTGCATGTAAATACCAGGAGATTGGTGCTGACGATATCGCCGGCACCCGTGCAGGCCTTCTATGTAGTGCCCAGGCACTACAATAGGGCTTGCTGGTGACCTATAGAAGATAGCTAGCTAGCGACGTACAAGGGGTCGCAACACTGGAGGAGGACAGGACCCTCCTACTAGGATCAAAGTAAGGCAATTTGTCTGCGAATTAATATGCATACGCCAGAGGTGTATTGCACAGCGCCTAGTGCTGCGACTACGCCGCTACCTGCCCCTCGAGCAGGGCCTACAAACGGCACCTAACGTAGGCCCATTTCCTGGAAACTATAGCTTATTTTATCGAAATACAATAATTCAAGTTTTTCAAAATCTGTCTGTTCGATTCGTCCCACTCTGGGAGCTCGCCTCCTAGGCCCTATGGGGAGGAGGCCTGCACTGGTGCCGGCGCTATCGCCAGCCCCAGTCTCCACACATTTTCCACACATTTTACGTATGCATATTAATTCATGGACAATTTGTCTTACGAAGGTCCTGTCGTCCTCCAGTGTTGCGACCCCTTGTAGGTCGCTAGCTAGCTATCATCTATAGATCACTAGCAAGTCCCATTGTAGTGCCTGTGCACTACAAGAGGTGCCTGAAAATGCGTGGAGACTGGGGCTGGCGATAGCGCCGGCTTCCCCCTCACAGGGCCTAGGAGGCGAGCACCCCGAGTGGGGAGAATCGAACGACAACAGATTTTGGAAACTTAAGAATAACTGTATTTTGATATATATAAGCTACTATTTCAAGGAAATGGGCCAAAGTTAGGTGCTGTTCATAGGCCCTGCTCGAGGGGCAGGTAGCAGCGTAGTGGCAGCCGTGGGCGCTGTGCACTACATTTGGGGGGATATCCGTTCTTTCCGGACTTAGAAGTAAAAATACTATGTTTTAATAACTCATGCCTAGAAATCTTCGCTCGGTAAGGGATGCATATCCGCAAGGGACGCGTTATCGGCCCCACACCGCAGGAGACTTCTACAATGTCAGTCAACAAAATGCCGAGCGGGATGCCAGCCCCTCATCACAATGCGACACCGAAGCCCACCGTGGCAGAGCGGCCGCATGGGCACAAGGAGGCGCCCCCGCAGGAGATGCCTATGACCAATGTTATGCCAGGGGACAGTCCCTTCGTCACGTGGGACCAATTCTAGTCCGCTATGAGTGTGATAAGAACTGTTATAGGGGGGACCGTGGAATCCGGCGCAACATTTCCCATACTACCAGGAGACGGCAGCACTATGCAGGCCTTTCTGCTGCGCATCGAGCGCCGGTACACCTAGATGGGATTGGAACAGCGCGAGTGCGGAAATGCACTTATAGACCCTTGTGGGCCCGGCTCTAACGTATTGGATGTATCTACGGAGAACTATCGACCTAAGCGACTGGGCGACAGTACAGCGCAGGCTTTTGGAGCGGTTTGACAAAACAATGCAGCAGAGTCAATTGTTAACGAAGTTGGCTGAAGTACGGTGGAATGGTAACCCGAAGGAATACACGGACCGGTTTGCGGCTGTAGCGGAGCGTGGTTTGGATGTCGCCACCGACGAACTCGGTGACTACTACTGCACCGGGCTACCGACGGACCTTCACCTCCTAATCACCAATAACGGGCAGGTGAAGTATCAGTCGTGGGAGCAAGCGGCGACAGCCCCAGCACGCCTCTACGAACCCAAGCAGAGCGTGCCATAGCTCCGAGAAAGGACCAGTCGAGCCATTAGGAATGCTATCCAAGCTAATGGACCCCGTGGGCGCCAGGAAATTGAGAATCGCCCTATGGGAGCCCACGCGAACTGCTTTGAGTCTCAGGGTCGCGGAAGTACGGCACGTGTCTGCCCCAGCAAAGGGAAACGTACCAGACGTCCGGGGGAAATATGCAAGAAGTGTGGCGGTGTGAGACACTATGCTCGGGATTGTCCTACGTATGAACGAGGCCGGCCCGAGCTGGTGGACAAGACCAGTAGGGCGCCCACCCGTCCTAGCAGTGAGACGACGGAACGATTAAACGTGCGGGCCTAGGCGTGGTTGGAGACGAGCGTTCTAGGCCGCGTAGCCATGGCAAAGGGATGATGTGTGCGGTAGCGACAGGCCCTAATGCCATTCCAGTCTCCCTTGAGTGGGGAAACCAACTCCTTCGTACAGCGGAAAGAACTAATACGAGCGATGGGCACGCGGAAAAGACTCAGCCGCTTTCGGAAACGCGGTGGGAGTCTGGGTCAGCGTCGATCCTGAGTGAAGAGACTCCGGACGCGACGACGGATAGCAGCAGGAAGTCTGCAGAGGCAACAGAAGACGGCTATAGGTCAGACACGACAGAGATTGTGCCACACTCGTGGAGGGAGACTTGCACGAAAGGGCCTTGCGACCAAGGGGAAGCGCTGTGTTGTGCCGGTGCGACGGCGGTACTTCGCGTTGAGCTCGCAGAGACTCCTTGTGAGGCTCTCTTGGACACTGGGGCTTCGAGAAGTTTCATTAGTCCTAAAACAGTCGAACGACTGCAGCTGAAAGTGCGGAGACTTCCAAAAGAACATAGGTTCACCGTCGCTACAGGTGCACAACTACGCATTGATCGGGTTGTGACGGGATTGACGCTGTGGTGAGGACATGCACGCTTTTCCGCGGACTTTTTAGTGGGAACCGTTCCCTATGACTTAGTCTTGGGTTTGGATTGGCTGACGGAACACAAGGTGGCCTGGTATTTTCAGTCTGACAAACTTCGAACCTATGTGAATGGCCAGTGGTGCGAGTTACCGGTCGTTCGGACTGGTGCAGCAACGCTGCAAGATGACAGTCCCACTGTAGTCCACCCAAGGACCCCAGCGGAGCAAGCATATGAGATATTGGCCAAACAAGTGGCGGGTATGTCATCCGAGGAAGCAGCTATATTCCTACGCCCGCCTCCAAGGAGGTATAAGTCCCACGCGAAGACTAAGGCGAAGGCGCGGATAACGTCGCTCGTTCGTCAGGCGGCGGCTGACACAAAGGATCTGAGGGCTCCATTGCACGGTTTGCAGTTCATACTGGCTTTGCCCGAAGCCGGTTCGGCAGTGCCCCTAAGCTGTCGGATGAATGGCAAGGCGCGCTTTGTTGCGCGTTCATTGGGAATCAACCCACGTTCTCCGGCCGGCGTAGTCCTTTGGCCTCAACCTCCTCGGTGGCAGCGGAGAGTGACGAGGAGTCTCGCTGGTCTATTGCAAAACTCGAGCACACTCGTCCGACGAATGGATAAATTCGACAGAGGCGCAGGCTGTTCCACGTGAGATTATCCAGGTGTTGCAGGAATATCGAGCGGTCTTCCCCGATAAATTACCTAAAGGATTACCGCCGAAGCGCCCTCATGATCACCATATCCTATTGGTGCCTGGAAAACTTCCAGGAAAATCTGCGATATACCGTATGACCCCAGGTCCGCTCACATTCCACAAACAGGAAATAGCTAAATTATCGGACATTGGTTGGATTGGACCTATTCACCTCTTTGCTCTCCTACGAAAATGGTAGACAAACGTGATGATGGCTCCGGGGAGCGGAATGTGCATATGGTTGTTAACCACCACAGGCTCTAAATGCCCTTACGATAGCCCCTGACTTACCACTACCTCCCATTCAAACCATTCTGGAGAAGCTGGGAGGCGCCAAGTATGCTTCCACTTTCTACCTTGAAGCAGGATTCCATCAAATACGTATAGCTAAGGAAGACCGTTGGAAGACGGCTTTCCGTTCCGTTGTCGGGCTTTTCGAGTACCAAGTAATACCCTTTGGCCTTAAGGGTGCTCCAGCTACGTTCCAGGCCAACATTAATGTACAACCTTTATTGGGGCAGGGCGCTGTTGCGTACCTAGATGATGTACTTATCTATAATCCCGATCTTTCTGGGCACTTTTCCTTCCTGCGACAAGCCCTAAGTATTTTTCTTAGACATTAATTCGACCCAAAATTCCGCAAATGCAAGTTTGCAAGGCAATCAATTACATATTTGGGTTATACCATTTCTGCTACGGGGATAAAACGTGCAGAAGACAAAATTGAAGCCATACGGCATTGGCCCGAGGTGCTGGAGAATGAGACGCAGGTGCGCCAGTTCCTCGGTACCATAAATTACTGTCGTATGTTCATGGACCGGACTATGCAGACGTCGCCCGGCCGCTAGTTGATCTTACGCGTAAAGACGTTAGTTTCAAATAGACAGTACTTCACATGTAAGCGGTGCGGCAGCTTAAACAGCGCTTAATCGACTTCACTACGTTACAAGTCCCCGACACCACGAAACCCTTCGAGGTATACACGGACGCCATGTGATCGGAGCAGTTCTGGAACAAGACGGCAAGCCCATCGGCTTCCTCAGCCAAGTCATGAACCCCACACAACAGAGATATGCGAACTACGATCATGAACTCTTGGGGTTGGTCACGGCCCTGGACAAGTGGTCTCATCTGCTCCGTGTTTCCAAGGTAACGGTGTACACAGATTTCCAAGCTCTCACCCATCTCCAACGCCTCCAAGCATCGAAGCCTTTGCGCGGACGCACCGCCCGCTGGTTAGACTTCCTCGCCGACTTCCGGGATTTGCACATCACCTATGTTCAAGGAGCGCGAAATCAAGTCCCTTGTCTCGCCTTCCCGGTCTCTTTAACACCTGCTCGCACGACACATCATCAACACCCCTGATGCTTGCAGTAGCACAAACGCGCGCGGCTCCTCGCACTCGTGGTCGGCCTGCCAGCTACAGGGAGCTGGCCGGAATTCGTTCGCGACGACCCAGACGACGCAGCCTGCCGTCCGTACCTTCACCCTCGCCGCCGGAACCCAATCCAGAGGTGGAACTCCCTACCCCTACAACGAAGACACCAGCTGACACTCCTGATGTGCGCCAATGGCCGCAAGCTTACTCGAAGTGTCCCGTTTTTCGCGCTCCCTACAAAGCCGCAGCAGACCAACCAAGAGAAGCTGTGCAAATAGAGTTTCGTAATCGCCAATTCACCTTCCGCTACGTGGAGCCTTGCCTGCACATCCGCGTTCATGGACTGTGGCGCATCTGCGTACCACAATTCCCTGAGTTCCTTACTCAAGTTCTGCATTCACATCACGACCATATCACAGCCGGCCATCGAGGCCAGAAAAAGACCTTTGCGGCTCTCAGCAAGCACTACTACTGACCAGGAATGCGCGCCTACACTACTGCTTATGCTGAATCATGCACTCACTGTTGAGCGTCAAAGTCCCTTAACCAGAAACCTGCAGGCTTTCTTCAACAGCTACTCATCCCTTCTCGCCGATGGGCGCACGTGAGTCTTGACTTTATCATAGATCTTCCCCTTACAACAACAGGGCACGATCCGATTCTCGTGATGGCCGACTCCCTCAGCAAGATGGCTCATTTCGTTCCTGCAAAGAAGTCATTCACAGCAGCAGACACCGTCGAGCTTCTCGCAGACCGTCTTATCCGCTATCACGGTTTTCCAGAGGTGCTTATATCGGACCGCGACCCCCGCTTTCAGTCGGATCTCTGGCAACAACTCTGTAGTCGCTTTAACATCAAGCGCGCCATGTCCTCGTCCTACCATCCGCAAAGCGACGGTCAAACTGAACGAGCTAACCGCACACTGGAGCAGATGCTTCGTACCTACATCCAATCTGACGAACGCGAGTGGGAGCGTTTGCTTCCGGCCTTGGAACTTGCTTACAACACAACAAGTCATTCCTCCACCGAGCTCTCTCTCTTCGAGGTCATGATTGGCGAGCATCCGTTGACTGCTGCGAACCTTGATATCGTCGGCGCGTTAGCTCCTACGCTCACTCCAATGATGACTAAGTTTTTCCGGCAGCTCTGCGATAGAGCACAGAGTCACATCCTGAAGGCAAAATGGCAGCCGAAGTACTAGGCAGACACAAAGCGCCGAGCCGGGGAATATGCAGTGGGAGACAAGGTCTGGCTCAGTAGCAAGCACTTACCGCCTTTCAACCGCTGCCCTAAGTTCGAGCCCCGCTACTGCGGACCCCTTCTAGTCATCGAACGCATAGGGACCGTCGGTTACCGTCTCGTTCTGCCTCCCACCTATGAATGCCACAACGATTTCCTCGTTTCGCAGCTAGTTCCCCACCGTCCCTGCCCTCCCGACTTGGTTCTCCCGGAAGCCGATGCCGCCTGGCCTACTATCCGCGATGCAGCAGGCAATCCAACAGAGGAGTATGAATTCGATTATATTATGGACCAGCGCGGCTCGAGAGATGAAGCCCAGTACCTTATGAAGTGGCGCGGGACCCCTGAAGATCAAGCCACATGGGAGCCCGCTCACCACCTTACAGGCTGCCCGGCTTTGCTTCGCGCTTGGGGCCGTTGCCAACGAAGACGTCTTCAGGCTCGAAACAATCTTGGTCCTTCCGAGGCGTAGAGGTTTGGGCCTGTCACCTTCTGCCGCCTGCAGGACGGGCAACCTTCAACGAGGAGGGGTGAGGGAGAGCTGCGCACCGCATGCGCTCACGGCGTCAGCTTCAGAAGAGAACAGAGATTGAAAGAGTAAAAATAATGTGTTTTGGGTAGGTCTGTTCAGTCCGCCAAGGAGGGGAGTTGTAGTGCACAGGCGCTACAATAGGGCTTGCTAGTGGCCTATAGAAGATAGCTAGCCGGTGACGTACAAAAGGTCATAACATTGTACGAATACAGGACCCTCTTACTAAAATCGAAGTAAGCCAACTTGTTGGCGAGTTAACGTGTATACACTAGACGTGCCTGGAAATACCCGGAGATTGGTGCTGGCGATAGCGCCGGCTCCGATGCAGGACTCCTCCCCACAGGGCCTAGGAGGCGAGAACCCCGAGTGGGGGCGATTTAAAGATAACAGATTTTGAAAAACTATGAACAAACGTATTTCTTGATATTCGGATTACTGTTTCAAGGAAATGCGCCGCTGGTAGACGGTTATCGTAGGCCCCTACTCGAGGGGGCAGGTAGCAGCGTAGTCGCAGCAGTACGTGCTGTGCACTACAGGCAGCAGCGTAGTCGCAGCAGTAGGAGCTGTGCACTACATAATGACCATGAGGTGGTTTTGCAATCCCACTGCGGTGGTGTGATTTTCCAATCACACGAACAAATAAGCAGAACGAGCAGAGAAAACGCCCACAGAAAACCTTTATAACTCGTCCATAACAGGCCTACAACACGCTGGCACGTTAAGGTCCAGGATGAAGGCGGTACACCACTTCGCCCTTCTCGAAAACGAAACAAGGGGCACCACAGGGCCAGCGAGTGGGTGATACTCAAGGAAATATTAGGTCAGGAGCAGGACAGCACTTTTCTGGAGGGGGCATTGCCTTGTCTCACCACCGTACTGGCCCACTGCAAGTTGACTCAACAACAATATAACTGTTGGAGGGGACGTAAGGGCTCCTGGAGCGTATTCTGGCCGAGCATTGTAGGTATGTCCATACTGTACAAACCCGCATTGCCACCAACAGTCTCACCTCCCTGCAAAGCGAAACAGGCAAGTATGAGTTGCGATTGTGAACCGCCACCCGCAACTATGCCCAGATGCAGGAGTCGCCGCAGTCAGACGATCCCTAGGGTTCGCAAGCAGGTACTTGATGCCTCAAAGATGCAGAAGAAAGTGTTCCCAGACAGCTTACTTGTAGAGCTGCCACCAAGGGGCCCGGAAGACCACGACGTTTCGTTATTTTTTGTCCAGCTAAGCAACGAGGCCACCATAAACCTGATGCCACAAGATCACCTCCCACAAGCGACCAATACCGAAACTGTGAGCTAATGGGTGGATGTGCCCAACCTCTCCTCCAATCTGTGCTCAGGCTACCATGGTTGACAAGCATGATGGTTTAGGCAATCGAAAATACGCATCTAATTAAAGTGTCACAGCTCGATTACGGATCTGCAACAAATACAATTTAGCTGCAGGTCGGACCCAAGTTACAGGAGCTTAGAGGGCGAATCGGGGCCTAAACGAGGAGAAGAAAATATGATCCGGATACATAATCATGCGAACATAATCATATACTACCAGCATGGCGTGGTGGCATTGCTAATGGCTGTAACAGAAAGTACACGCTTCCACGGTAGGACTGAAAGTTTGCGAGGAGACTTGGCAGTAAAAAGGAGTGACAGAACACATGCAGGCGATGTTACGAAAATAACTCTGAGAGCAAAAGCAGTGGCTGCCGCTGTAGTGTGCAGGTACTACAATAGGGCTTGCTGGTGATGTAGTACACTGCGTTCTCTGCAGCGCCTACGAAGCTGCATTGCCCACAACTCGGGCGTTCTAAGAATTATTCTCTACTACCGACGCATCGGTCGCGTAACGTGTACAAATGTATTAAAAAGACCGTTTTGTTTCGAGTTCTCAAACATGCTCCTGCTGTGCTGGTCCGGTGAGGATGTGACGCGCACCTGTGCCGGCGTTGTCGGCAGCCCCAATCTTAGAGCATTCGCAGGCATTTCTAGTCTATACATCTTAATTTGTTAATAAGTTGCATTTGTACTTCACTAGTAAGAGGTTACAGGGCTCAATCTGCGTCTCAACCTCTTAACCGCCTACAGATCATGATTTAGCTATCGTCTAGAGGTGTAATGCACAGGCACTACAATGGGGCTTGCTAGTGACCTAGAGACGATAGCTAGCTAGCGACCTACAAGGGGTCGCAACACTGGAGGACGACAGGACCCTCCTACTAGGATAAACGTAAGGCAAATTGTCTATGAGTTAATATGCATACGTGAAATGTGTGGAAAATGTGTGGAGACTGGAGCTGGCGACAGCGCTGGCACCAGTGCAGGCCTCCTCCCCATAGGGCCTAGGAGGCGAGCTCCCAGAGTGGGATGAATCGAACAGACAGATTTTGAAAAACTTAAGAATTATTGTATTTCGATAAAATAAGCTATAGTTTCCAGGAAATGGGCCTACGTTAGGTGCCGTTTGTAGGCCCTGCTCGAGGGGCAGGTAGCAGCGTAGTCGCAGCACTAGGCGCTGTGCACTACAATAGATCACCAGCAAGCCCGATTGTAGTGCCTGCGCACTACAGGTGACCTTAAGAAGACAGCTAACCAGTGACGTATAAGAGGTTAACACGCTGAACGAGGGAAGGTAGTAACGAATTAACCCAATTTATCAGCAAATTAGCATGTGTAAACTGGACGTGTCTGTGAATACCCGGAGATCGGGGATGGCGAGAGTGCCGGCACCGATGCGGGACACCGCCCCACGGGTCCAAGGAAGCAAGAACCCTGAGCCGAGGGGGGACACTGTAGTTATTGCGGCCCAGCAGCATTTCGACATGGTTTCCCTTCTCGCTACAGAGCTACTTGCAAGCCCAGTAAAAACAAAGAAACCCAAATGGACCCTTAAGAGCAAGAAGATTAAAGTCCTGGCCTCCCCAGGAACTTCGGTCTCCCTGGGTATGCGAGAGTCCCCCCACGCTGCACCGGTGGCACAGCTAGCCTCAATCCCTGGCCTTCCAGATGAATGCGCCAGGCTAAATGTGCTGCAAGAGCCAGGTTTCTCTAGCTATAGCTTCTCTAATAATGCCTTTTATGTGTAGAAAAACAATCTTTTGAGGTTCTACGGGTGCAACATAGTAGTGCTATGCACTACAGATGGTGTGAGCAATCACACGCGCACTGAAAGAGACATCGCAAAGTGTTACTGTCCAAGAACTAGGAGAGTGACAAAAGCGAGGCCTTACGCTGCTATTTCTGCCTTATTGGAACAAGAATGCACCGGCACAGCCAGCGAGGCATGCTATGCAGGAGGTGAACACGGCTTACCTCGCTTCAGCAAATCCGTAAAAGATGCGCACACTAATTATAAAGGCTTCTCGGGCATGTGAACAAACCTAAGAGAACTTGTAATGCTAGAACGATTTTCCTGGATGCATTGGCTACGGGGACGACTGCCCCACGACCCATTTCCTGGCTAAAGAGCGATTCTGAGAAAGCAACCAAAACACGCGCAAAGCAAGGTATTGTTGTTGAGCCTAAGGGAAAGGAAAATGAAGACAAGAACTGTGCTTATAGCCTCCTTGGCATGTAGCTACTTCGCTTTCGAGCGAAGTAGCTACACAAGTCGAGGCCGTAGCGCGACTCCACGTGCCCCCACGCTCGCATGTCTGAAGATAATTGCCCCAGGCGTGGCACATTTTCTTGATATTGATCTTAGTAAAACATTCTAAATTATTATCCATTGTGTCATGTTTTGGCAACTGAACAAGGTACGCTCTGACTTTGTGGCACACTGAAAAAGGCACCGTCTGCTCCGCTAAGCGTCTAGTGCACTTGCAATAACTCGGGCTGCTCTTTTCCAGCCTATATAAAGCTGCTTATAACACTTACTTTGCTCCATTACTTACCGTGGGGTCCACGGATTCACTTCTACCCTAGAATCGTTTCACAAGTAGTAGAATCGCATCGATTGGAAATATGCTCCGTTCCACTTAATTAGGCTGTTTATATCCTGAGGAGTGCCAAGGTCCTGATCTAACGCTCTTGCAGTAGAGCGCGTGGCATGCGAAGTAGCCGTGGCGCTGTTTAGAAGAGAGGCATTTGGTGTGAAAGGCGCTGCAGTCATCTGCGCTCGATTAAGCAGAACGCGTATCTGCTTCACTTCGCGGTGCAACACTGCTGCTAACCCCTCCTCCAACGCCTCGGTAATCTTGCCACGCCGATCAGGCTCGATTTTCCCAATCTCGGGTACAGCTCATCAAAGTCCTGGAATCCTGGTCGGGGACGGGGTCGCCAGGGGATCCGCTCTTTCGGAATTTCGCTGCGGGGGGATCGCCCACATTCCCGATCGGAATACCTAATCCAAGAAAACAAAGAGTACAAACGAGTCGATGGGAAAGTCGTAGTGGCCTGGAACCAGGCACAGGAGGGGTACTTTCTGCAGCCCGTCATCCATGCTGATCCACACCCGCTCCCCTGTAGATGCACCAGTTTCTCCCAGCGCCCGGTCTAGCTAATCATTCACCCAGAAGCACCATATACACATTCTTCTGCAAAGTGTGGGCATTGTAATCGCTTGAGTGGACCTTATTCCAACGGGTAACACTTCCAGCCACTTGCTGCGTATGCGTTTTGCGCGAGGCACCTCTCCTTCGTCGCTTTTCCCATCGAATCCTCCAGGTCAGTTTTTTGTTTAAAAAAATTCCATCGTGGACCTGTGGTGGGGGTTCCTTACTGCACCGTTATCAAATTCATTTGCCCTCACCGTGCCTGCAGCGCAAGACCAGAAGGGTCCGTGCTCCTTGTTCTCCTAGAAACCAGTGTTAGTCTCCTTTAGTTGTGGAATTTGTTTTGTAGTATCTACGTCATGCTGTATTGGATAGAGTCGCTGGAACTGCATGCTAGGGTGCTTCTGCGACACCTGTAGACTATGCTAGCACCATGGGCCATTCAAAATGCCTCTAATACTGACGAAGCTGCTTAGGGTAGCACAGCATTACTTCGGCGTTGCATCAAACATATAGGCCTCTGCTGCATTCCGTCAAGCTTCTTTGTGTGTACCTCACAATCTAAAAGGCCAGCCACCTCGCAAAATGCATGGGGCCTTCGGTTCCACGGGGCCCTTGGCCCTCCTAGCACGGAAACAGTGTTTGAACATATGTTAAATATGCATATATATTTGCGTATATATCATCTTCCTTCTCGGAAAGTTTACTAAACACAAATAAGGGTGGTTAAAGTGCTAACAGCTGAACTGCAGAAGCAGATGACCGTTGCTCACCGCTTGTCGGCAGTGCCTTTTCCCCTTCAAAGCAACTGAACAGTCTTGTGCGGGATGAAAATTGTGGTGCTCGAGCCCTCAAGTGTGGCCTGTCCTCTGCTTCCGCATTCACACCATTTCTAAGTGCGGCCTGTTGCCGGATCAGAGCTCGATCCTTCTTTAAAATACTCCGAACGCGTGCTATTTTGCTGGCAAGAAAACTTCTTCTTCCATAGTGAATGCCTTCTTGGCCAAAATACCTTTAAGGGGCTATTTTGAAACACGAACATGCTTCTAGACGCAGCATAATGCTCGAGAACCGATGGATGCTTGCCAGCGTCTCCCGGCCTTATCCGTGCCGCTGTTCATCCTTTCCATTTACTGCACTGCGTGGGTTCGCCGCCATAAACCAAGAGGAATGACCACGTTCCCAGGGTCGTTTGTGGCACATGTCGCAAATCCCAGTTGGGCCTTGCAGGCACAGGCAACATGGGGATGGGCGGGCACCCATGGGGAGTTCACTTCTGGAAGGAGAAACACTAAATACTGCAGCAGATATGTTGGTGGGATGGAAATCCTGCATGAAGATGATGCGGTTATTGTGGTGAACAAGCCCGCAGGAGTACCTGTTTACCCAACTCCGCCAGTCTCAGGTAGGGTGTGACTCCCGAGGCGTTGCCCCGAGCCCCTGTTAGCACTCTTTCGCAGCATTGCTGATACTCTGAGCCGCTTAGTCAATCTTTGAACGTGAAATTTTGCAGATCTGTGTTGTGCCACGCATGCATACTACCGTATCCATCAGCATCACAGGGACAAAGGCCCAACACGGATTCTGTTGTAGACCGTCTTATCGCGTACTACACTCCTCCTAAGGAATCTAGCCAACTTCCTGAGACAATGATGAGCATCTGTGCACCGCCGGAGGGCAAGGGCTTCTTTAAGCGGTCTTCTGGGGATCTCGCTGAAGGCCCAGAGAACCCTAGGGCAGAGGCCGTCGTGCACAGGTTAGACAAGGGGACATCTGGTGTCCTGCTACTTGCAAAGACTTCAACTGCCGCTTCGTGCTTGCGGCAACAATTTAAGGAGAGAAAAGTTAGAAAAACTTATTTCGCCGTCATACGGGGAGGACTAACGGGCCCAATGACAGTCACATCTTGCATTGGAAGGCTCCACAGCGACCGCCGAAGAATGCAGAGTGCGCGTCAGATCTGGAGTGTACATGCGTCTGCTACTCACGCCGTTGCAGGAAAACTAAGAGGGGCTGTCACCCTGTTCAAGCCTCTTACATTTAATGGGAAGTGGAGCGTTGTGCTAGCGTCTCCTGTAACAGGCAGGACTCACCAAATTCGGCTGCACCTTCAAATGCTAAAGACCCCAATAATTGGGGACCCTCTGTATGGAGATGCCTCCACAACTTCAGCCTTTTTGGCCTCCTCAACGGCTCGAAAATCAGGATCCCGCAGTGTGTTATGCAGCGCCCACCGCATTGCGGACGCCCACCAAAGAAGCCTTAACAAGGGATTCTGTGGGGATTTCCATCGACCCTTGTTGCATGCAGCTGAGCTGTGCTGCGTCCATCCCACAACAACAGACACTCTGCGTGTATGTGCGCCTTTACCACCTGACATGAGGCAGGCCATGGACATTGTCGATCCTCTTTGGCCTACAATCCCTGAGCTCACCCCATTCGCAGAGGGACCCCAATAGGGGCGGCCCTGTAGAATTTTTGTTTTAGTAGGACCTTCGTGGGTTAGGCTTCAGGAGTAGGTCAACTTGGGGGAGCCGTCCCTGGCTTAGGGGCTACCGAGAGCTACACGATGCTCTTTACCTGTTTGATCCGCCCAGAGTTTGCGTGCAGCTTTTGTGGAAAGAAACCAAGTATTTGCGTAAGTGGCGCAATAAATATTTAACGAAACATGTATACAAGGATAAACGAGCACGCGGAGCTTTATAGCCTTTTCTGGGACAATTCTCCTACGTCGTCCTTTTGCCTTTGTATGTTTTGGATGTTGCTGCTGCTGCGGCTACTATTTGGGCTTTTGACTGGAGGATTAGAATAGCACAGAGGGCTGAGCAAACTGCAGGCTCCCCAAGGGCCTCCGACTTTCCCCGCAGCTGGACGCGAATCCCCTAGGGGTACTCCAAGCCCCATCGGGACAGTAGAGAGCGGCAGAGACCTCCCACAAAGAGGGGTAGCACAGCGGCAATCAACAGGGCTGCATGCATTAAGCGGACTACGTACAGTCCCGGTGTCGCACCGTGATGCTGATGCGGTTGCTGCCGCACGAGACGTGAGTGCCGTGAGGAAGACCTGTTGTTGTTTTTGGTTCAGTAGAGCGTGATTTAGATGCGCCATTGCCTCCATGGAATTTTTTCCTCTTGGCGGCTGGCTATAGGAACTTACAAAGGTCCCTGATGAGGGCGAGATCAACCTTGCTGCTACTGCTGCTGCAGTTTCAAGACGCATTGTGCCACTCTTAGCCGCGGAGGCCATGCTGAACACTCCGTTACCCTCACCGTAGGAAGGGGCTATACCTCTACCCCAATCCATCGTTTGCATCCCTATAGGTGACAGCTCTCTGGGAGGTGTTACAGCATAGAGTGAAGCACCTCTGAGGGCTGGGTTTGAAACCCCTTGGAACCCTCCTACATCCACTGACCGCCAGGTCCCTGTGGGTCCACAGCCTTGCCTGGCAGGTCCCCTGAGACGCGCTCCGTGAGGGCCCCGCATGCGAGCATCTGCTGCAGATGGGCTGACTTTTGACTCGATGCAGAGATGTGCGCCAGAAAAATACGGAGGGTTTCCCGCAGCTGGGGACCCGCTAGCAGACGCTTCTTCTTCTAGGGTCCCCCGCACGCTATTTTCTTTGATGGGAGAACAACTACGCCTTGTACGGCTAAACACCTTGCCGCTACTGTTGCTGTTGCTCCGGGATGGGGCAGCCCAGTGCTTCTTGACTCCTGCCGTTGGTACAACGCCTTGTTGTTGCAGCCTTCTTGGGAGAGGGAGGGGCCCCAAAAGCGGTCCTCCTTGAAGGCCTCCAACAGCAGCAGTATAGTGGTTGTACCTGGGACCTGCGTACATCGATACTGGGTAAGTAGAAGCCACTCGGGAAGGCCCCAAAGGTCTCCCCACCACGGAGAGGTCAACTGCAGACGCAGAGCCCACCAGCCCCGCTCTACAAGCGGCAGAAGCAGCGGCGGAAGCAGCAGGTTTTAGGGCTGGCAGTAAACTAGCCGCGGATGCGGAGGGATGAACCCCTCCAAAATGCCTCATGGAAACGGAGTGTCCCCCGGAAGGGACCCTTTGCCGCGTGCAGGGGCCCCTGCTACTCTGTTGCCGCTGCCGAAGAGGCGGAAGCACCACCCCAGACTTTGGAGGCTTTTCACAACACGACCCTAATAAGGCACCCCCTCCAGGCGGCAGACAATATCCCCAAGATCCTTCCGCACTGCAAGGGCTTGAGCGCTGCTTCTGATGTTTTTGCTTTTCCTGAGGTGCAGCAGGAAGCAAAACAGCGCCTCGCACTCGTTCGCCCTGCGAAGGCATCTGCAGCGTAGAAGCCCCTCTGTACCCTGCCTTCGTAGCAGCACCCCATAGGGACTTTGCTTTGCCCGTTGCAGATGTGATAGTGGCGCTGATGTTGTCGGGAACAGCTTTTGATATATTTTCCGCTGTCGTTGTTGCTACTGCTGCAGGTGCGGCTGTTGTCACTGCAGCCGGTTTGGCCTCCAAGAACTCTTTCTCTAGTGCTTCACATTGCGTATTTTCTGATTTCGGGGACCGAGAAAATGTTCGTTTCGCGAGGGAAGCCTCCGCATATTTCGAAGCTTCCACCTTTTCTGGGTGCCATTCCGGTTTTGCAGTCACTTTGAGAGACTTGTGCGTCCGAAGGTGTCCTGCGAAAATGCAGAAAGGCAAGGCAATTCAAGATTGGAATGCATCTACATACATGCATACATGCGCATACATGTGGGCTTTATATGGATGAAGAGAAACACACACAATAACACTGCCTCTTTATTACGAGCGCCCCGTGCCAACGCAGAATGACCGTGCTATCCCGAAGGCCATCTTACTTTCGTGTGCATGGAGCAATCCCTCTGTGAACGCCCCTAAATTTTCGCGAAGTCGTTCAATCTGTTGCTTCAGACTCTCCAACTGGGCCTGGCTGCTAGGGTGAGAGGCATCCGCCCCTGCGAGCGGCCTTGTGGAAATCACATCTTTTTTGAAAGACCCAACCCCTTCCGCTGCTGTCGCTGCTACTGCGGCAGTTCCTATTTCTGGCAGTGCAGCCGCTACAGAGAAACCTCGAGGGACGAGCCCCGCAGATGGCCAAATCACAGTTTGTGTGCCCGGCTGTGGCCTGTTCGAAGACGTGGGGGAGAAACTGGCCGCAGCAACAGCAGCGGCAGAGGTTGCGCGGCAAAATGCTGCTGCTGCTTCCAGTCGCCGCTGCAGGTCCTGCAACAAAAAATGGCGTGGAAGTTACAGTAGCCTGTTAAGGTCTTGAAATTAGCCTGCTTTGCCCTTGCTTGCACAAAGAAACAGTGACGGGATCCGATCAGACGTTTACGTTGATGCGTAAACCTCTGATCGGAACACACAACGTAGCGCTGAAGTTCCTGTGGTGACTACACCATTTGGCCTGCATGTACATGCAGGATAAATGACACACGAACCGCCTGAATGCGCATGCTTCGCTTGGCATGACTGTACGTGCCGCATTACTTGTCGTGTTGGTGTGTCGAGTGTGCTCCTCTCTGCCGTCAATGCCCTATTTAGAGCTAAAAACAACTTGTTGAACCTTCCTTCGACGGTAGAATACGGAGAAAGAGGCGAAGCAGGCTCCTCTTCCTACAGCGAAGCACCAAACCGATTCCCTCGAACCAGGCTGCTGCTAAACCTTCTGTTGCAGCAATGCTCAATTTCCAATAGAGCAGAAATGACGCCGTGAAAGTTTCCGGAAGCATGCAAGTGCACTTAACTACATGTACAGCTGAGGGCGAAAGCGGGTTATCTGCTGACTTGGCTGACGGGCGACAGCACGAGTTGTGGTCGCATTTGACGGTGAAAGAAATCTGATAAGACCTCCTCGGCAACCGCAACTGCTCCACGGAGACCTTCACACTCCGTACTCAACTTTTCCTGAACCCACACAAACGCAGAGGATTACAATGCTGCAAGCCCTACTTACACTGCCTCCTTTACTCCTCGGTTGAAGATATTCTAGCTCGTTCAAACTGCAGCCACAGAGCCCCAGAACCTTAATCTCTGCTAATGATCTCTGGAGACTTCAGTCCACAGGCAAGTCCGACCCTATTTACACGCATGCTGCTTTTGTTGGCGTACAATCTGTTTTTGAAGGATTTGGTTTGCAAGGGCCAGCTGCTTATTCTGCTCGGACTTTTGTCGGATATCCGCGTGGTACTGTCGTTTGAGAATTTGCTCCAGTTGGAAGCTCTCTTCCGCCATTACACGCTGCATCGTAAATTCCAAACCCTCAACCCCAAATCCTACTCTCTGAGACCTGAACTGTCCGATGAGCCACGCTGAAAATAAGCCCCTTCCGATACTGAATTGATCCCAGGCCCTACGCTTCCTTCAAGACCGAAAAAACAGTAGTTCGATAACCCCGAAAAGCCAATACGTTTACCTTTTCGTCCTCTTGAGCTTGAATTTTCGTGGACAGTCGGTGCAGTTGGTCCAACAGGTCTTCGTCGGGCGCCTGCGAATAATCAGCTTAAAACTGTGAAACTCACGAATGAGGGGGAGAAGAACTAAGATACTCATTGAGGAAATAGCGTTGCACTGCACAGTGATTGACTTACTACCGTTAGAGGGCCTTCAGGAGTCTCCGTCCCCCTCTGAATATCAATTGTCTGCATGCGTTGCTGCAGCAGTAGCAAAGGGCGTAGCAGGAGAAGCAGTATTTATTCCACCGTACTTTCACGAGTGACAGCAGGTATGAAGACAGCAACACGTGCTACAGCAGATACCGATTAGAGGTAGAGTAAATAGCATTCGCATGTGTAGCAACACCGCGCGATACCAGCTAGGCAAAAATTCAAACTCACAGCGTGCGCTTTCTGCAAATCAAGTGGCAGAAGTGTCTTTTTCCCCTCAGGCTGCTGATGCGCTTGATACTGCTGCTCTTCTTTTTGCCATTTCCTCTGTTCTTTCTGCTGTTTCTTCGCATTTAGTGTGGCGACGATGCTGACAGCTGGCGAAGTCGAATGAGGCGCAATGCTGGAAGCATCCGGTGACCCGGCCGTCCCCACGGCAGCCTTCACGGGAGCTGCTTTCTCAGTGAACGGCAGCTGGAGTGCTGTGGGCACAGCTTCTGGAAACGAAGCTGCCAACGCAATGCCTTTTTCAGCTAGTCTACTACTGCTGGGGAGTGCAGCAGGGGCCTCTTCGCGGGCTTCACACGGAGCCGCCTCTGCGGCTCTGGCACTGAAACAGCGAGGATCTGGGGCTCTTTTTGGCGCCGTTAGGAAAGCCACCTGAGTGTGCCCTTGAATCAGGGTCTTCTGAATGCATTCCTCAGAAAGGGGCCTTTGTGGAGGCTGCTTGCCAGTAAAGGGGTGTCCTCCGTTGGGTCCCTTCACAGGTGCAGCGCCTTCAGAAAACTGTAGTACTGCGTGACCTCCCGATGTATCACTTTCCAGCGGATGTTTCCCATCTTCACTTAATCTGACTTCTGACGTGTTTCCACCGGAAATGGGGGTGGGGGAAAGAGGAGGTGTGTTCGTAGCCGCGCCTCGCCTACTCTGCTCCCGTTGATGGGCAGAAACTGCCTCGAAAAAGTCTTCTGCGACTGCATCTGTCGCTTCAATTGCTGCTGTTGTTGCGGCAGGTGCTTTTGCGGCTACAGCTACTGGTGCTGCTACTGTTGCTGCCGAAGTCTGAGCAGCAGTAGGGGACGGTGAGGGTTCCCCGTCTTTCACCTCGCAGGTGGCCCCCACCGCCATCCTGCCAGACAATTTCGCCAGTGTCCTTTTTGTCTGAATCTCTTGGCCATAAAGGTCAATGCCTTTGCTTCATACACAAATTCTAAAGCGAATAGCGTACGACGCCCCCCGCCATGCGCCTTCCCAGCGGCATCCGCAATCTTTTGAGAAGGCTTCCTCCTCTCGAACGCCTGCAGCAACAAGCTCCTCATAAATGTACACTAAATCTTTGTCGGGCTGTTCATCGGAAGCCCTCAAAACCTCCTACAGATTCAGCGGCGGCAGAGAGACCGTCCCGATCCAGCGAAATGGCGCGAAACGCAGCAGCCGCGAAGTACGAACTACCGCGCCCTGGGGTGCTGATAACCAGCGTCTAGGGCTTTAGTCAATTCTTAGGAAGTTGAAAGACAAGTAGACAACGCAGGGGCTTCACCGGAGCAGTGCTCCAAAGTGTCTGCGTGCCAAAAAACGCCAGTTTCGCTTTCGAACGACAGTTAGGGGGAAGCCAAGATCCATTTTATTTTTTCATTTATTTTCACGAACACAATTTCCTTATTCTCTGAGTTGGGGGAGATTCAGCCATCAAGCGCTTGCAGGCGCAGCACCACATGCTTGGCGCGGCCGATGAAAACCGCCGGGCGGCCGCCCGTCAAACAATGGACAGCTGAGGTGTATACACAACCCAACGCAGCCCCCTGAACTAGGGCGGTTTTATTTTCGTCGTTTCTTTGTATGCTTATTCTTTTTCTTCTTTCGGTCTCTATTGGGGCCCCAGTGCAATTGAGACGGTACCTTGGGGGCCCCAGTGCCCCTTGTAGTTGGCCAAATGTTTACTTATTCCTACTTCCAATATCCCAAATCATAAGGCTGAACTTCTTTAGTGGTTTTTTTGTCATAGTTCCAGTGAGCTATCTGCCGCCTTGCTGGCAAGTCAGATGGAAATGGCAACTGCTTTGGGGGCCCCTTCCCTCTGGGGGCCCCCAACCACTCTCACCTCTTTCTTGCTGCAAGCATTTGCTTGTCCGGCACCGTGGTCCCCTAATTATATTCCTCCAGGCATACGAAGCTCCTTTATTTCCGCCGGTTTGCCCTTACGACCCCCGCCGTTAACAGCTCCTCAAGGGACCCGCTTACAGGGACCGCTGAGAGCCTTTATTGAGATAGTTAACGACTGCACACTTACTGCGACCACTCAGCAGTACCAATCCATCCTCACATTCGGAAGCTACAATAAGTTTGAGAAGCCAGCTTTGGTTGAGTTGCTGGCCTGTATCACTCTAATAGCCGTAAGCATTGACACTAGCACCTGGCTAGATGATGGGACACTGCGTTACGTGGTGACGTCATCACTATTAGCAACATCTTGTGCAGCCTGTGCCGTCGCGGCTGCTGCAGCTGTCTTGTCATTAGCAACAACAATGTGTGTTTCTTTCCTCTGGCGTTTGTGTGTTATGCCTGTGTTTGAAGGAGTTGGTCTTCCATTGTTTTTGCCTTTGCATTGTGCCTTCAGATTTCTCCTTTAACTGCTCAGCAGCTTCGCCTCTTCATAAGCAGTCGCTTGGGCGCCTCACTTGGATCATCGGCCTCGCGATGTCGCTTCTGCCTCCTCGTGATTATGCGGCTATGTGTGCCCCTCTTCGCTTTGTTTTTCTTCTACCTCTACATTTTCCTGCCTCCGGTTTCTCTACCTCTCCTAGCTGCGGCAGCAGGAGCCGTGGCTCTGTTTCTTTCTTTGCCTGCTGCTGCCCCTGATGCGCTGACCCCTCTTGTTTGTTGCTTTCTAATTCCATGTTACGCCTTCCTCTTTCCTATGCCGCCCCACCTTGTTATTGGAGCCCAAATCATAATTTGCCTTCTAGCAGCCCTCAGGTAAGTGTACAATAGACTCCATTAATCTGCACACAGTTTAAGTGCATATTATTTGGAATGGATTGCTGCCGAAGTGAGGGAGTCTAAATGGGGCAAACACAGTCTGATGCTTGTGTCTCTGCTTACGTAGGCATGGAACTGCTTGTAGACATATTAGTGCTTCCATGTGCAGTAGAAGTGAACACTTGCTCCCTTTGGGATTTTTTGCATTCTTGCACCTATGTCTGTCTTCACGCAAGCATGCATTACTGTTCTATTCATTTTTTTTCCTTCACTGACTTCTGCAGTATGCAAACACCTGCACATCACCCTTGTATTTTAAGGCGTTTTGTTGTCAGCGGATTTCCTTTCCTTAGTAAACACGTGTGTGTTTTGCTTGCTTTGGCCTTACAGCTCTCGCGGAGCAAGCGGCACGGTGTCCATTAAGCGCTTGCTGTACGTAAACCAGCTGATCTTTTTGCAACTACTTTACAGTTGTGGCGCAGTCAGTAGCCACATTAGAGGCTGCTCGAGTTGGTCATGGCGTACTAGTTGGCTTCATCTTGCTGCTGCTGGTGCCACTGCATTTTCACCTTTTGTGCGGCTCTGCTACTGCTGATGCCGCGGCCAAAAGTGTGCCGCTGAGAAAAAAAAAACAACTGGAGGCAGTGAGGTTCTCGCATGTAATGGTTTTTTCTGTCCTTTTTGTTGCTGCAGAGGAGGTGGAGATGTTTCGACATTAAGAAATGAGTAAGCACCAGCGCACTCCTGATGGAGGTGGTGCGTTTTGTGCACCTGCGGCTACTGTTTGGCCTGGAACTTCTGCGGATTGTGAAGCTTCTTGGTGAGGCCGGCGCTCCAATGCTTTTGTTTTCAGCCGTGGGCATTTGGTTCCCTTTGCTGACCACCGTTCCATGCAAATGATCGTCACCTGTGCTGGTGAGTCTCTCGTCATGGAACTCCAATCAGAAATATTGAGGAGAGGCAGCTGCTTCGGTTTAACGCTTGACCTTCAGGTTTAACAGTATACGTTTTGCGTATTCAGCGATTCTCGGTGTCGATTTTCTGACCTTTCCACGAAAGTTCTGCAAAAGTGTCAATTCGGGAGTCACACTCGTGAGGATTTAGGATTTGGCGCTGGCAGGTGGCAGCAGCAGTGACGGTGTGGCGTTTGATGAGGATTTGGATTCAGCATGGCATTCCAACTAACTAACAGCTGATGGTTTGCTAGGGATTAAGTCTGCGCTCTGCTGTTTAGGGCACAGGAGTCAGGGTGATTGCTGCTTGTGACAGATGGATTTAGGGGTGGGGGGCATTATTTTCACTTCAGGAATGGTCTCGCGATACTCAAAGGGTCCGCTCACCAATATGATTAGCACTTAACACTAAATCGTTAGCAAGAAACCCAAGATCCCAGCTTGCAGTGTTGCTAATTTGTGCTCCCGCATTGTGCACAACGTCATCATTCCATACTTTGTCACTATTAATGCGCATCCGTTGCTTTCACATGCCTCCAGTGCCACGCTCCTTCCGCTGCGCCTCATCGTCTTTATGTTCTATATTTGTTTCTGCGTTGGTGATTTTTTCTGCCCATTAGTGATTTTCCTTCTCCTTGCCTCTTTTACGCAGCAGCTTACCAGTTTGTGGTTTGTTTGTAGCATGTGTGCTTCTGTTCAGGGTGTGCTAGAAGGGATGAGTCCCTGTGGGTCTCTCTGCGCCGCGCTGCTCTTCATAGTGGTCCTCTCGGCATCTTCGGGCTGTTTCGCCTCATCTTCATGTCCCTCACGAACCTGCATGTAGGCTGAAGCTACTGCTGCTGCTAGTGCAGACAGCTGCTTTGTTTCTGTGTCGTTTATTGCCCACCTAAGAAAATAGGCTTTTATTTTGAAAACTGGTTAGTAATTACGCGGATCTCACACTGACTTAAGAAGCAGGGCCATGCAGCAAGACTGGAATTTGGCAGCCATGCGCTCTCTTTATGGGCGTGGGTACACTACGCAAAGTCGTTCATTCGTTCATCCTTCCCTCCTTTTGTTCATCTGCGTTTCATTTGCGGATTATTGAGACACTTGCTTATCGTATGAAAGTTCTTTTTCAATCCGTGTATCTTCAGCTGCGTCAGCGCCTGAGTCTGTTTGTCTGAAGGTATCTGAGACTGAGTACGGCTTGCACTGGAACTTCTATATGACCTTAATGGTGGTCTTTGTATGTAAGCATGAATCCCTGAAGAGCTTTTTCGCGAATCCAAACTTAGGATCCTGCGAATTGCTCAAGACTATGTTTACCGTAACGGGTTGAGGAGAACCCCACGCTGCTTTCTTTGGCTTTCACGTGCCTGGTTTCGCACGCATTCAGATTCATATGTATTCCGCTGACCTCGTTTCTAATACGGTCGCCTTCTTCATGTTCATGCGGCGTTGCTGTTCAGTGGGCGAGCTGGTATGCGTGCTGAGTGGCCATCCGTACAAGGCTGGAGTCAGTGGCCTAATTCTCCTTATTTGTTAGTTCCTCAACCTCCGGCCCCTACAGAGATTGAGAATCAACTCATTTGGCTCTACATATCCTTGCAGAAGAGTAGAATTTTTGCCATCCTTGCAACAGTGTACGTGTGGAATCTGGTCCGCCCGCCAAAAGTGTTTGCTTTTCTTTTCTTGCCCTGTTGCCTACAGGCTATCAAATCAGTATCTCCGCACTTGATCTCGACGAATGGATGATGGAAGGACCTCGCACAAGTAAAACACTAAACTCTGAAGGCTTCTGCAATACGATATATGACGCAGCGTATAAGTTTCAGTCTGATAGGTGCGCTTCTTGTGTTTTCCGCCGCAGGTTTTTTTTCGGCCAATAGGGAAGGAATTATGGGGTCTGTAGGTGGGCGGCAAGTCAGTTGCTGTTCTTTTCTGATGGGCTCTGCGTCCGCCAGTTTTGAGATGCTTTAATGGGTCGCAGTAGGCATTTGAGCGTTGCCCCTATTGCTCGTATCAAATTGCGTTGGTTAAATTTATAGGTTTTCTTTGTTTATTCCTAATCGCTGTAGCAATGGGGCACTTCGTTATCACAAGCGCCTCAGTGCGGGAGGCCAAAGCGGAGTGAGCAAAAAATGTTGAGATTTGTCTGCCTTTTCTGCAATTTTCATCCTTCCTTTTGCTGTGTCCTATCACTGTGCTTCGTTGTCGCGACCCACTCAGGTTTTCTCTTACTGAGGTAATTTCTTTCGCATTCTACGGCGTACTTGTTCTTCTGCCTCTGGTTCCCTCTTGTCCGTTGGTTTGCTCCCATCATGATTTTTGTTGTGCCCATTTCGCTGTTTTGCAGGTTGAAGCCGAAGCAACTTAGTTTGCTTTCTCTCGCACTGCATTTATTTTTGTGAGTAACAGCTGTATGAATCCATCTGTGAGGCAGCTGGCGGCTTCTTATTCGTTTGCTCTACTCTGGGGGTATCTTCTTCCTCGCAGTAGCCTGCTTTTCTCTGCCCCTACATCTTCTGACACGTCTCTGTTTTTCCTCTTCTCTCTTACGTGGGGGGACTTGCAGAATCTCTCCTCCGTTTCTTATGGCAGTGCTGTAGACACTTAACGACAATACACCCACTGTATCTATCCGGATTTGTGTGTATGTATGTATGTCTGGTCTCCCTCTGTGCGACGCAGTTTTTCGTTCCTGTTTATATCTTTTGGCTTATTATTGCAAGAAGGTTTCGGCCTTTTGGCTCGCCGCCGCTTTGTCAACCTCACATGGGTTGCGTTTGTTGGTGGCATTGAACTATTTGCAGTGGGCATGGCTACATTCGCTGATGCTCTGGCTGGTAGGTTTAAAGAAATAAGCTAGCTTACCTGTTTTTGTCTTTAAGTTAGGTGCATGCAGAGAGGTGAAGTTACTCTAGGGCTTTCAATTACCGTGTGCCTTGGCATCTTCGTTCCTCAATCGTTTGTATGTTGTTTGTTGCTTTTGCTTGTCGGTGTGTGCTCAGCTCGTGTTTGTCCGCAGTGGGCACTCCGTGGCACGAACGACAATCAATTGATCATATTTTTGATCGCTAACGTCTGTGTTGGGGCCGTGAACCTGTCGATTCGAACCTTGCTACAGCCTGCATTTGTGGTTTGGGCCATCATGACGGCGTATATGCTGTTCTTATTTGTCTGCGCTCACCGCTTTGGGGTTGAACAAAAGCGCATCAAAATACTATGAAGCCCTTTGGGGCAAGAAGATGCAGCGAGTAGCGAGTGTCGAGGTGTACTCGATCTTGCAAGCTCTCTCGAAAGGCAGAAACCGATTGCCGCTCTCCGACGGCGTCCACATTCGCTGAATGTATATTGCATTTTTGAACACGAGCTCTCAGCACTCCATGCTGCACAACTAGGTTCATGCACCTCTATCTTTACAGGCAAATAAATACTGCACGACGTGGAACAGCAACACAAGAAATTCCATTATGTATATTAACCTAGAGTCCATGATGTGTCGTAGCAGCAAGCGTGTACCTACACTAGGAGACTGAGCATGAGTCGCAGAAACTGGTCGGAGCGCAAGTGACAGAGGCGATATCCGAGTGTCTTTCATAGCGGCGGTGAAAGGGGCGACATAAACATGCCAGCACACTGAAGCACATACGCAGCAAGAGAAACATCAGCAGAAGAGCAGCAGAAGCGCCGAAAGGCGGTAATGCTGCTGTTCCAAGTAGGACAGAGACACAGCGAAATCATGAAGAGGTGACGAAAGGAAGCGAAAAAGGGAAAAACACAGAAGAAGCACAGAATTTTCCCTCAGTGACAAACAGAGCAATGCGGGGTGTTGTAATGCGCATCATTGCAAGGTAGCACGAAGTGTTCTTCAGGGATACGTAATTCTGAGTATGTAGTTTGGTGTGCGGGGCAGAAGCAGTAAACATGCGAAGAACTTTTGTCTTATAACGAAACCTGGGGCGCTCTGCATTTAGGCCCACAGTTTGAGGCAGGCGAGTGGGGCTGAAGCTGCAATGTGCCTTGCGTACGAACGGTTACGGAGAAAGGCAAGAGAGAAAAAAGATGTACTCCTGGAAGTGGGGGGCCATAATGATGCTGTTTGAACCGCTTTTGATCTTTGAGAGTGTCTTTGGTTATTAATGATAGATGTGAGCCTATGCAGCTTGAACAAGGGAAATATGTAGCGGCCAGACTGGACATAACTCACTACAAAGCCAGCACCCAGCAACGATGTTGCTCATTCAGCGCTGTAGGGGAATAATGAGCATTTCTTTTTATATCTAAAGGAATTCTATTCAGCGCTTTTTGCCACACAAGTATGATTTGTATTCTGTCTGCAGTTGCAGTAGGTAAGTCAGCATATCTAGTGAGATCAGTGCTGTGTCTAAGACGACAGTCCAGGTATCATTCCCTGACCAAGCAGAATTCGGCGCTATGTCATAATGTTGGCGTGCAAGGGGGCGGGGCCACTGTCAGTCCCCAAAGAATTGCCCTGCGCTTATATAAACCTGCGAGTGAAAAAATGCAGGCCGCCACCGGCCCTCCTTAGACATGTGAATGCGGTGGAGTTCTGCCTCTCAATCATGCCGAGAAAAATGCGTACCTTTCATTACTCTAGTCAGTTACCATGAGCAGCTGCGCACTCCACAGCTCCTCTGGGTCTTCTCGACCGTGTTAGCCTGGCAGCATATAGCATGCAGCATATAGTATAGAGGGCCAATCCAATCCTTCGATAGGAATTTAGCTATGTCCTCCGTGTAGAGGTTGGCGCGCTCAGGCTTCCTTCAATAGGTAACTGACTTTTCGGAAAATTCGCTCTGTAACAGGAAGCGGCAGTCATGCTACTGTTTCAGCTGCAATACGACGTGCAGTGCGTCAACGGAAACGGCTCCTTGCTTGTGCAATACTTCAGAAGTATTTCATGTGGGGCATTGAGCGATTTTATTGCTTGGAATTACTCAGAGGAAAGAGAATGCTCGAGCAAGGTGCCAGACCACGGATTCTCCCCATCATCTTTAAGATATTTGGCCCTTGAGTGGACCGCAAATCTGGGTCTTTGTAAGATTCTTTGGTTTCGAGCCTGAAGCACAGATAGGAGAGCTTCCTCTCTTCCCTCAAAAGTCTGCCCCAAATGTTTAAGCCAAGTAGAGCTAGTATAGGATTTAGGCCTTGCAGAGGGCCACCTACTTTAGCCAAACTAGCAAATGCTAGCACATGGCTGCTGCGAAACCCAGTTGATTTGAGGATATGCCTCTGCTCTCGAGATCGCCTCATACCACTAAGGGCACCGACGGACTTGCGTAGGAACGTTTCCGGCTGCTCGGACGTCAGAACGGATAATTTCATTGCCAAAACGTCATAGGCTTGTTCTGCAGCTGTCATGTTCCGTAGTGCGTGCAGCACGCCGCGTTCCTTTTACTTTTTGCAAGTGCACACCACATATAAATCTCAGCTTGTGCCACTCACGTAAATCCCCCCCTCAAAGGAATTGTACCAAGCTATTCACGTTGTGTAGGTCAATCAGGCCTACAATGAGCTCGTAGAAAGTAGGTCCTACCAGAAATCTGCCCAAAAAAAGTTCGAGGCCGTATTTTGTAGAAAATCTTGCCACTACATAGGTACATGAGCAGTAGACAGCATCTTTCCTGTAACCACAGTATACACATTCCTTAGGGTTCCGCCACAGCCTCTGCTATAGTTATTTCAAAGCCACTGGGCTAATAAAGCTACCCGCCGCATTAGCATTTGAGAGGGCTTCATGGGCATGGCCAACTACGTCGAACGTAAAGCGTTCTGTTACTCACCCCGGCACTACTTCGTCGGTTTTTCACTCAATTCTTGCGCTACCTCTGCTGCGCAGAATCTACGAACTCAAAGTGCGGTGTAATGCATCGCTAGCATTCAACCCACCTGTCTTCGTCCTTGCTTGTATCTAGTTCCTTTTCCGACGCCTGCTTTCGCCTCTCTGCATCAATTCCGCAAGCATCCTCAGCCCGCCTGCTTCATACACTTTCCGATATCTGCAGCTCGTCTCCAATTTATGGAGATTTTCATGTCGTCGGGCCCCGTTGCAGCTGCGCATATTAGCCCTTTGTCGTGTCGCTAAAGCCTCCTGCTCGGATCCCCACATGTAGGCTCGTTCTCTTGAGCATCTAGCTGCATTAACAAAGGAAGGCCATGCGGACATTTCGCCGCTAGATTCCATCCAGAGCGTGCCGTACGTAGGATGACGCCTAGCGTAGTGTCCTACTTCTCCACACACCTTGCACATTTTCTCAAGCCTCCTTCCTGGGCTGCCTCTCCCTGCTGGAGAGGTCTCCTAATGAATGGCATCTCCCTCTGCAGTTGTTGCACGCACGCCCTTCGACTCTATCCCTCGCTCCTGCTTTCTCCTCTGGTAGCATGCGTATCGCATAGGTCCTCTCCACATCCCTCTGTAATGGCCTCCTAAAAGATGAGGATGCGAGCCTACTCTCACGGTGAAAATTTTCCCAGTTTCGCCGTTTGTCTTTGGCATACCAGTTCCTAGGGAGTTTTACACAGCAGAGAATTAATGTCTTATTCCTCCCTACAGGAATGCGTTTTTGCAGTAGGGCTGCTTATCATGCCGTATATTCTTCATGACTTCCATTTTACTCGAATCCAACGGGCTCTTCTAACACCTTTGTTCTTGGTAGGTGCGTAAACTGCCATCCAGCTGCTGCCCTACAAACTCCTTATTGCTTATGCGTGTGGCGTCCGCTAGTGATGTTCGGTAATGCAGTCGAACAGGGCTCGTAAAGCACCCTACGAGCTGCCACACCTGCTGCGTTGGCTCTAGCCTCAAATCGGCAAAGCAAGCCTATAAGAGGCCTTTGTGTATCTCCAAGGCCTTCTCGTCCTCAAAATTCAAGTTATCTTCGCCAGCCGAAAGTGATCCATCAAGGCGCTCGTGGTCCAACATTCTTTGCAAAAGATTCGCCTTGTTTCCAATCGTTGATTTTCACCTGACCAGTATCTTTTTCACGTCCCCTGGAGACCTGTGGGACAGCCAGATGATCCCGCACCATGTGTAGCCCAGGCTGTTGGTTAAACTCTGTCTTCAGTACATCTGCCTGGTGCTTGACATTCTAGCTGCGTGGATACCACGACCTGCTGTGAGCTCTTCATTAAGCTACCTCGAAATGATTATCGCCCTTTGGAGATGTACGCGCGGACAAGGTCCTAGGTGAGTCTTCACATAAATTACTGCCTACTGATGCTTAGTAGAAGAACAATTACACAATTTTTGAGCAGCCCCCACGCGTAGCGCACGAAGCCTAGCTGAGTACCTTCATGATTGCCTACTGCTCGCGAGCCTGCACTCAGTTACATCAAACATGGCAAACTAAGGCTCGTGTCGGCCCGCTAAATCTGAAAGCAACAATTGAGGCTTTTGAAATGAAGTAATGCGTCGTAGGCTATAAGGAAGACCAGCGTGACTCGAGAGCTTTAACGCACACCTGACTAGCTTGGAGCATTACGGCAAAAATTGAAAGGGCTCATTCAACCTGGCCAGCTGGAAACAAGCAGTGCCAGTCTATTGCTGAAAAAGACTCGGAAACCAAAGCAAGCACTGGAGGAAAGCGCAGCCCTGAGGTGCAAAGGAACAGCTTAGAAAGGAAAGTGTGAGCTCTAAAGCTGAAGAGGTTTTTCCTGGCACTCCATCAATACCAAGAAGAGCCCAGTCCCGGTTATGAACCCATCGTAGAGAAGCATTGCTAACCCTATGCAGGATGGCAATCTAGGAACAGTAATCGTTCAGAACCGGCATATCAAAGCAATAAATCTGCTGGGGTGCGCGACCGTATTCCTCGGCCATACTGAGCTCCCAACAGATGCCGGGACCCCCATCCCTTCACTGCTCTAACAAACGCTTCTTACCTCTTCATGGCTACTTCAGTAGGTCCTATGCTCAACAGGCTATTAGGTCCTTTGACCCTAAGACTCAAAATGCTAGGACATTGATGAACTAGTAGTGTCTCTAAGGAGTCAAGATATTATTTTCGTTTATCAGAGTATAGCAGCTCTGCAGTTTGGCTCACAAGGGCTGCGCATTGTTTTGTAACTTTAAGGAAAGAAAGCGGGGGGTCCACACAATAGCGTGCCCTCACCGTTAAACGTACGAATATCATCCATTCCGCATGTGAAAGCATCCTCTAGGTATGAGGCACCAAAACAACGTCAATAGCCACACTGTTAATCTGTGCAAGACAGTGCTTTTGAATTACTTCAGCTGAAGAACTCCGTGAGGCCGATCTAGACAACCGTTTCCTCTAAGCGTTGATATCCCCCAAAGTAAGTAGCTGGACTCTTTTGGGCTCTTTAAGCCCTCATCTCCTATAATATACGTTAAGCGTTGCTTGCCTGTACGCAGCGACTGGTCTTCGCAGTACAGGAGGTCGATGTTGATTTCGCATCAGTGCTCGCCCTTCCGTGTCTCTGTCAGCTGATATTTTCAGTTCAGGCTGCCGTTATTTAATTCGCATTAGTCTGCGGCCTTTCACGTTTCTGTTAAGTGCATGCATGAGTAGGTAATACCAATTCCCACTGCTTGACACTTGAAATTGGCAATGTGACTTGCGGCAAATTTACGTCAAGCGTTGCTTGCCTGTAGGCAGCGGCTAGTCTTCCCAGTACAGGGGGTCGTTGTCTAAATCGCATCAGTGCTCGACCTTTCGTGTGTCTGTAGATCAGCTGCTCTTCGCGCTTCAGGCTGCCACTGTTGAGTCCGCATCAGCGCTAAACTTTTAACGTCTCTGTAAGTCCATGCGTGAGTACGTAGTGCCAGCTCCCACTACTTGAGACTTGATATATTATAGACTGATCGCCAATCATGCACGTTATCATTATCGTTAGCTGTTCTACGTTGCCATTGCAACTCGCAGATGGCAACTAAACACCCTCAACGATGTGTAGTTTTGGTTGAATATTTGTTGCTTCAGAGAAAATTTCAACCACGTGAACGAAACCACGGCTGAGCAGTCTATCAGCCATAATTTGTCAACTTGTGCATTAGCAGTTACCAAACAGCGCCGCAGTGGCGCTTGTTCCTTGAATCGCAGCACCGGATGCATCGTGATGTAGCTCAGGCGTGCTATCTACACAGCTATGATAACACCCGCTATCACGTTAAGCTTTAACTCATATGATCCTTCCGTGTGACTCAAGTGTGGAGCTCATCATCATCGTCATCGTCATACACATCTTCTTGGTCCTCTGCAGTAAGCCCCAATTCTCGCATTAAGAGCTGCTCCACCTGAGGCCACAAAAACGCACGTTTGGTGGTTAAGCCAAAGTTTGGCCTAAACTCAACTGTTCTAATTTCCGTGAGCATAGGCGGCGTGCGCTTCAATTTTGAAAGAGAGCGTTTGTCTGCCTACTGCGTCACGCTGTTGGACCAGCACAAGCCTTTGTAGTCGCTCGCGCAAACTGCATCCCAGAACGCAAACAAGCACCAGCAACGATGTTATCTTCCGGGCAAATGCACCGATGAAAGATCCTAGTACACATGTGACACATGGGCAGCTTTGCCGTCGGCATAACTTCTGCAATTCAAGGCAAGGAAACACACCTACAACTGTTGGGCTTTATTCAGAAGTGAGCAAATGAACAGAGACGTACTGGCGGTGCTTGTATACGTGGAACGAGATGGCGATAGAACAGGAAAGTGGAAGAGCCAGAAACACAAAAAGGATAAAGCAAACGAGCAAAGTCGCGTCCGCTGAGTCTGCAGCAGTAAGCAAAACTGTGGGAGGGAAAAGATACAGTTAAATTAGAAAAAGAATCTTACGCGCGTTCCCCTGCCGCATGCTTCCTTGGCTGCTGGATCTCGAGGCATGTGATGATAGTACCAAGACTAACCAATGATGAATCGTACTTCCCCCATAAACATCCCAAACGGTTGTTCCTCATTAGGGTAAAAACAAATGTGCATGCGCGAAGTGGCGTGATGCCCGGGGACAGCATCAAACAGCGCGTCGCTGTTGCCAACTGTATCCTTCAATGAACTGCTGAATCTGCACGCACGGGAAAACGAAAAACCCAGGCGAGCCACCTCCCAAAATCCTATGGAAAACAGCGACTGTTGATTTTCTGATTTAACTAAGGTTTACATTCCCTGGACTGAGTAGACCCTGCTGCACACATTAGTGCGCATTCATTAGTGCTGTTTGCTCTTCAGGGTGGTCGTGTTGTATTCATCAGAGCATGCTCGCAGCCCGCCACTGATTCTTGCGACCTCCACGCTAGTGTGCATGCCTAGCAGAGTGGGTAGAAGGGCGTACACAAATCTAAGGGTCCCTTTGTTTGTAGCTTCATCCCATGAATATCCATCAGGCGCCACACTTAAGAGACTGTGCTCGTCCCAGAACCCTACGCAGAACGGAAAACGCAACAGAAAGTTTGTTATTAGGTCTGCTGGAGCTCAAGAACCAGTGCAATTATAGGCACGCATATTGCAGGAAGGTCTCCCAGTCACCTACAAGCTGGCGTCCTAAGGAGCAGTTAACGACAATAAACGGCTAGAACACCACTTCTACACTGCTTACCTAGACATGGCTGGGCGATCCCCACTGGTGATTCTTTGATAGCCAGGCGGTTGAATCGCGAAACGTTTACTCCATCTGCAGTAAATGAAGCGCACGGAGCCAGCCGCTGCTGTATGGCAGTCCCTTCGGCACAAAATTGATATCCGAAGCATGCTCCAGTTCCAAGTGAGCGAAACACGCAAAAAGCCGAATAAAACCATCGAGCCCTAGTCCCCATTTCACTTAACATCGACCATGGTTGTAACTCGTATTACCGTATGATTCGTTGCCTCCTGTCCCGACGTGTAAATCGCTAGGGTGCTAATACTTCGTAAAGTACTGAGCGCTACGCACCGATGTACTTTGTAAACATCCAGCCCGCATCAATAAAGTGCCGAATTTGAACAGTTTCAGGTTCGTCTTGTGGATCGTCATCTGCTTGAGGAGCCACAACCGGGGATATATGAAATTTCAACTCGCCAACAAGTTGTGGGTCCTTAAATAAACGTGTCTTTTCCTTCGTGTCATCATGACCTGCCGTTTCACCGTGCAAGCCATTTTCTGCCTCCGTGTCTTCAGCCCCATTTTCTTCCTGGACATGAGTTTGGAGAGTTTGAGCTGAGCGCGCAACATCCCCCGCTGCATCACTGCTCGTGTTCTCATCCTGGGTTTCTCCTTCTTGTCGTTTTGGTTTCCGCCGAGCATTATTTAGGAGGCAAACCCCAACTTTCCACTTTGCTGGGGTTTCAATAAGGTCCCCTACAGGGAAAATATCACAAAACAGTGTATGCATAAGGTCACAACGCGCTCCGGCAGCCAATAACTTGTTTCAGAAGCCCCAGACTGAACTAGCTTCACCAAAGAGACGCACAACCGTAGGCGATTGTGCGAATGCTTACCCCGCAATGCAGACAGTCGGCGCGCCTCCACATCACGAACAACTGAGGCCTGGTGCTGTACTGACGAAGTAGCTGGTTTCTGGTCTTTCGTTGCCTCTGCGCTTTCGCCAGTACTGTCTAAGGATGAGACCTCAGCGCCCCACTTCGGTTTGTGTAGCATCTCGTGAGCTTCCCTCCAGATTTCAACACTGTAATCGAGAGCGTCAAGCACTCTAGTGACCTTCTCCTGCGGCACTGCAAATGTGATGTAGCGCGCTAGCCGGCTCAGCTGCGGCTCAGGGCTGCAAGCAAGCCAAAAAGGTTCAGCTGTCGATTCCTCGCTCTTCTCACTCGATAACATCAGCTGAGCCTCTTCGCAGGACTCGGGAATGACTTTTGCACCAGAGTTCGAAGCGGGAATGTTCTGAACCCCTTCTCTAACAGGCAACTTAATGAAGGCCACACATGAATCCTCCATAGGTGAAGAAGTGATGGACTGCCGCCAATACAGAAAAGGATGCCGGCGCCGAGGTCGAGGGCGAGCAGCAACGCCTGCAGAGAACGCCGGATTGTCCTTTACTGTCTGAAGTGACGCATCAGTTGATGGATCTTGTTCCTTAGAGGCCGCTGGAGGGGCCGTTTTGCCTATTAATTTGCGTTCAAGAGGTGGAGTTGCATTTGTATCCAACCATAAATTTAATCCCCGAGGAAAGGTTGTCCATCGGCCAAAAATGCGTATGAAGTGCGGGTCATTCAAAGCCCCTTTTTCGTTACTTTGGGCGTAATTTGCTTCTCCGTCTCCCCCAGATTGTCCTGTGGCGCTCGGGAGAGTAACCGTAGAGCCTGGGGTGCCACTCTCAGCCTTTGACTGACGGGCCATCGTCCGGCGCAGAAAAAAGTCCGCAGGCAGATCAACAGGAAACGTTTGATTTAACAGAGGCCCCACCGGCCAGTCCACTGTGCTCAGAGCTACGTAGGGACTGCCTCCCTCTTCTCCTTTGCATCGAATAATCTCACCCCCAACAGCCAGTGGCATACTGCAGCTGCCGTACCTGATAGGACGGAACTCAACTTCACTGTCCTTACTTCTAGAGGCAGCGGCAGGCTTCTGCGGGTGCAAAAAGCCGGATTCAGACCCAACAGCAGGAGAGACGAGACTTGTTGCCTCTGCAGCCGGGGCTGAGAGAGGTGCTTCAGCAGCGAAAGCAAAGAACGTTCCACATCCTGAGCCATCTGGGGCTCCCCTGAAAAGCGAGAGTAAGGCAAGGACAGCTAAGGTGTTACACAGACGCAGCCGCTGTGCAGTTCCGCGTGGAGTACTTTCGTTTCGTGCCACCGCTGAGGGGCCGATGCAGCTAGGAAGACCCATGCCCCAGTCGAACAATCTTCCAGACAGCACTATGCTGAGCCTAGCAGCCTCAAGTTCTCAATGATTCTGCTATCCAATTCATTCTGTACGCATTCAATCTCATGTAGCTCTTCGGATTTGTCAGCCTGCAGGGGGCTCCGCGCAGCTGAATTGACCTGGTAGAGGTGAGTACTGGTGATTAAGGAATGGCGAGCAACGCTTAGCATGGGGTGTATCTCTCTAAATCCTACGGTTAAACTTAAAAGCAAATGCTGACGTCATTTCTACAGCAGTTTTCACTTTTGTTTCTTTGGATGCACAAGACAGTGTCGCCGGGCATTCGCATGCGCTTCCCAACTGATCATTCGTTCGCCGTCGCTGGCACTGCTGCGTGCTGGATCTGCATGTTGCAGCCGTTTAACTATACTAACGAAATAGGCCCTAAGTACTGTCAACAGAAAAGTTTAGTAGCAGGACGTGAGCGTTTTTTTCGCGGCGTTCAATGGCGAGGCCAGGAGGACCCATCCCAGTTATATTTGTGGGGCTTACAGTCGCGTCTGCCGTCCTGCTGACATTAATCCTCAGAAAGGTTTGGGGAGCTTCCAGGACTGGTAGAGGAAAACAGAGGGAGAGACCCTCAAGCTCTTCGTTGACGGTGAGTCACACTCGCTGGAACCAGCACCAGACCACTGCGTTGGCACAGCAACGGCTCGGGAAGCCAGAACAAGTGACGAACAGAAGTAAAGTAGATATGGTGTGTTGCTCCAGTAGACGCGGTGCATTGTCCCGCCTCACCAGCTGAGAAGCCAGAATGCAATTTCGGCTCGGCATACACCTCCTAATGTGCGTTTGCGGTGGTACTTGGTCTCAAGGGTATTGATGCGCCTCCAGCCTCAGATGGAGCAGGACGCTTTGAAGAGGCATGCGAGGCCGTTGAGGTCGCGTCAAAGGATTTGTCAAGCGCGTCTATGATTGAGTTCTATGGTGGGTTTCTGCAAGCACTGCGTCTCGTTCCCAGAAGCCCGTTGTTTAACGAGCCCGTCACCACCCAGGATAAAGGCAAACATCATTGAGACAGTGGCCAATATTTGATAGTGCGTTGCTGCAGGTCTCTTCAAGCAAGCGACGCAGGGCGACTGTGACCTCAGAAAGCCTTCCGCCTTCAATGTTCAGGGCCATGCAAAGTGGTTAGTGCCTTTAGAGTATTGTTTTCTCTCTCCATGGCTGGCTACTGTATTACTTAGTTGACGCGCTCCAGTCCACATTGTGTCTGTCTCCACTGTCCTCCTGTGACATTTGGAAGCGTTCATCTCCCTGAGGATGCATCCGTAATTGCTGAGTTCAGGTCAGCCTGGGAAAAGCATAAAGGCCTGCCTACCAGTGAAGCGAAGGCGAAGTATGTTAGCTTGGCTCTGCGCCTGGGACTGTTACGGCATGAAGAGGGTTCGACAGGAGGGCGAACACGAGTGCGAGTTACACTAGTAAATCTAATATGGCGAGTATGCGGAGAGGCGGGTCACTTGCTGTTAGTCGTGACCCGCCTCTCCGCATATTGGCCATATTAGATTTACTACGCTATGAAAGCAAGATCCAGCACTGCAGGCTCTTCAGAAACTGCCACAATATTTAGGGTGCTTCTGCGTGCTGAATATTCCGCTGAGTCGAAGGGCTTCCGTTCATCTGTTGTAACTTATGGGATAAGTTCCCCAGCTTGGCTTTTTCCTTCAGCTTGGCCCCGTACAAAGCAGGCCTGTCGTGGACGCAGGAGAACTCTTTTGCTCCTCGTAAGAGCTTTCCCTTCACTTGCTTTAGCTGCAGATCTAGTGGTGTCTTGGCATCCTTTTTGTCCTCCCTAAGCAGGTTGTTACTGCTAGCTTTGCCGTTGCTTAAGGGCGAAGATCTGATAAGAGAGTGATGCGCAATTTGGATAACATTAGTTATCTAGTAGCAACATCGGTGTTATGAAGTATGAACATCCCGAATCTAGAACGCGTAAAGACCATGGCAGGCACCGCATATCCTGCTGTGCAGGTCGAAGGGAGATGCATTCTGTTGTTTGGTTGCTGAGGGGAACTTTGAAGCTGCTGTAGGTGCACTATTAAGTAAGCTAGCTGTTGAGTGGTTAGACTGTTCCGCTGCAGCGTCCCCCCTTACTGTGTTCTGTTGCTTGAGGAAGCAAATATGTATTCATCCTTCTACTGCGAGTTGAGAAGACAGTCGGGGCAGCCCAGACTTTTTTGTGTTTTTGTTATGCGAAGAAGATTCTTCCCTCGTCTACATCACGGGCGAGGGCGGAATGACTGGACTTCACTTTGCGGCGGATAGGTGCGCCTGTGTTCAAGTGGAATTGTCTTGGGGAAAGTGATTAGGCATTGTGCAGAAATCTGCGGTGCTTCTTGTGAAACTGCAAGAACTTCACATATATTCCCAAGTCCAACTGATGTTTCTCAACTAAAGGTGCAAACATCAGGCAACTAACGTGTGTGAGGCCCGAATATTTGTGTCTGTTGCTTAGAGGCCATGCGGATATCGCGAAGATGCTGATAGAGTGCGGTGAGGTTGCAGCGACACAATTGGTTGCAGCGTTAATACTGATTGTGCCCAATGCGCTGCTCACGTTTTCGGCAAATTTTCTGTAGTTTAGCACTCAGTACGACACTTCTTGCATGATTCAATAGATACTCATTCCTTTGGCCAGGGATCTTGGCTCTATGCTTTAGGGGGCGTAGACTTGAGATCATGCGTTTCATGTGTTGGCTTGCGCACAGGTGCCGAGTTGGACTGCCAAGACGATTGGGGTGAGACTCCTCTCCATGTTGCACTTGCAGCTGGCCAGCAGGAGCTGGCTGCCATGCTCATCAGAGCTGGGGCAAACACCTATATCAGAAACAAAGAGGGGAAGAGCTGTGACGATTTGATGGAGAACGAGCTTAGATGGCAGTAGGCTGACTCCACCATGCCTCACAGTGTCCTCGCAAAGGTTCACTTCCTGTGTTGCGGCGCCTAGAAACAGGTTTTTGCGGCATTTGTCTGCAAAAAAGGGCAAAACTACCGTAACCGATGCAGACCAGTTTTCGGGACACATCTGCACAACATTTTGACGTGACCTGGTAGCAGCAAAAATATGTCAAGAGATACAGGTCGCTGGTCTTCGTAACTGGGACTAGTTCACCATTTCATTTGCTCCTTAAAGCGCATGCGCCTGTGTCACTTGGCATGTTCTGTGACTGTCAGGGCCAAAGCTATGCATGGGGACAAAGGGGAAAGCGATAGAAAGCTTTCCGGAGGATCGGTTGTAGGCCGCGAGTGAGCGGGGTCCAATCTACTGGCACCTGCAGCAGAAGAAATTTTTCGTGCAGATGCAATATCACCACCCCAGCACTGCGCAGAAATCGGATTCAAATGAGGCTTGTTGAGATGTGGATGGCCTCAACTTCCCACTCGTTGCTCCGCGCACACCCCCGTGTTGTCGAATGCCAGTGGGTGCAATGGGTTGCATGATCCCCTTGCGCGCCAGCGCCACGCACATCGCCAGGCTGGACGTCTGAAAGTGTGGGGGTGTGTAGAGCAAACATTTGCGGGCAGATGCTGACAGTGGACTCAATCGAAGGAAGTTGTTGCAGGACACTGCGTGGGATTGCATAATTGGCACTGAAGCGAGCTGCCGAGACATGAGTTTGGCAATGATTTATCAAGCCTCTTCAAGGGTAGCTTGAAGGCAGCTCGGGATAACTAGGCAGTGTTCCTGCCGGCCAGATAAAACGACGCTTTTGATGCCGCAGGTGTGACAAAATACCACGTGACGCCCGTTCAAGGCTTTCATCCCCTTAGTTTTTGTTTGTCTTGAATATAATAAAGTTTCAGAAAGTCACTGATGAGCCTCACATCGGGGGCTGTCAGCATATAAGGTACTGCAACTTTCAGCAAGAACCTTATGTGAAAGACTTCGGAGGCAAAAATGACGCATAATTCAACAGTCTGCGCCTGGCGTTTTTGCATAAAGAAAATGATGTATTGGCGACATCAGGGCACTTCTGTCCTGCTAGGTGCTTCACGGAGCAACGGCTAGCGCTTCGGGATTGGATTGGTGCAGGTGCTCATCACTTTTTTCATCTGTCTGTTGAGCAGGTGCGGCTGCGTGTTTGGCGAACAACTAACAAGCTGTCACTGGCAATCTCCCAGTGGTTCCTGTAAGGAACTAAGACATTGCTGAGAGGCGAGGCTTCTGTCGAGCGATGCAGGCATGAATTGGCAGAGGGTATACAAGATTACTACCAAATGGGACAGACGGTAGATTCGTACGGGAGGCCATGACACTGCTGGCAGATCGTTTGCACATACACGCAGACGGAACCGTGGAAAGATGCTGGAAACACTGCAGGGGAATAATGCTGCGACAGCACAGAAAAAGGCTCGCCAAAATGTCCGGAGCTGCTGGTCTTCAGAAGCAGCCAGTATACAGGTGTGTCTGTTGCCAGCGCTGACAAAAGGTAACGCGTTGGTACTTTTTTGCCTAGCCGCTGAGGGTGTTTCATGCATTGTTTCCCATGGAGCGGAAGTCCTCTTGGACAAGTGGCGCTGTGGAGCGAACAGAAAAACCGGTCCGAAATGCGCCGCATCCTACTTGCTTTGAATCCCCTCAGACTTCCCCTCAGACTGAGCAAGCAGTAGGTTAGCTAGCCCATGCTTTTTGGGTGTGTTTCCCATTCTGTGCTGTGGGCAGCATCGGGCCTGTTTTAATCTATACGTTTGTGAACAGCATCTTTCTTCTCCATTTGAATTGTCTTTAGTAGAGGAGCTTGCCGTGTTATTGTGACTCACCTTCACAACAGCCAGTCTACCCTGAGAAACTTAGTAGTGTACGAGCTCGATATTTTTCTCAACGCGTTCGATTTCAAAAGCCATTCCGGTGCTGGCTTGACTTGCTTCCGGGTAGTAGCGTCACTTCAGGGTCTTTTGGAAGAGGCAAACGGATTACTACGTTACGTGGGACTTGCGGATTTGCCCAACCGAGGATCTGTGCTGTGGTAGTGTTGGGTGTAGGCCGTGTGGGGCAAAACCGAATCTGAAGGGGTGCCTCACGGAGCCTATGTCGCGGGAACATAATTTGTGCGATGTTTATGACAACTTTCTAGCGGACAAACGAACTTGCCCTAAAGCCAGCTTCGAGTATGAGCTTCAGGGATTCAGAATGAAGCTCCAGGCGCCGAACTAAAACAGGTCTTCAGCTGTATTCATACCACTGAGGAAAACGAAAGGGTTTTCAACATTGGTTCCCTTGCCGAAATGTGTATTGCCGTGCTTTTGTGCCTCGCTGTGCAGTCCGAGTATCCTTTTTTCATGCATCAATACGTCCGGCCGCTCTGTTTACCAGCCGACGTTTCGCCATTGTCTTTTGTATTCAATTAAGAGACTTCACTGGGGTTTTTCCATGCGTTTCGGTTCATGGCACGAGATTCACGCACACCCTTGTCGACGTGCTCCAGCTCGAGCCGCCGCAAGCACAAGCCAACCGCAGTGGAAGCTATTAATAGCAGCCAAAAAAAAGAAAAAGAAAAGCTAAGCTTTCCGTCCAAGTATTTCGCTGTATTCTGGGTGCGGCCTTGGCGAGTGCTCGACGAAGACCGCCCACCTGGCCGTGAGAGACTTCGCTGGAAGTGGGCTATCAATTAATTGAAGTATATTATTTACTCTTTCCCACTGGTTCATATTAAAATATGAAACTATATAGTAGTCGAAGTGGATTCCTCTAAAATGCGAGTCACTGGCTCAATCTCAATGGCCAAGCTATCACAGTCCGCCGACCAGTTCATTTAATGTATGATCAAAAGAGAAGCTCCCTACAGAGTACCTCCCTTACTTATCCACAGTGGCTTAAGTACCCCAATACGCAGGCAGTTTGATGCTTTGTAAAATTTTCCGTAAAGTTTTTGACGCGTACGTACCCCTCGGCTGTTCATGGAAGTCTTGTGCTGGCTATGGCCGTCTTCAACATTATTAGTTAAAGTGTGAAAGAAACGTCAAAGAAATTATTAAGGAATATTCTAAGACGGTGCGGAGGCACAAAACGCAAAACATAACTCCGCTTCTTGGCCTCTGTACTTCCTCACTTGCATTGTTTCTACTGCCGCTGTTCTGTCGTTGCTTCTGACTGGACCTCGGTAAGTGCATCTGCCTGTGAAGTTCGAACTTCTGCCGAGTTCATTGCCTCTCAAACAAACTGATACGAAATCATGGCTTGAAGGCTCGAGGACTTAGAAAAGACTCTACGTAGAAGCCAGCCCAACTATGAACCCTGCAGGGCTCGCTATTCCACGGAAGATAGTCTCCGCTTCTGGCTTACTATAGCTCAGAGACTTTTTTCAGAAAGCCCTCGTAGTCAATTTACATTATATGGTATGGGCATCTACGTGTGGCACACACAGTTACCACTGGGCTTCGTGATGGGACACAACTGCACAAGGCCATGTTGCGCTTATTGGATACCAGCCGCTGTGTGTTTGAAATTTCCCAGAAGTGCTTTTCAATTAAGGCAGCTTCACTTGAAGTGGCTTTAAGCAGCTCTATGTTCACAAGAGGAACATGGAAAGCCCAATGCCTCGAAGGAACTGCACAACTGGCTGTGTGCCTCCCCACACTACTAGCCTTCGAAACAGCAAGAAAACAAAAATTAAGATCACATTACTAATCTAATACAGCAGCCCAAAACTTTTGCCAACTATACGCGTCAAGCGAAAAAAACGGACGTAAATGACAAGATCCCTGCGGAATGTCACTCCTGCTTCGGTGCACTTTGCACACCATCGTGAACCACATTACCTATACCTCCGGCCCAAAAAGGAAACTAAGACGATCCCGACAGCCGTGAAGAATTACCGAGCCGCTGCGTTGCAGTTTCTGTGGCGACAACTGCCGCTACTTCGACTCTCACAGCATGTACCGTGTTTATTTCCCTCCTTCAGGCGTCACATGAAGGGAATTGAACACACAAATACAGGCCATAAGCCGCTGCGAGCTTCCACTTTGTACTGTTGGCAAGCACTGGAAGCTCGAGGGAAAGCATATGCCGACGCATGCCGCCGTATGCACAACTGATACTCATCAGCCACTAGCAGTCGTAAAAATGACTTCGTTTGCCAGTATTATCTTGGCTAGAAGATACTAAAATTAGGCCACCGACAAAAGTTTGTGGCTCCTTCTTCCTACTATGTTCACCTCCACCTCTACGGACAGCCACCCCGTCGATTCGCTCTTGCCCACATTTGTCCGTAGGTGAAGACCTTTACGCCCATGCATTCCTGTTTGAATTATTGCCAGAGGTCTGCATATTCCTGTGCAACTTCACTTGCGGATATTCTCTTATCTCTTCTTACCTGCAGCAACTTGACAAGGAGTTCTTGCCACCTTTTGGGCACATGCGCCTTCGTCATTTCGGGAATGAGAATATCAGCCGATACATCCTTCTCTATTAATTTGCCGAAATAGCTTCCTAGCGCAGCAGCATCAATGTTAGCGGGCTCCGTCAGACCGTAGGGCAAAGTCTTCGTGAACAATTCATAAATAATAACGCCAAGAGACCACATATCACCCTTCGCGTGTGATATCACTGGTACTGCTCTTCTCTCTCCCTTCAGGATATTCAAAAAAAACTCAGGCTCCGCGTATTCGGGCGTGGTGCCAGCAAGGCTATCTATTTCCACCCCCGCAGGGCTGCTGGAGCCAAGATCACCTAAAAGAAATGAGCCGTCTGCCCGCATTAAACAACCGTCCAACTTCAAGTCGTTGTGACAAAAGCCTCTTTCCTGCAGGTGGAGTACCTGCAGCAGCAAACGTTGCGCAATGTACGTCTTTGCATCAGTCGGCAGCGTCGGCACTTGGTCTATGAAGTCTTCGAGATGGACAATAAAGCGCTCAGTCAGTTGCACTTTGTCTGAAATGAACACACCGTTGCTGTGAAGACCATTAGGCATGTTCTCGAGCTGCGCTGTCGCCAGGGGCACCGCCAGTCCCATGCGGGCAGCAGCCTTGTCTGCTGGCATCTTGCCCAAGATCGCACGCAGCCCCTTTTCTTCTGCGAGGACTTGGTTCTCAACATCATCTTCCAGGAGTTCTGTTTCATACTCCGACGCTTCTGCTGAGCTGTTGCTTTTCTCTTCGCTGACGCCGAAAGGCACTCGCAGTGCGTACGTCTCCCCCGTTTCTTCGTCTTTTACCTCCAGCACAAGTGTGAATGTTCCCTCACCCAAAAATTTTGCCACCTTCAGCTTCCGCCCAAAACGTCTCGTGGCGGACTCGTCAAAAGGAGTGACCTCCTTAAGAACCACAGTTTGGCCCAATATGTTTGTAGATTTACCACCAGACAAATGCGCAGCCAGCTTCTTCAGCGATCTTCGGGCCCCTGCAGTCGCCGGCGCACCAATCCCCTTCTCTTTTTTCTCCGCCTCAAGCTTTGCCAGCTCTTCCGCTAGAAGCTTCTTCCCATTTTCTGCTGCGGGCGACAGCCGGCCCTCTTCTTTGTCCACATTCCGCAGCTTAGTGCTTTCCTCACCCGAGCCTTGCCCGCTTTCATGACCAGCAAAGGGAGTCTCTGACACTAGGCGCATAATACGGCGGCCAATGCTGAATGCATTGAAGGCTAAACCGAAGCCCGATAGCAGAACCAAGAACGCTGCCAGGCCAAACTTCAGGCGCTTGCGGCGACGGCGAAGTCGGCCCAAATGGGGTAGCCTAGTCAGAAACAACGGGCCATCTGCCACCTCATTTAGCTTGTTTTCGCTACTTGTTGACAACATCACTGGTGGAGCCTCGGGCTTCATCTTTTGTGTTGCACCGGAGCAGCTGCCAGTCCTACTCTCCGTGAGGCTTCCTGAAAAATTGAGACTGTTGCTTGATTCAAGTGCCTTCAAAAGCACTCCCTATGTTTGCATGAACTCCCTTAAAAACTTGAAAATACGGAGAGGATCACCCTTGAAGCAGCGGATGAAGGATTCGTGGTGCTGGCACAGTGCCTGAAGATGTGGCAAGTGAATACCAAGGCGAAAATGGAACAAATGACTTCCAGTGCGCGCCAATCGAAGGAAAGAGAGGATGTTCGTGACGGTCGGGACAGCGTGTCGCTTGGCCTCAATGCATGAGGTTCCACTACATGGGCTCAATAGATTTATCCTTCGTTGCTAATTAATACACATACTAAAATGGGTCAATTTTATCACGAGCTGCTCCCCTATGAAATGATGAATGATCTTCAAGTCAAGCCCCAGGCGTCTGTGCACTCTCGCCAACCAGCGTTTGCCCAACAACAGGTGTCACAAGAATGTTCCTGTCGTATATTGCCTTTATGGCGATTCAATCTGTCACCAAATAAATGCTAATACTACAACGGAGCATCTTAACTATGTCTAAGCTCTGTTCAAAGCCACTTTCCGTCAAATCGATTCACTGTCCAGGATGCAATGTTCCGCTCCAGCATCCATTTCTGGATGGCGCGCTGGAATTTGCAGCGGCTGAATAACTCTCTAGGACTCCCAGAAACTTCTCTTAAATCCTCTATTTTGTATTATCATATGCTGTGGACAGTATGTTTGCTCTATCTATGGGCAATTTTTCGCCTCTGTCAATGCAGCGCTGACGGAGGTCAACACAGCTGCCCAGCGTAGCAACGGAATAGGAGGAGCCTGGGATTGCGGCCATAATAATGCAGCATTGCCTAAAAGCGAGGTAAAAATAGTATCCTCCTGAAATTTAACAGCTTTTCTGTGATTATCCATGGGGAGTTGCTCTCCAGAGAGGGCTCCCAAAAGTGCTGCAGGACATCTGATGAGGGTGCAGGACAGTTCAATGGTCAGGAGAAGAGCTGCGTGTCAACCTTAGGTGTTCGGGACAAGTCTGTGCAAATTTTAATGTTGAGATTAAGTCAGATATGAGTTCTATTGTCGGATCTCTGCATGGCTTAACCTCTTTTCGCGGTTTACTTTGTATCGCTACCCGATCCACAGCTCTCACGTTGCGGACCAGGGTGCAGTCAAACGTAAATAGATCTACTACTGGAAAAAATGCGTCGCAATTGCTGTCGAATAAAAATATTTTCTCTTTTGTGCTGCTGTAAGCTCAAAGGAGAGCGCACGATCCCTCAGCTTTGCTGTGTGGCATTCTAGGCAAGCCACGAGTGGGGGGTGTAGCACATTCAGGCACAGTATCCTAAGCTTCATGTTGGTATATATTCAAAAAAAAAACAACAGTTAATTAAAATTGCTCCCAAAAAGTTGGAATATGAGGACGAGGTGAGTTGCTGCTGCTGCCGTCGTTACTGCTGCGGCAGTGCTACTGCATCAGGTTATTGCTGCTCTTCCCGTGCTGCTGCTGTATCTGCTCGCGATGGTGGCAATGTTCCAGCACTTTATTAACCAAATGTACTCTAGCACAACGTGCGGCCACGGCGGTTCCTTATCAGCGTCACCGCAATTCAAGTCTACTTGGGACGTACTCGAGAATCGTTCACAGATCTATTTAGAGCGTACTCAAGATTCGCTCGGTTCATTTCGGCATTCCTTCCATGCAGTGTTATTCTATTTTGTCGCTTGTTTAAGGGACGCGCTTTTTCCACGAAAGAGCGGACGTTGAGGCCGCTCTTTCATTGGTCGGGGTACATTCCTCCACTAAATTGGAAGTCCTTACGTTTCCCTGAGAAAGTCGAAATTAATTTTTTCCCTGGGCGTTTTTCCCCGTAGAAGCGTTATTTCCTCTTTGAAATATTTTTGGTTTTAAATCAACGTAGTTTGCAGTGTTTTTGCCCAATGCCCTCAACCTGGGCGTCGCCCGTAGCAGAAATTTTGATGTTGTGAACGGTCCACTATATTGGAGCGTCGAGTGGCTTCACGCGCTATTCCACTGCAAGTAATTCTGTACAAAATTCTCAATTTATAATGGGTTAGGGTAGCCCAGATTTCGTCCACTGCGCCAAGCACGGCCTTCCTTGGGAGAGTAAGTAAATTGTCTTTACTCGTATCACGCGAAGCAACTCTTGGCACTGCTAAGCTTTAAGCCATTTGTATTCAGACGGACTCATTTGCACGGCTTATTTGGCAAACTGCAACAATGCCGGTTATGCTTTACCAGCGTGGACTTATATGCGCTCGTTTCGTATGCCATTTTTACCGACAGTGCGTCATTTACTTCTGCATATGCGTTTGTTTAACTTCCATTTTAAGTACTAAGCATACCGATCACTGCGGTAGAAGACGGGTGAATATACGTTGCAGCTCCGTATCGGACACGGGAATTGCGTTTGCCGACGTGTCGTAATGTATTGGGGGGACTTCTCCATTCATTCTCCCCACTGAATGCATTATGGCGTACGAGAAGCACAATTCACGCCTTAAGAAATATCTTTTGGAGCTTATTTTAGTGTCGCGGTGTTACTATAAGCGGAAACTTTGCTGCGCTCCGTACACACTGCGGTCTTCTAATATCTTCTTCTGTACGGTAAAACCTCGCAATATATTTGCAAGAGCAAAAAATATAGCGAAGACGAATGTGGCACAAAATGAATGTGTCTGCTCTCTCTTGTTACCAGGTCCAAAGTCTGCGTCACAACTCTCACTGTAGGAACTTGCTGGACTAATTAAAATTTGACCGCCAATCCCTAAAACCGTCTGCTCGATTCCAGTCATTCTTTTCCTCCAGGTAGTACCATAAGGCTCAAATTCTAAACAGATGTTGCTGCCCGTGCTTATCATTCATTGCTGTTGGCCTCTCACAGGCTTACTTCGTGTTCGGCAATTATACTTCTAAGAAGAGCTCTCAAGGTCTCTCTTGTATTCTCCGTAGAGTCAGTAGCGACGCTCTATCTTGTTGTTTCCATCATACTTGGGTTGTGTACGGTTTGGTAGGCCTTCACTGCACATCTATTCAGTTTTCTTAATGCTGCTGCTCCACGTGCTCCCCCGGATTTGGCTTGCACCAGAAAAAGTGGCTGCTGGATTGCTGAGTCCTCTGAGCTCCACTTTGTGTGCTTCTGTACACTTTCCTGCTGTTTCTTGCTGGACAACAGCTGCAGGGTAAAGCGTTTTGGCTACACGACTCACGAGCACAGGAACACTTCACAGTATCGCCGATTTGTGAGTTGTTGCCTGCACAAACTTTTGGGGGACAGCAGAGAAATTGAGAAGTGAAGGAAAACGTGAAATGCCCTTTCCAGCCAAAAAGCCTATAGTGCATTATAGAAAAGCATTTGAAAGTACAGTTGCCCATAAGACCAAGCACTGCGCTTGTAGTGCACGGGCACTACAATAGGGCTTGCTGGTGACCTATAGAACATAAATAACTGGCGACCTACAAGAGGTCATAATGCTGAATGAGGACAGGACCTCCTTACTAGTATCGAAGTAAGGCAATTTGTCGGCAAATTAGCATGTATACACTAGACGTGTCTGTAAACACTTGGAGATTGGGGCTGGCGATAACGCCGGCACCGGTGAAGGCCTCCTTCCCACAAGGGCTAGGGAGCGAGAACCTCGAGTGGGGGGGGATTTTCAAGAAAACAGATTTTGAAAAAGCTATAAATAATTGCTTTTTGTGATATTTGGACCACCGTTTCAAGGAAGTGCGCCGAAGGTAGACGGTTATCATAGGCCGCTACTCGAGGGGGCATGTAGTGCACTGCGCCCGCAGCTGCGACTACGTGCTCTCAGTCCCTTGGGCAGGGTCTATAAACTGG